AGAACTTGAAGCTGCAGAAGAATAATGAGCTTGTTGAGTTGGTTGATTCTGTATGGCAGGAGCTGATGTGGTCTGAGGTTGAACATAGTTCGACTTGCCTTTTCCATCTCCTGGCTTTCCTCCTTTTCCATCATCATCCTTGCCTTTCTTGCCTTTCTTTCCTTTTCCTTTTCCTTTTCCTTTCTTCTGGAAGTATCCATACTCATCCATGTAGTACAGATCATCATAGGCCCAATAGCCTTCATTCCAGGTTTGATCATCGGCCCAATAGCCGTCATAGTTTTCATTCCATTCATCTTCTTGCCATTCATCTTCATAACCTTCTTCACTCACCATGTGAGCACGGCCTTTTCTTCTTCCTTTTCCTCGGCCTTTTCCTTTTCTTGATTTGAAGAACCTTCGTCCTCCTCTGCCTTTTCCTTTTCCTTTTCTCTTTCCTTTACCTTTGCCTCGTCTGATGTATTTGCCTTGGAACCTTCTCTGATACCATGTGAAGTTGGCGTCATCATAAACCCAGAAAACATCTTCTAAGGCATCCAGGAATCCTTCTGCGCCGTCTTCTTCATCTTCGGCCCAATAGCCGTCGGTTCCTTCTAATTCACCTTCATCCAGTACGAGGAAAGATCTTCTCTGTGCCATGCCAGAGGGTTGCATCAATGGATTGTCAACTGCTGTTTTGGTAGTGCAAAACATTTCCAAAAACAGGTCACGTAGTTCTTGAATGTTGTATCGATCGAGGGTTCGTCCACGATGTGTCATGATACTTGTGAGTGTGTTTCTCTGATCTTGACTCAGGTCAGCTAGACTTACAAAAATCAATGCTAGCAAATTTTCACCCAGTGGGAATGCTTGTCGCTGTGCTTCTCTACGATTTTCCTGAAATTGTCTGAATGCCGCTAGTGCCAGTTCATCTGTCCAAGGAACAGCTACATGGGGTGTTCCTGAGGCTGCTGCTACTTCAGCTCTCTCTTGTTGATCTCGTTCATGTTCTTGACGTCGTTGTTGAACAAACAGAATTGCTTCAGGACTAGTCACTGTTACTTCTGGAAGTAAATCCATCCAAGACTCAATAAGTCTATTGCCAGTGAGTTGAAATCTAGTCATCCACTTCTGAAGATCCATGGTTCCTCTGTTGAACTTCATGAACTGCATGAAACGGTATAAGAACACGTTCTGGGCACCTTTGATGAAATGAGGTCGTAGAAATCTTTTGAAATAAGCCACTCCTTCATAGGGATCCCTGAGTAATTCTCTATCCAATAGCCTCTTGTATTGTTGAGCATCTCCTTCCAGTCTGTTGCGCAATGCTGGACCACGTTTTTCTGGTTCTAACTCCGTAATGTCACACCAGTCATCAATTGCATCCTCAAAAGCAAAGAAGCTGGTTCGCCCATCATAGGCTGGAGCAACCTTTGTGGTCATCTGTTGCGTCATATGAATCTGTGTTTGCTGGGGTGCTCTTCTCATTGCATAAGAGTCATATTGGTTCCATTCATTTGCATCGACAATGTCGAAGTCATCATCATCATAGCCATGGCTTGCCATTTCTTGGGCTCTACCTGGAGCTCACCCTCAATGAGGGATCACTGCTCCGCTACCACTTGAAGAGGGGCCCTAGCGTCTACTTCAAGATCAGCTAAGGCGTCTTCCCCAATGACAGCACTCTTTTACTCTCAGCCTGTTGCCGGTCAGTGCTTGTCTACAGGGTTACTCTATATACCTCTTTCTTGAGCCTTGAAGGCGCATATAAATGTGCTCAATACTCATGCATGTACCTATGTAGGTATTAGGTCGAAACAAAAACAGGGCCCCCCCCCCCCAAGTCTCCGTTCGTGACTCTCGGCTCTCAATTTCCGGGAAAGGAGCACCCACCTCCCCCAGTACTAAACTAGTACTAAAGTACATAGAACTCAGGTAGCCTAGGCTACCTTTCGTGATAATGATTCCTTATTAAAACATAATGAAAAAACAGCACCCACACAATTTTTCAAGAGGGCAGCCCATGAGCAGCATTGATCTTCAATAGTATGTTTGTTGTGGTGGTCCTCTGTTGTGTCAAGCTCTTTTTGAAGATTTGTTTTGTCCAAAATCCTTCTCTCCTTTCCTTTCCTTTTCCTTTCGTAGTTGTTTCTATCTTACTTTCTTATCTCTTCATTCTCTTGGAATTCTCAAAATGTCTAATGTCCCAAAATATAGGATGTCTTGTTACAGCCCAATTAATTTCTTTAAAAAAAACAGCACTCAAACAATTTTTCATGGGGGTAGCCCATGAGCAGCATTGATCTTCAATAGTATGTTTGCTGTCGTGGTCCTCTATTGTGTCAAGTTTTTTTTGAAGCGATTTGTTTTCCCAAAATCCTTCTCTCCTGTCCTTTGCTACAGCTTTTGTCTCTTACTTAGTTCAATTCTCCTGGCATCCTCTCCTTGATTTCTATGGAAATTCTATGGGATTTTTATAACATTTCTATGGAAATTCTATGTAATTTCTATGGTGTTTCTATGATATTCTATGGGGTTTCTAAAGGGATGTCGATGGTATTTCTATGGGATTCCTGTGGGGTTTCAAAACGAGGTCTATGGGATTTCCATTGGATTCCTATGGGATTTCTATGGGATTTCTATGATACGTCTATATTGGATTTCTTTGGGATTTCCATCATATTTCTTTTTGATTTCTATGATATTTCTATGGGATTACTATGGGATTTCTATTGGATTCCTGTGTGATTTCTATGGTGGCTCTTTGGAATTTCTCTGGGATTTCAAAGGGGTGCCTATGGGATTTCTATTGGGTTTCAATCAGATTTCTATGGGATCTCTATGGTATTTCTATTATTTTTCTATGGGATTTCTGTGTGATTTCTGTGGGATTTCCATGATATTTCTTTTGGATTACTATGGGATTTCTATTGGATTCCTGTGTGATTTCTATGGGCTTCCTATGGCATTCCTATGGGACTTCCATGATGTTTCTATGATATTTCTATCTATGATGCTACTATGGGTTTCTGAAGGGATGCTATGGGAATTCTATGGTATTCTTATGGGACTTCCATTGGATTCCTATGTGATTTCTATGGTATTTCTATGATGTTTCTATGTGATTTCTTTGTGATTCCTATGGGGTTTCTATGATAAATCAATTGAACATAAATTCAAACTAAATTGAAATCAATTGAACATCAATTGAAAGTAAGTTGAAATGAATCAATTGAAAATCAATGGAACTTAAATTGAAATCAATTGAAAATAAATTGAAAGTAAACTGAAATGAATCAATTGAAAATCAATTGAACATCAATTGAAAGTAAATTGAACTCAATTGAAAGTGAATTGAAAGCGAATTGAAATCAATTGAAAATCAATTGAAAGTCAATTGAAATCAATTGAAAAGTAAATTGAAATCAATTGAAAAGTAAATTGAAATCAATTGAAAAGTAAATTGAAATCAATTGAAAATAAATTGAAAGTAAACTGAAATCAATTGAAATCAATTGAAAGTAAATTGAAATCAATTGAACATCAGTTGAAATCAATTGAAAGTAAATTGAAATCTATCAAAATCAATTGAAATATATTATATTCAGACCCCGTTACTAAAAAACACATTAAAGGTACTCTCAGAATTGTTTGGGGGGCCCTACACTAATCAGGATCGAACATTACTCCGACCACTATCATTGCATGTATGATCATGTATGTAGCTAATCATCGACAAATATATATATATACATATATATATATTGTTTCGAAGCTCATCTTATACTTGTACCTAAAGAGCCTGGAACCCTTGAATTTGATTGAATTTGTAGGTTCAATTTTCAGAACCCGGTTCTCAGGGGAAAATGAAGAAAAACATTGTTTTCCATTAACAAAAAAAACATTGTTTTGACATGCAGTGATCAACCTTTCCATCCTTTTTATCCTTAACATCCCTGCCACCAAGCAGCAGGATCAAGAGATTGCGCACATTACGTTTTTGATGGGTGATTTGCGATGAAAATGTCAGATAGAATCAGATAGAAAATATGGAGTTGGCCTGGCAGCCTCCACCTGATTTTTGAATGAAAGCAGTCCTACCTCCCCGTGCCAGTTTGCCCAATTGGAGGATGTTTTCAGTCACCTGCCCCGTGGGAAACATTTGCAGGTCCGCACCCAATCCCGAAGCCAGATGCCGCTTTCGGCAAATAGGGGCTAAGCGGCTAAAACTTTGAAGAGAAAACTGCATCCATAAGCTGCATTGCCGATTTTTTCAGGGAAAAAGGAAGGTTCTGGCAGTGAACCCATATTGTATCCGTAGGGAACCCGTCTTTTGCCCGTAGAAACCCGTATTTTCTCTATACTACGCTTTAGAACCTTCATTTTTGGAACCCGTATTTTGCCCGTAGGGAACCCGTATTTTACCTGTAGAAATATATGGGTTCGGAGCTCTAGTTCCTCGGCCCGTGCACCGAGTTCTTCAGCTCGATTCGCAGGGCGTGATCGAAAAAAACAAGTCCGTGTGAAACACGACACATTCTGTTGCACTATACTATATGCCCCTGTATTTGCTGAACGTGGCATCTGGCTTTGGGACTAGGTGCCGCCATTGGGCCGGGCCGGTAATTGAAAACATTGTCCAATTGTGCCAACTCCATGCCGTGGGTGAAGTCTGGCATGGGGAGGTGGACTGCACGGCCCCTCCGTTTGATGAAGGGTGTGGCAATGTGATTGCAGACCTTTCTTCATAGGGGCTCAATGGAAATGATGGGGCAAATGAGAAACGATGACTTACGAAAAAAGAAAAAAACATTTGTTTAACGAAAACCAGGTTTTTGCTAAAAGAACCCGTCTCTTTTCAGTGACCTTACAATTTTGCCGGTCCACGGCTTCCTTGGTAGACATTGTAGATAATGGATGCCAGTTGTTTAGACAATTAAGGACGAGTTGAAACTGAGATGCTGGGCAGCCGAAGAAAAGTGTTCTGCATTTAAATACCCAGGTAAGCTATTTATGGATATTTACGGAAGGCTGCCAGTCAACTGTACAAAATCCACAATTTGGGGATCAAAGCGAGAAGCCAAGAGATACCAAGAGTCATTCAGGATGTGAATGCCAGCACTCCAGCGATTGTTCCAGGGGCAAGGAACACCGTCACGATCAAGCATCTCCCCTCCCTGAGCATGTCGCATGGGGCAACATGAAGGTCCAGCATCGGCGGTAAGAAACGACTGCGGTTGCGCAGGCATTTGCACTCTTTGTGTACCACATCGACGACAGTGCAGGGTGTCTAAAAGGTATGGGTTCTGGCACTTAGGACACAGGTCACCTCGGTTTATGCAAGTGCAGAAAGGAGCACATTCATGCATCACACAATATCACGCTCATTCATGTGGAGTAGCTTTCCCAATTTCCCACCACCTGGATCTGAAAGCAAGACATAGCAAAACGATGCAAACGATTTAAAGTCTGCAAAAGTCATGCCAAACAAAAGAAGCAACACCAAATTTCCATAAATTTCCCAGATTGGATGAAGCACCCTCATCTGCATCCAGCTTCTTTAAAATGGCCTTGCAGTTGGGCCTTTGCGAGATGTCGCTCCTGAGCTCCGGCAAAGACTGAGGCCGAGAGAAGTATTGCCGCAGTTGCCGGGGCTTCAACCTCAAGTGCTCTGAGGGAAGATGCGCGGGTTACCAATGGTTACCGTGTTATGGGTTCCGAGACAGGGATTCTGTCGGTTCTCAAACAGCTCATGTTCAAACTACGTTTATGTTGTTGCTGCTTCCATGTCGTGGTGACCACCAAACTTGCTCTGACTGCAGCTGATTAGAAGAACAAACAATGTGACCCTACGAGGTGCAAACCTATAATATATATATATAATTATATATATATAATTATAATTATATATATATATATATATGAAACATGTGGTGTCCCTCGGCGAAGCTGGAATGCAGGATCAACATACCTATAAGATCCTGGTGCTCAAAAAAATGAGGTTCCCAAAACTACAAGTGTTTGTGCCGTTTGGAAAAAAATGTCGTTTCGCAAAAAAAACTTGCGTTTCTATTGTTTCCTGGTTTGTGCTAGAAATTTGTGCCGTTTTTGCACCATTTTGCACCGTTTTAGATCGTTTTAGCGCCGACTTGTGCCGTTTCATTTTTCCCCACCTGTCAGGTCCAGGTGAGGGTTGTTAGATTTTATGTCAGCTGGCCCGCCTCCTCCCCCTCCTTCCTCCGCAGGACCTCAACTGCAAGCTCTCCACCGCAAGCTCCAGATCAAAGTGTTCCCCGCCGGACCTCAACCGTGAGCTCCGGATCAGAGTAGAGTGTTCCTCAACCACAAAGAATTTCCGAAAATATACCAGATAGAATGCCAGAAAGAATGTCAGAAGATATGCCAGATACATATGCCAGAAAGAAGAATGTCATAAGATATGGCATATGTGATGCTTTGAAATGCCATGGTGGGGATTACTCGAAGTAAAGTAATTGTAGGTTTTCTCCAAGCTCTAAAAATTGGAAAAATGTTCGAAGGCTTGTTTTTCCGGCGTTTGACTTCAAAACCAGCATTTTGTCCAAAGCAGCAGAAAAAGGCAACAGGAAGATGATACAGGTAATTAGATCAATATATATATATATATGTGTGTGTAATGATGTGTACATTATGTATCATTATGTAGTACTGGCATGTAATGGCATGCAATTATACATGATCCATCATGATACAGATCATACATAATCCACATCCTTTTCATGGACGACCTTTAGAATTCACGAGCCCTAGCCTTGGAGAAACACTCATGCTCACCGGTGCGGACAAACAGCACCAAGTTCAGTTCCCGTCCAAGCAGCTCATTCTGCGAATCGCTCAGGTGGTGTCTGTCATCCCAGGGTTTCATAGTCGACTTCTGCGGTCGAACCTTGCGTTTTTTGATCATGGCAGCAGAAGTCTCTTACCTTCCAGCCCTTCGAGCACCTTGAGCCGACGGATTGACGGATAAGTTGCGGTAATTATTCATTTTAATTTTAATTAGGATTCTTAAGTACCTTGAACTTAAGCCCGGGCGAATGCTCAGACCACTCATCTGGGAGTTCTACTCCCTGCCAGGTGAATGCTTATCTGGTCAGAGCTTTCACTTCATGACTCCACCCTCCAGCCCGAAAACACACATCCAGTTGAGTTGATCACTTGATCACTAATTGAAATAGCGCTGGATGAGTTAAACACGAGCCGCAGAAGGCTAAACCGCAACAAATTCGTGCTTTGCTCAATCCATTTCAAGCACCTGAGCCATTCCGCCCAACCCGGCCTTGACGAGGTTATCCACAGAAGGGGGTAGGTTGAAAGCAAACCCCATGACCAAATAAAAAAACACGCGCGGCTTGTGTGCCGCACGGGGCTAAGCTCAGATCAGTAGAGGCAAGATGAGGCAAGTGGAGCACGAAAGTATAGACACTGCCTTTCCGACACTGACTCCTTGATTGATTTGAATTGGGCAGAGGATTCAATGCAACCGCTCTTGTTCACATTGTCTGCTCTCTACCAATCCCTATTAGATGCAGTGGCTGGCTAATAGCGGCTGGCTAAGAATGCCGATTCATCAGTTTCGAAGTTGCCATGCTGCGAGGCCGATTGCCAATTGCCATGCCATGTCACCGCCATTTCTTACTTGTCTCACTTACAAATCTTACAGTGTCTCAGAGCCAATGCTTTGCAAAGCCGGCAGGTTGTGAATGCTGCATGATGCTGCGTGGATCGGCCTGTGGTCTCCTTTGTTTGTATGTGACGTGCTGCATCGCGCTGCAGAGTCTGCCATCAACCGTTCATCTTGGGTTCAGTCAAGAAAAAGGGGGGACAAACATGCGAACTTCCTGACTTGTCTGTTGCAGGTCTTGCTTGACTTATACCAGCTGCAACGCTCCTTTCACTACCTCTGGCAGCATTCTCAATCAGCGTCCAGGATTCCAGGATTGGCGAAACTCGTGGCAGGCTCTGCCAAATGTCACCTCCGTCTCGGATTATGCGCAACAAGTCTCTTGCAAATTTGCCCACTATGGCGATCTATGGCGGGTGATGGAAGGTGACATGCTGTGAGGCGCGAATGCCAACCAAGGAATTGGAGGAAGCACACGGGCCAGCCTGTGAAACAGTGACATGACTTCCGGCAAGTCCGGAACTTGATCATCACGCTGGGTGTGGGAAAAACATGAAGTTGGCAGCTTTAAAGGCAGCTAAAGGATCCTGAATGTTTTATTGAACCCTCATTGTATGATATATCCGTAAACGCAGAACTGTTGCGGGGAAAGATCCAGGTGGTCAGTGGTGAATTTAATTAAGTGGCGAATGTCTTAAGACTGTACAAGTTGAAAAATGCCGCGCTCAGCTGTCCTTCTTGGCAGCATCAGCACTTTCCTGTTCGGTTTTCTCAAAAAACCAAGAGGCGGCGCCCTTCAGCACAGAGTGTGCCATGGTCACCTCCCAGTGCAAAACACGCCACGGGAGTTTTAAGACCCGTCGTTCGGGTTCCTTGCTAATAATGTCCAATAAGTAGTGGACCCGGTTGCTAAGGTGGCTCTCGTACTGGTGGACAGCTCCTTGTGACATGGCGCATAGGGCTGCATCGGAGACTTTGCCTCAGGTGGCGGTCAGAACCACAGGGTGTCAAGACACTAGTGCAGTACTGGGCACATTGCGCACAATAATAATTGCCAATAATTACCAAAGAATTGAAGATAGCGACGTGGGTGTGGACAATAGGTCCGAATCTTCATGGTTCTGCCTCTCTGATCAGCAGCTCTTATAATAGTACTGTACTTCCTGATGCTGCTGGGCATTTCAATGAATGCATCGTGCACAGAGTCTCCTGAAGTTCTCTGATTGCCACAGAAACTGCACAGTGAACGCATTCAAGATCATTCAATGAAAATAAAAAACAAAGTTAAACAAAGCACCTACTTGTAGTTCGCACATTTTATTTCATGATATATTTAATGACATTCAGAACAAAATCGCAAATCGGCAAATTAACTGCAGATTAGCGTTTCAGTTGTTGCAACTGTCTTCTCGCAGAATGGTTTGTTGCCGTTTCCGGGGCACTTTGGTGCTATAATGTAATTAATTACATGAGTGGCGGGCAAAATTATTTGTTCCCCGCAATTGCCACGGGCAAAACTGGGTTGTCCCTTATCGGTCGTCCCTTTGATAACATCCAGTAGAAAATGCTGCTCGTTGAAATATTACAAGTGGAAGTAGGAGTAACCAATAGAAGTAGAAGAAGAAGTGAAGTAGTAGTGGTAGTAGCAGTAGCGGTAATAGTAGTAGCAGCAATAGCAGTAATAGCAGTAGCAATAGTGGCAGCAGTAGCAGCAGTAGCAGTAGCAGTAGTAGCACTAGTAGTAGTAGAAGTAGGAATAGAAGTAGTAGTAGCAGGAGGAGTAAGAGGAGGAGTAGGAGGAGTAGTAGGAGTAGGAGTAGGAGGAGGAGTAGGAGGAGGAGTAGGAGTAGGAGTAGGAGTAGTAAGAATAGCAATAGTAGCAGTAGTAGCAGTAGTAGCAGTAGTAGTAGTAGCAGTAGTAGCAGTAGGAGCAGGAGTAGCAGTAGCAGCAGCAGCAGCAATAGCAGGAGTAGAAGGAGAAGCGACGATAGCGTACGTGGTGCATGGTCTCGGCAAGTGAGAATAGTTCCAACATCCATATCGGTTGGGGTCTCCGTGAGAATGGTGCGTGAATCGCCGCAAACAAAATGCTTGGATCTCCAAGAGAAAGCTAACTGAGGTAGCCGTTTACAGCCTTGTTTGTAGCCGTTGCTGTAGAAAAAAAACACCCTACTTCATATTTTTGTGGGAACGCGCTGGAATCTAGTATGGGTGCTGGGTCGTCCTTTATCGGTTGTGAAGCTGTCATGAAGGCAAGCAAAGTTCAAGGCAGCTCTCTACTGCTTCCAAAAACCAATAATTTTGTCGGATACTTATATGTACTACCTTTGTAGGTGTCACACTTCGGGACATGGCTGGACAAGGTGCTTGCCAAGATCTTCTGGAGGACAGTCGACTGCCTTGATTTTTCGGAGGACCCCTCTACGGAACGCATGAACTCAAGCAGGTCAGTCAGCGAGCGATGCCTCCGCACAGGACTTTCGTCTCCGACTCCGATGGCTGTCTTGTCCCCATACCCAAAGAGATCCTGCATTGTGGCCTTGTTGTCTGTTGATGCCGTGAAGTCTTTGCCCAACGCCAGCTTCTGTAAAAAACCAGGCAACAGCGACACAACGGAGCACTGGAAAACGCGTCGTCGAAACTCTGGGCTCATCTCTTCCAGGATCTCTTTTCGAGTTTTTTCATCCAAGTCTGCATTGATGAGCAGCAAAACACGGATGAAATCATAAAAGGGTCTCATGATCACCCGGTTCAATACCTCGACGATCTCGAAAATGGACAAATCCAGGACATCTGCAGCTGATGGCGGCAGCAACTGCATTGCACCTTGTTCATGTTTCAATCGAACCAAATAGAACACCAAGCACAGAAGCGATCCTCCAAAGAGCGCAACTGCCACTGAAATAAAGAAAAGGAGCTGTACTAGCCTGAGCTTGCTAAATAGACCTCAAAAACTAATCTCCGCAAGTCAAGAAAATGTGAAACGGATCGTTTTCCTGAACTGGGTCGTTGTTACCGTTTTTGTGTGGGTTTATATATGTAATTGTGTAAAAAAATGTATATAAAAAATGACTTGGAAGCGTGCACCTCCCCCCAAACAAAAGTGCCCCACACTCAAGTTACAAAACAAATGCAGCATACATCCCCCTTGGTTATTTATAATCCCAGTTAGTTTTTACTCGCAAACATGACGAACAAACGAAAGTGAACCATCCGATTTAGAGGCTAGCCGCGGCTAGCCCTTCTTGGCAAAATAATCAAAATCCTGACGCATTTATGTTAACAATTGTTAACACCCACAAGGTCACATCTTGTCAACAAAATACAAAAGTCTCTCCAGCAAATCCGGCAGAACCATGGATAGTTCCAAAGGAGAATGCCAACAACCCACACGTAGCCCAGGAAGGCCAGCGAAAGTGAAGCCACCAGCAACGGAGGCATTGGTGCACGCTGCAACATCTGCAGATGTAAGAGAGGCAATGCTCAAATAAATGTATGTATATACATATATATATATTATTACACATATAGGTATGAATAGGTGAATGGGATTCTCGTATGGTTTGTGAAGGCAATTCTGCTTCCCATACCATGGCAAAAAAAACAGCTTTGAACTTTGAACTACTACATAGTGTATCTGTGGACATGTGGCTGAAAAGCTAGAATGCCAACTGAACATTTCAAGTCCCATGCTGAAGTACTACGAGCCGATCACTCTGCAATCTGTCACAAACATACCATGAACAAGGATGAACAAGGTATAAAAGTATAAAATCTCAAATCCGCAGCTCAGGGGCGGGCATATCAAAGTATGTAATTTGTATCATTTAAACACTTCCAGTTACAAATGGCGGCATTTGTGACAAACATATACGAGGACATAGCAACAATAGATAGTTCATAATAGTCGTATATTTACTCTATGCATGATAAGTATTATATGAGCAATCTCGAAAACCCTAGGTTCACGGAATGGACATCCACAAGTTTGGAAAGGTCCCATCGCTTACCACACGTCTGCACAAAAAATGATATACCGCAAACTTGGGGGGTATCGCTTGCAGGAAAATGAATGATCTACTTGACTCCGGAGCGGAGGCTGTGCTTCCTATTTGATCAGGCATCTTCGCTGCAGGACTCTGAGCTATCTGAGGAGCTACTGGAAGAGGTGCTTGCAAATCTCTTTTTCCCCACCACCAGCATGGACAGCCAGCTTGTTGGCCAGCCACTTCTAAACCCGAATGCTATGGCCGTTGCCAGCTTTCCTGGCCCCTACAGGCCCGAACCTTTGCCAGAAAGAATGCCAGTCTATCTATATCTATCTGTCTGTCTATCTATCTATCTATCTATCTAGCTGGCTAGCTGGCTAGCTGGCTAGCTGGCTAGCTGGCTAGCTGGCTACCTATCTATCTAGCTATCTAGCTATCTCTATCCAGCTTGCCACCAGAAAACCTGAATCTGTCACAGGCTGATGTGCACCTGGGCGTCTGGAACAGAAAAAAGGGTATCGCGTGGGTATCGCTCAGGCATCGCTAAAATTCAGCTCGTGATTTTCCAATTTTGGTATCTGTATCTGTTGATGCTGTCTGTAGTACTTTGCCAGAAAGCAGCTTCATGAAACAACAGCAAAGAGTCAGCAATGAGGCAAGCAAAACAGTGCAAGTTCACATGGGGGGGTCAATGGAAACTCTCTTCAGCAACGGCAATCATTTGTCAGTGTCACAAAGAAGCTTCACTAAACAACAGCACTGGGGAGATAAAGTCAGCGGAGAGGCAATCGAAATGGCGCAAGTTCAAGTGGAGAGTCAATGAAAACATGCAAGGCAAGGATGTGCAGGCACCCTGTGAAACAAACGTGTTTCTGCTTCTGCGGATTCCCTTCTCTGCGGACCACTCCATGGGATCAAGAAGAGCACTCTCTGAGGAGCACGTACCAAATACGAGGTAAGCGACGGGACCTTTCCAAATTAGCGATACCCCCTTTCAAGGTAATGTCATTTTGAACATTGATTTCTGATGTCATTTGTGAACCAGATTTCCATCAATTTCCACAAACCAATGTCCGTCCCTTACGTGTTTAGTATTGCCGCGGTTTTTGCGGTGGTTCAAATAAAGGTGGAGAGCCGCGGGAAGATCAACGTTTGGATCCCTTGGCATGGAACTCCGTGTCGAGAACAAGTCTAGATCATAGATAGGGAGAGCTGTCACAAGTTCAAAGTTTTGACTCATCCCCATATATATATATATAAGTAAAATTGTGTATCATCAACTTGTCTGGCTAAGCTACTGCCACCACCCACCAGCCCCTGGGTACTGCGTGCATCAAAGATTCTGAAAGCACACTTATTGTCCCCTATTGATCTCAAGCGGCAGTTCAATAGTGACATGCCAGTAGAACAATGAAGTCATGCTCAATGTTCAAGTTTCCTTTTCTTGCAGGTGGCACATGCAGCTCCAACATCAACCTTCCAAAATGACTGTTGATGGCTTCATGCCTTTACACATCAAGTAAGAACATGGAAAACTTATCGAAAGCTGGGGATCCTCTCTCTCTCTCTCCTTTTCCTTGCTTCCTTTACCATCTGGTAAACTAACATAGCTATGGAAAATCACCATTTTCAATGGGAAAATCCACTATAAATCACCATTTTCAATAGTTATGTTAAATTACCAGAGGGTAACTCATTGGTACCTGGGATGGAATTTCTGTTAATGTGTCGTGGTCTCAGCTGCAATGGGCACTAATATGGTCAAATTGGGAGGGCTGAGTAGCAGCTGCTTCTGCCAACTCGTGATGTGAAACCCGAAGGCTCCACAGGAGCACCAAGGGATGCACGCTCTGCACACGGCCTTGCCATCAGCTCCAATCATTAGCTCACACTGGCAGCCCAAGCGGTCCGGGCCTGACAGGCATGGATAATTGACCCTGCTACATGCTGCTGCCAAGATGATGGACCAGTGAACCAGTGAACTAGTGAACCAGTGAACTAGTGAACCAGTGGATAGTCGGATAACCAATGGCTTCTCCAAAAAGGTTTGTGTCACTCGGCGGTCTGAGCCCGATGCACGTGGCTTCCGACCTGGCCAGAGACACTGGCACAAGGCAGCTGGCACAGCGAGCCTTTCAACACGCAATGCCGAATCTGCACGGACTCTGCAGCTGGGTTCTCCACCTGCTTGCCGCCGCCTTTTTGCGGCAGCACCTTAGATTTTGCACCCATCCAAGCACTCAGCTGCACATGCGTTGCACCCGAGGTGAGTCTTGAACAAAATGTACCTTACTTTTGTTTTATGCGTTTCTAATTCCTAGTTTGTTGAGCTGCTTTTCATCCTCGTTGATCCGCATGTTTGGCCTCTGTCCCGGCCAAACACAAACACCTCTGGGTGCGGTAGCTGTCGGAGTCGGAGTCTTTGCCCACGAAGGAGGTGCCACTAACTTGGCCGGAAATATCCACTGGAGGTGAAACTTGACAGGAAGCAAACTAAGTAACTAAGTAAACCATACCCAAAACAGCCCAAATCAGCAAAACTGGTAATGTGAATGTCATGTATGGGTTTGTGTGCTGTGTCGGGCACTGGGCACTTTCATCTGACATGGGCCTCGAGGGACGGTCTCTTCTTCAACTCCTTCGCTGCTCTTGAGCTTCCTCACGGAATGCAGCCATGTCCAGCCCATGCACATTCGAATCAGAGCCCGTCTGCAAATCTGAGTTTCATGTCTAAAAGGAGTGAGAAAACAACACCAAAAAAGGGAATGTTCTTGCTTGCTGTTAAAGCTTTGAAGAGAATCAGCAACAGCATGTCTTCAAACACCTTCAAACAAGCATGTTGCGTCATTCTGAGTCATTCTGGCACTTCTTCTGGCATCCTCAAGTTGTCGCGTGGAGCCCGGCGTTTGCCCACCCTCAAATTTCTGGGAGCAGCATGTTGTCAGAAGCAATCAACATTGCCGGCTGGCTTTGTGCGCATAAATCTGTATGCACCGTCAGACCTACATCGAAATGTAAATTACATATTACTATACCAGTAGTACCGCACAAGGCAGTGGCGGAATTTTCAAAAATAGGAAACCTATAGGAGAGGTTGGTTTTTTGTGAATCACGGATGGCAGAGCCATTCCACTGATGGACCGAAAGGTGGTTGGAGTCGTGTTTTTTGAAATGGTTGCAGTGGTCACCTCACCACAACTGCTGGATGTAGTGTGGTGTAGCGCAGTTGTAGTTGTAGTTGCAGTTGTACTTGTAGTTGTAGTGTAGTGGAGTGGAGTTGTAGCTGTAATGTAGTGTAATTATAATGTGTAGTTGCAAGTGCAGTTGCAGTTGTAGCCGTGGTGTGGTGTAATTAGTGTATTGTAGTGCAGTGTAATGTCGTGGAGTGTTGTGTGGTGTAGTGTGGTATAGTGTAATGTAGTCTAGTGTAGTGTAAGGTAGTGTCGCTGTTGTTTTAGTCCAGTGCAGTGTAATTAGTGTAGTGTAGCGTAGAGTAGTGGTAGTTGTAATTGCAGTTGTAGCTGTAGTTGTAGTTGTAGTGAAGTGCAATGTAATCAGTGTAGTGTAGCGTTGTGTAATGTAGTGTGGTCGTAGTTGCAGCTGCATCTGTAGCTGTAGTGTACTGCAGTGTAGTGTAGTTGTAATTGTAGTTGTGGTAGTAGTAGTTGTTCTAGTAGTTGTAGTGATGCAATTGGCGTAGTGTAGTGTAATTAGATGTAATTAGTGTAGTGTAGTGCAATTAGTGTAGTGTAATCTAGCGTAGTGTGTTTGTATTGCATTTGTATTTGTAGTTGTAGCAGTAGTGTAGTGAGTTTAGCGTAGTTCTAGTTGTAGTTGTAGTTGTACTTGTCTATCTATCTATCTGTATCTGTCTGTTTGTCTGCCTGTCTGTCTGTCTATCTGCAAGCTTGAAAACGAAGCAATTCTGCGAGATGTCTTCATTTTTCAAAGTTGACAACATCAAAAACGACGGAAATTCTGCGAGACTTCCTTCATTTTTGATCTTAACAACGTCAAAAACGAAACAATTCTGCGAGACTTCCTCAATTTTTGAACGTGACAACATCCAAAACGAAGCAAATTCTGCGAGACTTCTCAATTTTTGAACTTAACAACGTCAAAAACGAAGCAATTCTGAGAGACTTCTTCATTTTTCACACGTGACAACATCAAAAACAAAGCAATTCTGCTTCCTTCAAAAATGGAAAGTTGACTGCAGCGCTGACGGCCTTGTACCAATGCGTTTTGCGTTTTTTCCAGTCCACCTGTCGAAAGTACTGCACCTGCCACGAAAAAGTGATGCCAGGTCATACGAAGTGCTGCACCTATCACGCAAAATCATTTTAGCAAACCTACAGATCTGATGCTCCAAAATGCAACCCCTCTCAGGAAATCAGCGCCCTGACCGCCTAACATCTCTGATGAACATGTCTTTTGTACTGCGCCTGCCACGCGAAATGCATCTTTGCAGATCCTCTTCAAATGTCCCATGCCTGCCATCCTTTTTGGAAATGCCACAAAACCCTCACGTTTTGCTCACTTTTGACAAGGTGCACAATCCCTTGCGCTTGCCAGGCGAAACGACATCCGAACGTCCAAAAATGTTCCATACCATTCCATACCCCTCATTTTTTTGCACTTTTGACTTCGAAATGTGCTTCGCGCCACAACGGCGTGCACTTTTTCGACATCTCAACTTCCAAAAGTGGTCCGGACATAATGTGTTTTGTGCATTTTGACTTCCAAATGTGCTTCGCACCACAACGGCGTGCACTTTTTCGACATCGCAACATATCGCAACGTCAAAAAGTGCTCTGACCCCGTCAGTTTTTAACACTTTTGACTTGGAAACGCGCTTCTCGCCACAACGGCGTGCAATTTTTCATCTCTCATCTGGCCAGCTGGCTCCGCACCCGCCGCTTTAGCGAGCCTACTTTTCGACCCTCCGGAGCCACAAATCATTGGAAAAACACCAGTGTTTCGCGACTTTCCTACCTTTTCGCGCACCTGGATTTTTTTTCTTCTGAGGCTTTCTCTTTTTGATCTTCTTCTCTTCTCTTCTCTTCTCTGACTCTTCCCATCTCTGCTTTTCATCTGTCCATATTGTTGGAAGTTTGACTTCAAAAAACTTCCTTCGACAATACTACACACCAAAAATTGCCAAAGTATATGATTGAACAGTAGATGTAGCTGTATATGATTGAACAACTTCCAACCTGCAGAGCCATCTGAATGAGGCATTTCATACAGTAAGCAAACTCTTTGGTAGCCTTATGTTGCCTTTGAACAGGCATTTTGTTTTCACGGGGATTTTGCTTGCCACACATGCTTTCCACATGTGCTTTTCAGCGGTTTGGTCATGTTTGGTCAGCGAGTTTTCCTGATAACATGTGTGGGGTAATGCTACTGCTTTCCCGTGTCTTCCTGACATCACATACATTGACTGGATCACAATCTGGTACATAGCTCCAGTGGATTGTAGTTCAGGTCACATTTGCCATGGCATAGCAAATCATAGCACCCACAAATACCAGTACCCCCAAGAGAAACAAATTGTGATCTAAGGATATCTAAGACGCAAGCTCGACGACCTGGCCACCACTGCGGACCAAGGCTTCCTAGGCAGGGTGGGACATATCTGGACGTAATTGGAACATGAACAAAAATGCACCATGATCAACCACTATCACTAACTCCGAACTTCCAATTTAGCTTTTGGTACCTCACGACATGAGATAAAGAATATAAAGATGGATCAAGTATTAAATGTGACGAAACTTGAGTGTCACAACATCAAAACTTCATGAAATTTCAGGATCTTCACCATCCATGGCCATCTCCCCAGTCTTAGTGTGGCACAGCACGGCGGCGCGACTTTTTTTCCACTCATGCAGAGATTTGCTAAGGGTCTAAGCAAACTGATCCGCAAGGCACAGGTGGAATCGGGTGAAGCCCTTGGTCAGTTTCAATGGCTTTCAATGTCAGGGAGGTGCCAGCCAAAATACCCGAATGGCTGAACAATGCTCAGGTTCATTGTCATGCTTAGTGGTGGTTAGTAGTCGGATGTGTTCGGTATGCATTGCTTACTTTACTAATGTAAAACAAAACATAATCTCCGAGAACTATCCGTCCCGATTCCAAAGCCTCCTTTTTCAGAAAAGAAACATCTGCTGGCCAAGTTGATGAATTGAACAGCGGAAAATATGGCTAAAACAAACAAGCAAATACAACAGCTATACGGCTATACGGTCTATACGGCTACTATACATATATTCCTACAAGTCCTACAAAGCCCATGGCAAGACCCGCGGCAAACAAACATCCTCCAACTGCTCAAAGCATCTCAAAACCAATGACTCGGACAATCTCGGAGAGCCTATAGGTTCTATAGGTGCCAACCCAAATGGGAACCCCATGGAATCCGCAATCCCAACACGATCGTGCTCGATGCTTGATCACCTGACAATGCGGCCTAATATGATATAATATAATTGCAATTCTTCTCAGGGAGAACCACATATTTCAAATGATGACATGTGGGAAGGCAGCTAGGATCGTCACGCCAATCTCTTTAAAAACATGTGTGCTGCACGACACCATGCAGCGATGGTATATGTAAGCCCTCCATGTGGAATTTCAAACAAATGCGCACCACTCAACTGCGTAGCACAGAGAGCGGAGGACAAAAAGGTGGAACCCGGACCCAAAGGACAAAGGACCAGGCAGGGAACCCCACAGGGAACCCCGAGTGGCAAACCTTCCGTAAGGCATGCCATTCATTCTGGCCAGATCATCAAGAAAGTGTGTTGCGGCCCTGTGACATTCCTCGACCTGACTCGGAATCATTTTGGGGACAAAATGGATGATCGATCCCGGCCTCAAGAGCTGCTTCGTCATCCATTTCTTCAAGGATGGAGCCCAACTGACTCTGACTAAGACTACGCACTGTGGTTTCGCCCTCAGAAATCTGAGACCTTCTACTTGGCGGTTCAGACGTGGCTTTGGCAACCTTGGCAGCCTCTTTCTTCCTCTTCATCATGTCGTTCCTGGGCACCGAGTAACGATGAGTAACGCACACCAACTTGCTGACTTGCTTCATCAATGGGGGATCGCAAGCCCTTGGGTTGCAGAATACGGAAAGACCAACGCCGACCAAATTGGTGCTTTGTGACCCATCTACATAATTGTGCAGAAAAAACCATTAACAATATTAAACAAATACCATCAAATACCCCTTGAATATGATAATATATGATAATCATGATCTAAGAATCTCACCAAGAAATCATATAACATATATGTACCTTCAGAACACTGCCCAGTCTCCTGTCCCATTTGATCTTGTACTTCTTTTTTGGTAGTCTCGGTTCAGGCTGCACACCAGTCAATGCGTCGACCTCCTGAATGTCACTTCGAGAACTCGCGCCCGAGCCCATGGCTATGGCGGTGCTGGGCTGATGTCTCTCCGAGCTAAACAGCCACGGTGCCAGCGCCCAGCAGTGCCAAAACAGCAGATCTGTCCGTGAGAAAAAAAACACGGGTAGGTTCATTTTGGTTTAGCATACGTAGACTAACAATATTCAGGGGTACTTGGAGGCTCTACATATCGAAGTATATATACATATATATTATGTTTGAAAAATGTTGAAACGACGATTTATCATCACTGAATTGGTTGTTCAACGGGGGTGACCCTCTATCAATACTGGTGCAGGAAAAAGGTTGAGGAGAGCAAAAAAAAAAGATGGTACAACAACAATGCTTTCCAACGACTGGGTCAGGCAAACCCGTATCTGTATATTAAATTTTGTTGGGGGAGTACAACTGAGATACCTGGGTTCCACGTACCATCCAGGCACAACCGTCACTGGCAAAAGTCTTTCAAGGCCCAGGCTGCTTCTTCCTGCTTCGCTTGCCTTTCAAGATCATCCCGCAGCTTCTGCTCGTACCTCTGGGCCAATGGCTTTCATGCTGAGATGGCAAAGGTACTCAAGACATCTCAAGACCACTTTCCTTTCTGCCGATGTGGATGAAAATGACCACAATGTCACGATTTGCATGTGCTCTGCGCAAATCATTTTCCATAAGCGAGCAAATTGAATCCCATCAGCCTATCAGGAAATTGAAACTTTGTCCCCGACAACACTTTGATATACTAATTAATGAAATCTAATGAATAAAATTATTGTATGTCAAGCGTGGCTGATCAACTCTGCAACAATACTTAGCCAGGGAGCTCCATTTTCCTGCGCTCTTCCTGTTCTTGTCTCTGCTTTGCTTGGAAGTCGCTACCTGGATATCGGAGTGACTGCAGCCTTCTGATCACAATCAGTGTCAGCACTCGAACAAAAAATGCACCCTAGTGCACCTTAATGGTAGCTTTGGTCAACAGCGCACACCTGTCAAATCCTGTCAGTAACTTAGCCAACAAGACCCACGTTCAAAGCAACAACATGCACTCCGTCCATAAGCCCCTTGCTCGACTCCTTGACAGAGAAGAACATGGGGCCAAGCCTCACCGTTGCTGAGCGTGAATAGACCACAACCGTTCAAAGCTTTCATGGGTTGCCATTTTCCAGTGTTCCAAATCTGTCTTCACTTGAAGAGCTACTAGTGCCTTCAATACAGCCAGCCCCTTCAGTATCTTCAGGCACCCTGCTGCGCAATTGAGCATCCTGTGGCACTTAAGCCATAAACCCCGGCCGGAGTAACCGACTCACCACCAGCAGCGGGAAATTTAAGCCACCAACTCAGCCAACCAGTATGGATCTACTGCGGTGACTGTCTGCATGTATTCCTTGACGGTGTACATGACCTGGTGGGCAGGGAACTAGTTCTTCCAAACAGGGTCAAGGGAGAACTCGTTGATCTGGCATGATCCGCCCCACCTCATGGTAAACTACGTAGTCAGGCGTGTAGCCGAGGCCATACCTCAGCTGATCCAATGCCATGACCTACTCAGCAGCTAAAGTTCAACCTCCACGGATATTTCTTGGCCTTATCGGCCTTCCATTCCTGATGTCAAAAAGTGACCATAAGTCAACAAGGCGCTTTCTGCTGCAAATGCAGATATCAGTGAAGGGAATGCTCGAAATGGTTGCAAGGCGTGACCCCAAGCCCGGCTTAGTTTGTGACAGCGAGCTAGTTGGATGCAAATTTGCAGGGATCCGCGACCTAAGTTTGCAGGGATGTAAATGCTTTGAACCATCTTGCACTGGACGATGCTATCACCCGTCAAACGGTCTAGTCTAGTCTTGTCTTACCTTGAATTTCTCTTTGCATAACGAGACATAGCACCGAAATTAGCATCAATCATTTGAAACATGCTTCTCCATGCCAGGGCTGTGGCCGGAGATTCACATACTCACCAATGCCACGAAGCCTCAAAAAAAACAAACACAAACCAAATCATTTCACTGCAGAGACGAGTTCGAAGAATGACAAAAACTAGGCAGTATGCGAGCAGCAAGGGTCTGCACAGTCGATTGTTGCTTTGTGACTGGGACCCTTCCAATTTTGATGCTTCCAGCATCTTCCAGCACCTTCAAATCATCCGGCTTCATCTGGACCCGAGGCCCACACTTGCTGGCATTGTGAAAGTACCCTGCGCAAATGGCTTTGCGGACCTGATCCCAGTCAGTGCCTTGGTCATGGAACTTGCCCAAGAGCAAAAAGTAAGCGGCTCTTTTTTACAGAATCTTGAAAACATCATGTTCATCCATCTTGTGCCACACATGTTCAAAACTCAATATCCTAGCGGTCCTAGCGAAAACTAGTCGATCCAAAAGAATCTTCGGTCAAGCAGAAAAACACGTGCTGAAGACTCAACTAAGGCGCTCACCAATGGAGTTGATTTGCAGGTGCTGTTGCTGCCTCGGGCTCATACAAAATCAGTCTCTGGCATACCTTCCTATTCGCAGTTCTGCCCCTGGGTAGGGAACGCCTAGAGAGCATGTACAAGCAGCCGGAGAGCGCGCAAGAAACAGCAAACTGAGTCATTGAGGATGTCACACCAGCAGCAAATCACTAATTATCACTGTCGTATCACCGCGAATCTTTGAAAACATTGCGTACCTTGGGATCATTTGTTTTGCCACCCCTTTTTGATTGACATGTTTGGAGCCCAAAGAGCTGCCAGCCCCTAGTCCAAGCAGCATAATCTCCTCCAGCTGCCCGCGCCTCGGAGATGCTCCCGATTGTTGTTCTCTGCCAGACTCTGCTTTGGGATCTTTGGGCATGGCATTACTGAGAGCAAAACACTTCACGAACCTTTTTCAGTGACTTCTGGTGAACAAAGTGATCTCCACACCACTTGGCACCTCAAGTCCGAAGCACTGCTCAGTGGAGGGTGGTTTGTTGCAATCTTTTTGGGTTTTGGACCTGGGATGGGAGAATAGGACAACTGTTTTGAACATGACATGGCCAGGGTGTTGCCCCAACTCTTTTGAGGAAACAATGCTCACACGTTTTGCAGTAAAGTCTGCTAAGCTTTTCTTTGTCATTGTGGAACTACGCACATATAATATAGATTGATATAGTGTCCGTAGTGACTAGTCCTTCGTGCCAACTTGTGCTATAATTTAGGAAACACACTATGATACAGGCCTCTTCAACCCAAGTTCCAAAGAAAAGGTCAGCGCGGATATGTTGCTGTGAGTCGTTGCGCAATTGTAAGATTAAAAAACATCAAAGATGCACTTGATTCACTGGCCGGATTTCAAGCGGGCTGAGCGGCTGAAGCACTAGTAACACATTGGTGAGTCACTCGGAGGCTAAGCAAAATACTGTAGCCATTGTGGCCCCACTGCTGGTAAACGTTCAAAAAGGTCAAGTGATCACCTACAAGCAAGTTCGTAGTGGAAGCCATACAACATGGGCGGACGCAATTAAGTCTCACAAAAGATGAAGCACTCCGATGTTCTGAAAGAAAGTGGTTCTCGACAATAGATCCAAAGCCCCAGGACCCTTGCCTGCAGAAACCAATTCATGGTTCAAACATTAATCAACACGTTGCGTGCTTTGCTAAACCTCTCAAAGCAGCATCCTACACATTTGGAGCCGCGCTTTCCGGGACAAAGAACTTCTCTCTTGCAGCGTCGCTTTCATCTGCACGGTCCTGACTGTTTGCAAGCACGATGGTGATGACACACTCATGCGGAGACAATACCCGAATACCCACAGGCAAGGACTTTTGAGACCTTTGACAACCTGATTTGACATGTAAAATCTGCCGCAAATAGGTTTCCTTCACCCCTCCCGGCCAAAAGAAGCTGTGCTGTTGGAACTCTCCTTTGGTCGGAAAAAGATCGATGGCACCGAGAGCATGGACACAATGCTCATAATCTGGGACGAAAGCTGGATTTGATCAAAGTGAAAAGCGAAGCAACTAACCAGGGCACGCAGTTCCAAGGCATATGTTTCGGTTTTGGCACAGGCAGGAACCGGAATCACATAGTATGGAACTAGTTCATGGAATGATTGTAGAATGCAGGGCCCAGGCATCTGGCCTCCGAGCTACAGCCAATCTCTTCACCAACAATGAGCATTTTGGACAGTGGTGGGTCCTTAGTGATGCTGAATCTCCATGGCCCTAGTATTTACAAACAGCAATCCTGCTAGACTTGCAAGCGTTGGTTGGGTCCATTCCTTGACTTACGTGTCTGTTGATTGAGCTCTGTGCCAATGGGAATTGCGCCATCTTGTTTCCCAGTTTCGTGATGTCCTGAGACGTTGCGGCCATGGCCATGGAACATCCCCAAGAGACAAAGTCTGAGAACCCGGCACCGAGATTGTCCAACGCACCCAGCATCCAGAGCTGGAACAAAGAGTTCAAGATTGTGTCCTGTCATGGGCCCACATACATTACAGTACCACTCTTTTCACTTGCCTCCACTGTGAAAGGATCCGGGTTACAGTAATAGCTGCCAAACAGTGTCGACTGAGTGGGTCGGAGACTGCACCTGTGGCGGTGGATCCATGAAGCCAAAGGAGAGCAAATCTTTGATCTCAGCAGAGCCAAAACATGAAGAACCGCATCATTTGATGCCTGGACCTCCAGAAGACAATTGTCATTGGAGGGTATCACAAGTTGAAAAAATGGACGGGTTTTGATTTGTTTCTTATTGTTTGAGATAGTATCATCATGAACATAGGACTTGCTTGTGAGATTCGCAATGCTCTGCGAGCCGCCGGCGATCACAAATACAGCCAAGCTACGCCCATCGATTTCAAGAGCAGCACCACGTTGGCAAGATTGGTACCTCAGGCGAAGGAGGGTGGAGGAGCACCGCATTAGCATGACTGATAAAACTTGTCTTTTGCATCTTCAGTATCCTTCCTTATCACTGCACATGATCATCAATGCAAACATGCATTTTCTGACATAAATGCAGCAAAAAGAACTTGCCAAATCCCCCTTTCTGCAATCATCTTTTCATGTTCTCTTCATCCGATGATGTGGCACAATCATCGGATTGACTGGCAATTCGACAATGTGTTGAGCCCTTGACGTTGAATCTCCGGAATAGTCATGGTAAGCATTTCGGAGACATAGGCACTCTCTGTGTAGAGCCGCCAGCATCTCAGTGTGTGAATCGTGTTTCAAAACATGCACATCATGCACTTTATGCAGCTTGCCTTACCAGGTGCAATGAAATCATGGTACCAAAGTTTGTGCACCATGGGACCATGTGCATACAAAACGACATCCTCACACTGATTGCTGATGATTTTTGAGGACAAATGCCATCCATTGCCACCCTATGGAGACACGCTAGCCATGAATGCGTGGAAATATGTTGAAATATTTTACAATCGTGTCGGTTGGCTGGCTGGACATCATGACATTTGTCCAATATGGCCCCACATGGCCCCATAGTATGCCCAATCATGACCATGCACTCATATCATATCATTGTTGGAAATTAGTCCAGGTGCCCTGCTTACATTTGTCCCTTTACAAATGATTCCATGAATCAACATGAAAATTTAACTTAATAGATGTAGGCACCTCTCTGGAAATTAATCCGGGTACGCCGGGGTAGCTCTCCTATACCCTATACCCAGGAAATGAATCCGCCCCAAAAAAAATCCCAACAAATTAATCCACGAGGTCACATGGATGTCACATGGGTACCTGGACGAATTTCCCATTGCTCGAAGCTCTGAGGACCATACGCTCCAGGCCCTGTGCGCCCAGCACGGCCACGGCGCTGGTTTGCCTCAAGTTTTGGACGGTAAACCTGGGAATCAGCCAGTCCCCGGAACACCATGGAACCAAAGCAGGATCTGGGGCAAAAACATTGGCTTGCGAAATAGGTGTCACTTGCAAGCTGTCCATTCCTCAATTCATCGGCTGTCATGTCATGACGTCAGCAAATTTTTGAACTTAACTTAGAGTTTCCTAGATCAGTCGCATGGAAATACAATACACAGCAAAGAGGCATGAAATTCCGCAAACCAAGAATTCACCGGGCTGTTGCCCTGTCGAACAGAAAAAACATGTGAGCGATCGGCAAAACCTCAATTGAAAAATGCGACCTTTGGTCACATCATTGTTTTTGCGAATTACCTAAGTTACCTATATCGTTTTACAGTAAATCCTGGTTGCATCACCCGGCTCCCCTTGCAAAATGGATGCACGAAAACTTTTTACACCTCCACTCCAGCGTCTGCAGCATCTTTGTCTGCCTTGCGTTTTCTTTTGCAACGCTCCATTATGGTATGGTATGGTTCCTGCCAACGCAACTGCAAATCGCAGTTGCACCGTACTTTCTCAAACTCAGAAACAAGTTTTGAATTCAGTTTGTTGGAAGAAGTCCAGATGAGCTCTCACAGCGACACGCTCCAGGCCTTTCGCTGTCCAGCGTCTGCGTAGCTAAGTCAAACCATCGACATGGTCCAATGCCTTAGCTTCCTTCATCTAGCATAAAAAACATAAATTATCATCAAACCGCAGCTCTCTGACTGGTGGCAGCTGTCCACCAAATCGGCCCACGTGTGGAACCCGGCCAAGTCAATGAGATCATCAGAAAATACAGAATGCTCACGGGCCCCGTGGACAGCTGCCACCAGTCCCAGACCTACAGGTGCAGTTTTACGATCTGTGTGCCCGAGATGAACTGAGATGGACAAAAGCAATGGAGCGCTGCAAGAGAATTTGCATAGCAGCGAAAAGATCGCAATAAGCAAGTGACAATGTTAAAGTGCAAAGAACCACCTCAAGAATCTTTTCACATCTGGGCCATCCATCAGCGAAGGACATTTTGTCAAAAAATGGTTTATCGTTTCGTTATCGTTTTCGTTATCGTTCAAAGCGGGACACATTTTTGGGAAAATGGCATGAACCAAAGAAAGTTGGAAAGGAGACTTGTTGTCATCGTCGCTGCTTGCATGAAAGCACGAAAATACAAACGCTCATCCGGAGGGCTTGAGCGATGGCGAGACCAAAAGAGCATCCAAATCCAGCTAGTTACCACGTAGCAAAACGTGATTGGATACAAAACCGTTGCAATAATCAGAAATTAAGAAATTGGCCAGGATCAAGAGTGTAAAGCATACTTTTGCACATCTTCCGATGTGTGAGCTGGGCATGACGTATGCCCCACAACTGGGAGCCTAGATTCATAGATGAATCTAGATGATCTAGATGCTTCTAGAACAGGTATCCACCATCATGTCCAGATCATGTCATGAACACCACCCCTTCACATCCCAGCATGCTTTCACACATGAACTGATTCCATATTCCCATATTCCATATATATATATAGTTTTACATATCAAGATGCATGTTTTTACATGAAAATCATGAAAAATCACTCGTATACATACCTCCTACACGGAGAGTTTAGCCTCTTTCTATCTTCTTTCTCAATGTGGACTTGTGCGTATACTTGATAAACAGCAAGGTTTCTGTCATTTAAACAGCAACTCTGACAAACACCAGTATATCGAGCATATCGGACATCAGCACATTGTCAGCTGAAGTGTCAGCACACAAAGTATTGAAGGACGAAATCATAGGATTCTGCTCAAAGCCAGCCAATCATCTGAGAGCAATACCCATCTTGGGGTTGTAGATTTTCAGCTTGCAGTAGCCTGAACGCCGGGTGCACACAGAAAAGCAGCCACAATAAGAGCAACAGAGAAACAACACCAGCATGCCTGTCGTCAGAATAACAACAGCAAATACAATGTTATGTACTTTGCGCATCTCTTTGCCATGATGATCGAAACAGAGAGTCATGTATACTAGTGGCACTGCAGAAGATGCAGGACTCCAAATTGCGATCCCGGACTCAATACATCTAGACTCTATAGTCAAAGTTTCTTGGGGAAAGCTCGCCAAGTGTTCAATACTTCAGCATTCCATATCCATATGTCGTATATGTCGTATATGTGGTGCCTGTATCTATGACGTACTTGATGCCATCCACGGTCAGCGAGGTCTCTGCAATGTTGGTGGCCTTGCTGTGCACTTCATTGGTGGCCTCCCCCCCAGCGAATCAATATGCCGGCTTTATCTTGCCTTCATACTTTCTGGCTACCGTATCTATCTATCTATCTATTTATCTATCTATCTATTTATCTATCTATCTATCTATCCTATCCTATCCTATCCTATCCTATCCTATCTATCTATCCTATCTATCTGTCTGTCTGTCTATCTATCTATCTATCTATCTATCTATCTATCTATCATCTATCTATCTGTCTGTCTGTCTATCTATCTTATCTTGTCCTATACTATATTATATTATCTTAACTATATACCTTATCTTATCTTATCCTATCTCTTATCCTATATTGTCTTATCTAGTCAATCTTATCTAATCTAGCCTAGTCTAAACTAATCTATCTATCATAATCATTCATCTATCTATCTATCTATCTATCTATCTCTATCTATCTCTATAGATCTATCGATCTATCGATCCATCGATATATCGATCTATCGATCCATCGATCTATCTATCTATGTATCTATCCATCTATCTATCGATCTATCGAACTATCGATCTATCTATCTATCTATCTTTCTTTCTATCCTAATCTATCTAACTTTCTATCCTATCTATCCTATCTATCCTATCTATCCATCCTATCTATCTATCCTATCTATCTATCCTATCTATCTATCCTATCTATCTATCCTATCTATCTATCTATCTATCTACCTATCTATCTATCTATCTATCTATCTATCTATCTATCTATCTATCTATCTATCTATCTATCTATCTTCCTATCTATCCTATCTATCCTATCTATCCTATCTATCCTATCTATCCTATCTATCCTATCTATCCTATCTATCCTATCTATCTATCCTATCCTATCTATCCTATCCTATCTATCCTTTCCTTCCTATCTATCTATCTATCGATCTATCGATCTATCGATCGATCGATCGCTCTATCTATCTATCCTAATCTATCCTAATCTATCTAACTTTCTATCCTATCTATCTATCCTATCTATCTATCCTATCTATCTACCCTATCCTATCTATCATATATATCTATCCTATCCTATCTATCCTATCCTATCCTATCCATCCATCTTTCCTATCTTTCCTATCTTTCCTATCTTTCCTATCTTTCCTATCTTTCCTATCTATCCTATCTATCCTATCTATCCTATCTATCCTATCTATCCTATCTATCCTATCTATCCTATCTATCTATCTATCTACCTATCTATCTATCTATCCTATCTATCTATCTGCCTATCTGCCTATCTATCCATCTATCCATCTATCCATCTATCCATCTATCCATCTATCTATCTATCTATCTATCTATCTGTTATGCTTTGTGATGCATTTTGATGCTGTATTTGCGGTGGGAGTGCATCGAGAAGTTGTCTCTGCATCAGGACAGATTCCTCCTTCTCCCTTTTGACCTACTTATGATAATCATTGAGAATATCTGAGAACCAATACATTTTCAAGGCGAGACACATGTCATATCATCTTGAGATCTTATTAAATTCCCAAGTTCTTTCTGCTTGACACCTTCAAACTGCATGCTCAGCTGGGTGGCCACAATGATCTTTCTCTTATCGCTGCTCTCAAAGATCTTGGCCTGAGCTACAGAGACACCGGTCACCAGTCCTAATATGTCTTAACGACGTTTTATCCAGCTGCTTCGTGAAAAACACACGCTGGACCTTGAATCAAAGGATTACCCTGAGAAAAACTGAAACATTCTGAAACTCAAAGAACCTTCTGAACTGTTCTGAAACCCTCAAAGCTTGATGGATTTGAAATCGAAGTTCGGGAGTGAAAGAACTTTAAAGAACCTTAAAGAACACGCCTGCAAGTCTGATGGTAGCTGGGAGTAGATTGGCAAAATGGTCACAGGAGGCACTTCTTCACCCACCTGGAACAGGGAAAGCGAGGAAAGCGTGTTGTCTGTGATCGTGGGGCTGGCCCAAATAGCTTATAAATACCTTATGGATCCTTATCGTATCTTATAATATCTTATAATCCCTCATAATATCTTATAATACCTTATATACGATACCTTATCATACCTTACATGTCTGACTTGCATTGACTTGCAATCAGCATTTGCATGCCACTGCCTGCCAAGTAGACCTCAAACATGTTTGGCGGCGAGATCTGATTGCATGATGTGATTGCTCCAACTGTTGTGGAGATGGATGCCCTGCACAAACGAGACCATCACTTGGCCTGGAAGTACTGCTGGCAAACTCAGCAGCAGCGCTGAACCCCAAAGAGATGAAGAAACAAAAGTGATTTCACAACGCGATCAATCCAGCGCTGTCTGCTGACTATCACTCTACCTCACGATGCTCCGTGATGAGATATTCTGCAGTGGAACGTTGCTTTAAAACACACACACACTCATCACATTTCATCACTATGAGTACTTTGGTCTGTTTCAAACTAATACTAGGACCACTCAAGCTTGCACACGGAGCCTCGTGGGGTTCATTCGGTGTTGGTTCTTCCAACTGCCCAAGATTCCGGGCCAAACTGCAAAAATCGAATTAACATGTTGGAAGAACCAAACCCCTATACAAGCGGATTGTGGAATCAAAACTCCAGAAACTCCTTGCCTGTGTTCTAAATTGGGGAAGTCACAGGCCACTGCATAGTTGCACTGTTCCCCCACCCTGCTGGATGTGGCAGTGCGAATTTGCGCTGCACACCCATCTAGCCCACCAGCGTGGAACCGAAATTCCTTCTGGGAAAAGTGAGCAGGTTTGTATGTTCTAGCATGGACCGCTCGGGCATGCCACAAACAGGCACATTCCCGAACCGTGCAAACATTGCAGCCTCGAAACGTGGACTTGCCTTTTTCACTTTCAAATTGAGAACACTGCAAGCGACAGCGCAGAACAAAGGAAATTAATGAAAAATATAGAATCCTGTCATGCTTGATCTGTGTGCCACATTGTACTTGAATGCCATTGGTATTCGGTGAAATTGCAGGGCCCCGGGAGACCTTTATGGAAAAAGTTCCACTGGCACGGTTTCCATTTCAGGAACCGCTTCGGACATTTCCTCAGGATCCTCCGGCGTTGGCTCAGTTGGCTCAGTCGGCGCAGTTGGCTCAGTGGGATCGGTTTCCTCAGTGGGCTCGGTTGGCTCAGTGGGCTCGGTCGGCTCGTCGGGCTCAGTTGTCGGCTCGGTGGGCTCAGTTGTCGGCTCGGTGGGCTCGGTGGGCTCAGCTGGCTCAATTGGCTCAGTGGGTTCCCTGGGACCCTGCGGACATGGAATGTCTTCGTAGGGGCCAGAACCACCGCAAAATCGACATTGAGCGTTTACCTCACTCAAATTGGCTTGCACCACGCTCGTGCTCTTGAATCAACATGCTGCTTTCTATTTGTGCGAAACAACATGAACGGCATCCATACTGTACGGAGAGAGTGACCAATGATAAGACCTTGAAGCCTTGCAGCACATTTCCTGGACCTTTGCGAACCGACTTCGGTGATTGGCAAAGCTACACTTTGATCCAGCTGGGCAGTCGAAAACGCAATCATGTCAATAGTACATCATTCTACATCCCAACAGGACTATGCTTTTTTGGGATAATTTCTGATTGTTTTTTATTATTCTCATATCGACATCATGAAAGCAGAACATGCAACATTTGTGTAACAATCCTTTTCAACGTCTCACCATCTCGGTGGACCATGCACCTTGTATCCACCTTGTGAACCGTTGTTTCAAAATGTCTCATGACTTCTCTGTAGTATTTCCATGAAGACTGGACGTGGCCTCAGGATACGACGTGAATTCAATGCATGTGCGGGTGATGGCCTGTCAGTCCACTATAGAGTACTACAGCCAGGCACGCCCTTTATTTTCAATTAATTTCAATCATCTATATTCATCTAGCATACTATATTATAATATAATATTATATTATCATATCTTCATGCGTGCATATATGATTCATATTAATCTCGCCAAGTTGCACCATCAGCCCAGCAGCCTTTCATGCCCCATTTGCACTGCTCATCCCAGTAGTGGCGCGTCCTCGGGTGTCTGACTGGAAACCAACAAGTGCCATCTGGATAGGCCGGGCGCGCGTTCTCAGGGCATGGAACGCTTTGGAATGGCACCTCGACATCCGACACAGCTGGTGCATCGACAATGTGAAGCGCGTGGTTTCCCAAGAATTGCCAAAGAAAAATAAATTACTTTACTTCGTGTGATCCCCACCATGACATTTATACATTTTCTTACTGGCAAATCTTCTGGCATTCTATCTGACATATCTTCTGACATTCTATTTGGCATTCTATCTGGCATATCTTCTGGCATATGATCTGGCATATCTTCTGGCATATCTTCTGGCATTCTATCTGGCAAATCTTCTGGCATTCTATCTGGCATATCTTCTGGCATCTATCTGACATATCTTCTGGCATTCTATCTGGCATATCTTCTGGCATATATTCTGGCATATCTTCTGGCATTCTATCTGACATATCTTCTGGCATATATTCTGACATATCTTCTGGCATATCTTCTGGCATATCTTCTGGCATATCTTCTGACATATCTATCTGGCATATCTTCTGGCATATTTTCTGGCATTCTATCTGGCAAATCTTCTGGCATTCTATCTGGCATTCTATCTGGCATATCTTCTGGCATATATTCTGACATATCTTTTGGCATTCTATCTGGCATATCTTCTGGCATTCTATCTGGCATATCTTCTGGTATATCTTCTGGCATATCTTTCTGGCATATCTCCTGGCATATTTTCTGGCATTTTACCTATCTTCTGGCATTCTATCCTGGCAAATCTTTGTGCATTCTATTTGGCATTATCTTCTGGAATTCTATATGAATCTTCTGGCATTCTATCTGGTTTATCGTTTCTGCCTTCTTCTGGCATATCTTGGCAGATCTCATGGCATTTTATTGGTAATCCTGACATTCTAATCGACATATTTCGACTCTTTCTGGCCATATTTTGACCATTCTGTCTGGCATATCTTCTGACATTCTTTCTGACATTCTTTCTAAATTTCTTCTGCACATTCTTTGTCCCATATCTTCCTACATGAGGTCCGGCAGGGAACACTTGGCGTGGATACTCGCGGTTGAGGTCCGGCAGGGAACACTGGGCGTGGATGGTCGTGGTTGAGCTCCGGCAGGGAACACTGGGCGGGGATGGTCGTGGTTGAGGTCCGGCAGGGAACACTGGGCGTGGATGGTCGTGGTTGAGGTCCGGCAGGGAACACTGGGCGGGGATGGTCGTGGTTGAGGTCCGGCAGGGAACACTGGGCGTGGATGGTCGTGGTTGAGGTCCGGCAGGGAACACTGGGCGTGGATGGTCGTGGTTGAGGTCCGGCAGGGAACACTGGGCGTGGATGGTCGTGGTTGAGGTCCGGCAGGGAACACTGGGCGCGGATGGTCGTGGTTGAGGTCCGGCAGGGAACACTGTGGATCGCGGGTCGCAGTTGAGCAAGGACGACAAGGATGACAAGGAGGACGAGGAGGAGGAGGACGAGGCAGGAGGAGGCGGAGGAGGAGGAGGAGGAGCAGGAGGAGCAGGAGGAGGAGGAGGACGAGGAGGCAACTGACATAAAATCTAACAACCCTCACCTGGCAGGTGGGGAACAAACCATTACCAGATACTACCAGTAAAAGGCAAGATTTCAGGTGTCCAGAGAGCGTCCGACACATTCAGGAACAATCCTACTATATAAACTAAAATCGTAAATCGTCGTGTGACTTTCATGGATAGAAACTGACACGTACTAGCAGTGATATGTGACTTTTCGATCGATTTGTGTAGGTGGAACATGTCAGGCTGCAACAGCAAAACTGGCAGCACGCCTTGTCGCAAAAGCGGCATTGAATGTGATGCCCATCTGCATTACAGCCGAGAGTTCCCCATTGGCAAAAGTCGTCCCAGTAGTAGGGGTTCCTCATTGCCACTGTGGTTGACAGGCAGCAATTGAGACGTGATTGAACAAGTATGAAAAAGTCGTATCTTCCAAAAGGCGATGAAATTGATGAGGGAATGTTCACGCCGCAACATACGCTTTGTTAGACGCCCAGGGTTTGAGCAGTTCCGGCGTTGTCTTTATTTCGCTTGCAGCGAATGTACGCACCGTTCAGTTCACCCAGCAGGTATTGTACACACGTGTGCGCCAGGATCCTTGAGTATCCCTACCAGCTCACATATATGTTTAGAATGTAATATTATATAAATATCGATAAATATCGATAAATATCAATAAATATCGATAAATATCGATAAGTATCGCAGTTTTGATGAGCGCGATTCCAATTGGTCTGGGACCTCGTCGCTGCGAAAAAGAGCTGGCTCTCTTTGTGAAGCGGATTGGGGCAACTTTCGTCCCAAACTTCTACAGTACCTGTTGAGCGCATGCGCTCAGGCCTCTTGGACTTTAGTCTCCTCAGTCTAGCATTTTTTGGTCCCTGGTTCAAGCACCCGCAAAACTTCGATCGCAAATCGTGCTGTGTTTTTGCTCCTGTGATCATGTTTGTATGTGTGATCGCGTAAATGTGTGTACAGCAATGTGGGTGTGATTATGTGATTGGCCCAGTCAAACAGGAAAGGCTAAAACACGATTTGTTTCTTCTTGTCTTCTTGTTTTTCTCTGTTTTCTTCTTCTTGTTTCTGTTGTAGTATTGCTATTATTGTTGTTGTTGTTGCAAACAAAGACTGGGGCCCTCAGAACAAGCTACCTGAGCTTATTTTGGAATTTGTTTGGTGTTCCTTAAGGGCGTCCATGGAGTTTTCCACTGTTTTGAAAAAGAACTTTGGTGTAGACTTTTGGCTCTTTTTTTAAATTAGGTTAAAGCTTCCTGGGCTCCTTTTTGACCGCTCAGTCCCCGAAATCTTGCAAAAAGGGGTCCAGCAGGGTCGCTTTGGATCACTCTAATTTTTCTGGTTGCTGGACCCCTTTTTTGGGGCCCCAGCGGCCCAAACCTATCAAAAAGGTGTCTGGCAGCCTCTATTTGGAATTTCCATGATCCTCCGTTTCATTTTCTAGCTGCTGGACCCCTTTTTGTGCCGTGAGCAGCCTGGATCCTCCAAAAGGGGTCCAGCGGCACCTGACTTCAGACTGGCCACCTTTTCCTGCTGCTTGGACCCCTTTTTGTGCCGTCAGCGGCCTGGATCCTCCCAAAAGGGGTCTGGTGACCTGGCTTCAAATTTGCTTCCGGTTCTACCTTTTCAGAGCAACCTTGCCACACGGAGACACTGTACCTGTGTTTGCTCTCTCTGTTCCTTCTTCTGCTTGTGCGCGTTGCTCTCTGTGCGGCAGTTGTTCTCTGGAGATTCTTCTTTTTTTGTTCCACTATCTGCAAAGCATAGACTTTATGCAAGGGTCGTCTAGCTCAGTCGGTAGAGCCCAAGGCCATTAACCTGAAGCTTGGAGGTTCGAGCCTGCCTTCGGTCATATCGATTTTTTACCGCCAATGAGGCTCTTGTGCCAATCTTGCGGCTGCTGGCCTTGCCGCACCGAGAAAAGTGTTCTTGCTCCTTTAGAGGCTGTATCTATGTTCTTCCTTCTGGTCATGGCTCTCTCTGTGTGGCGGTTGTTGTGCTGATATCCTGCCTTTGCTGATCCATCAGCTCAGCATGGCCTTTATGCAGAGTCCGCTCGCTCAGTTGGTAAAGTGCAAGGCCCTGAACTTGAGTTCCGCTTTTGTCCTGGGAAACTGGATTAGACCTTCACCTTTTTCCTGGTGCAGGACCCCTTTTTGTGCTGTGAGCGGCTTGGACCTCAGCTCGGACCTTCACCTTTTTCCTGCTGCTTGGACCCGTTTTGGTGCCGTGAGCGGCCTGGATTCTCCAAAAAGGGGCCCAGCGCCACATCAGCTCAGACCTTCACCTTTTTCCTGGTGCTGGACCCCTTTTTGTGCCGTGAGCGGCCTGGATCCTCCAAAACGGGGCCCAGCACCTTCACCTTTTTCCTTGTGCTGGGCCCCGTTTTGGAGGATCCAGGCCGCTCACTGCACAAAAAGGGGTCCAAGCAGCAGGAAAAAGGTGAAGGTCTGAGCTGATGTGGCGCTGGGCCCCTTTTTGAAGGATCCAGGCCGCTCACGGCACAAAAAGGGGTCCAGCACCAGCCCCGTTTTGGAGGATGCAGGCCGCTCACGGCACAAAAAGGGGTTCCGGTGGTAGATGAGGAAAAGCAGATCAGCAAAAGAAGTTATATCAGCACAAGAACCGCCACACAGAGAGAGATATGACCACGAGATACCACGAGCCAAGAATGAAGAGAGATAACATATATAGGCACAGCGACAAAGGAGAGAGAGAGAGAGAGAGAAAGAGGGAACAAGAATACTTTTCTCTGTGCGGCAAGGCAAGCAGCCGCAAGATTGGCGCAAGAGCCTCACGGGCGGAAAAGGTACTATGGGCCGAGGCGGGCTGGAACTTCTCATCCCCAGGTTAAGGGCCTTACGCTCTACCAGCTGAGCTAGGCAGCTAGGCGACCCTGACATAATACAGGGCATGCTCTGCAAGTTCTGGAGCAAAAAAGGATATCCAGACAGGATCTGCCACAGAGAGATAGCAACGGCGCAGAGAGCAAGGAACAGAGAGAGCTAACACAGGTACAGCCTGTGTATCTGGCAAGGCTACTGAAACGGTCGATCCGGAAGGCGGGCCCCTTTTTGAAGGATCCAGGCCACTCACGGCGCAAAAAAAGGTCCCACCCCCGGGAAAATGTGAAGGTCTGAGCTGCGCGGCGGAGGGCCCCGTTTTGGAGGATGCAGGCCGCTCACGGCACAAGAAGGGGTCCAGCACCAAGAAAAAGGTGAAGGTCTGAGCTGATGTGGCGCTGGGCCCCTTTTTGAAGGATCCAGGCCGCTCACGGCACAAAAAGGGGTCCAGCACCAGGAAAAAGGTGAAGGTCTGAGCTGATGTGGCGCTGGGCCCCTTTTTGAAGGATCCAGGCCGCTCACGACACAAAAAAGGGTCCAGCAGCAGGAAAAGGTGGCCAGTCTGAAGTCAGGTGCCGCTGGACCCCTTTTGGAGGATCCAGGCTGCTCACGGCACAAAAAGGGGTCCAGCAGCATGGAAATGAAAGGTATGTGTTGTTGTGGTTGTTGTGGTTGTTGTGGTTGTTGTGGTTGTTGTGGTTGTGGTGGTTGTGGTTGTGGTTGTGGTTGTGGTTGCTGCTGCTGCTGCTGCTGCTGGTGCTGGTGCTGTTGCTGTTGTTGTTGTTGTTGTTGTTGTTATGGTGGTGCCGATGGTGGTTGGTGGTTGTGGTGTTGTAGTGGCCGGTGTCGCTGTCGTCGTCACAGTCGTGAACACATCTCTGCCAGTGAGCGCTCGATCCCTCACACAGTGTCGAGGCTACGTCCTTCCCAGTAGATATTGATAGATATTGCAGAAATAAGTGATGGGAACGATTTTGTGTCAAACTCTCTAGTCATCAAGTTGCTGTGCAGCTAACTTAATGAAACAAACTGCGTGTCAGGGTTGAAAGTGCTCAATCTCTAGTTAGAAATTGGTTTTGGACGCATGTGAAAGGTGCCATGAAACAAGCATGTGAAGACTTGGCTCTCATGGGTCACATAATATCACAGAATAGCGGGGATAAGAATACAGAAGAATACTCTTCTTCCAAATATTTCCTTAATGATTGACAAGCCTAGCTACGATTGGAAGGATACGAGCCCCAGTACTTGATAAATCTTGATAACACCTCTCCTCATTGCTATCAATGGTTGGAGTCATGATTGCATCCCACGTCCGAATTTTTAAAGTATACAATGTGGCACAATTGTAAGGTCACACATGGTATCAAGCAAGCGACTCGTCGTTGTACGTAGAGCTTATATGACTTGTAAGATCTTGTAAGTGTGATCATTCATCACTGCTGAGTCCCGGACCACGGCTCATTGGCAAAGTAGCATGCACTAGCAGGGCATTGTATGTCTGAATAGGCCCCTGTACCACAAAATCGGCATCCAATGTGCCGACCTCAGCTGATGAATGCGGGCGCATACTTTTTGGACAATTTTGGGGGCACTCACGACCCATGATAGATGTGTGCGAAGTATAGGGCGTTCGCAACAACCAAGATGGAGCGTTTCAACCTGAAGCTGGTGGTTCATGCAAGCAACCATCAGCGAAGCAGCCCTTCATGCCCATACGACACCACGGGTCCCAGTAATAGGGTGTCACCGGTTCATTGTCAAACTTGCAAAGTTCCGTGTCCGGCGCGATGGCGTTCTTTGGGCACTTTACACCTACGGAACACGTTCCAACAGGACAAGGGATATATCTAATCCGAAGAGCTTGCAGGGTCTTGCAGTATGGCAGTCCAAAAGCAAATCAATGCTTTTAATATTAGCACCGAACTTGATTTAACAGTTTAACATCACATCAGGAGCAAATGCTGCCTGTGAAGGGTTCCTCCCCACAGAAGCGGCACTGCGAGTGCACGCCATCTGCCCAGCAGCCAACAGCCTGTGGGTTTGCTAGCCTCTAGCAATTTGCACTGAAGTGTCACAGCAAGACTTGTCTAAACAGGTCACCTTCTACCTGATCCCGTAGCATGGCAACACAGCTGTTCCACAACAAATGGGCTGCTGATGTCGCCCAGTGATGTCCGGGGCCCAGTGTCATGGAAATCTTCAGCATTGGCAGTTCCAACCGGTGCCTTGTTGTCTAGCTTGCAGCTCTCATCCCAAAAATATGGCAGCGCTGGTGGCTGCGAGAAGACCTGGGGCATTGGCTTTCCTGGAGCCTATGGGATGGGGAAGTGAGTGCTTGTTATTTACCAGAAAAGGAAGGAATAAATTGCCGAAAAAACAGGGAACTCGGCCTCGCGGACTGGCATGACTTAGGGTCGCTTTCTCAAGTTGTAGTGATGGTAGTGCGCTTTTCTGTCATAGCATGTCTTACTTCGCCACGTGAAAAGAAACTCGACGTGGCTGCAAAATAGGAACCATTAGGAACCTCTATGACACATGATGATACTATGACTTCCACTCCAAGCCACACATCGCTCCGCCGGTGTCCATCGATGCGGCTTGCCTGGCATGCCCCAAACGATCCAAACGTGCGAATGGAACGAATTGAACATGCTCTCATGTTTCAACTTGAAGCACTCATCAGGTTGGGGTGCAAATGGGTACAACATGCTACAACTATTATATTTATATATTATATATATACCAACTATGTACACTGGCGCAACTCATGGTACAACATGGTACAACAAATGTCTACTTGACAATGGAGACATTGCAGTGCCGCCTGGACGACCGGATGCTGGGTTTGCCGCCAGGAGCGTCAGCACCGCGAGCCGAAAGCACATCGCAGCTCCGTGAACCCGCCGAAAGCTGTGAGCCAAGAAGGCGTTTGTTGTAGGAAAACCATGAGAAAACTATGGGAAAATCTAGATGCACCATGAACTTTAATATCTTTCAGGAACTTGTTGCTCCTTTCTATGTAAATCCAGACACATTGGGGAGCGCTGTTGACGCACTGGTTGCACTGGTACAACTTCAATTCAACAAAATTCCCAATGCATCCCAATGCTCGATGCTAGAGAGCAAGATTGGGCAAGTGATCAGAAAAAACCAGGGTGGCTCTCATTCGGATCCTCACCTGCGAAATGCGATCGGCTAGGAGCACACAAGTAGCCTCGTGAGCACTTCAAGCTTCAGACTCTTGATGTCCAGTCATGTCCAGTTGCGGCAACATCTGATGAAATGTCGCCCAAAAAAAAACACAGTCTCATAAGATTTCATCGTCTACGTAGCAGGCGCATGAGCTCAAAGATCATGGTATGCCGAAAACCATTTGACAAGCCAGCACCTCAATGTCTTCCTGCCCAGTCATGAAGATGAGAACCTAAGAATTCAGCCTCTCACAGACTCTCAAATCTCTCACTGGAAACTGGTGGGAACCAATGCCTTGTCCATGCCTTGTCCATCCTTGTCCCACAAATTCTTCCAGCCGAACGCTGTGAGTGCATCCGAGGGCCCCAGCATCGCCAGTGTCCTGACCTCGATCCAAGACATGCGGATCAGAAGCTTGATGCCCGAGAAAGGGGTATACATGGGTACACATCGTTATGGTTATACGGTTATACGGTACGTGATTATATGGGTGTATACCAGTTGTTAATCATATCATTTTCTGCTAGTGGATGGGAGATAGATGCTGGAGGACCAAACAAAGGCAATTTGATTCAGGAAAACATGCTTGCCCACTGGTTTGCCCACCAATGAAGTGTAAAAGTCAATGTGCACTCTTTCAATCTCTGTGATGCGTAAGATCGAAATGTTGTCGGACGATGTGGCAGCTACAAACGGCATTGTTGCAGTGTTGCTCGGATTCTTTGATTATGGCAGTAATCTGTGCGGATGAGGCATTCGACATGCGTTACGTTATTGATACATGCACCTTTTGACAAGTAGAACGCATTTGTTCCCCAAGAAAGCATATATATAATAATTGACATGAGAATCAGCGCACCTTTGCGGATTCGGTGCCATGCAGCCAAATTCAAATTCACTGCAAAGAAATTTGTTCTGCAGGTATGCACACAAATATATATATATAAAAATATACAAATTTATCAAATAAATTAATATATCAATATTTCGATACTACAACGTTGAATCGACTCCAGAGTAAGGCAGCCAGGCAGTTGGGGTCCAAGCCCACGTGGATAGCAATGGCTTGCTGCACGGCTGCATCCACATAGTCCTACAACTAGCGTACAAGGACAAGGACCAGGTGCATCCTAGGTGTCATGCACAGCTGGTGCAAAAGGCTGTGAAATGCATAGTCCACAGCATCACCAAACCAGACTCTGCACCATGTCCCACCTGCGCTGTACTTCGCGCATAAAAGGTCTCAACCTTAGACGTGCTGCAACATGAAAATTTCAAGACACAAGGAGCAAGAAGGGGAACCAAAATACACACAATTGAGAGACAATGAAACAATGAAATCACAAGAGCAACTTCAACCATGCAGGAGAAAGTTTGCTAAAGTGTGCAAAAGCACAACCAAGGTCTAGTCTGGAAAGGTCCGACCTCAGTGCACGGTCAGTGCAACTTCAAGGACTTCCTGGAAACAGGATGCAACTGCATGATGCACCCCTGATTTTTGTGTGGGGGATGATCATCTCATCTCATTGTCAGATCACTTGGAAGTGCTGCAAGCTGCTGACAGTCAGTGACACCCATTCCAGCTACCAGCCACAGAGGTGCATGACGAGATCGTGCTAAGCAAATGGCCCGGGATGTTGAAAACTGGAACGTTGCCAAAAAACCTCTCGCGGGCTTCATAGGCAACAAAATGAAAGGCTGCGGTCCACACTAGTGACAGTCCATGCTATTAAGTACTAGAAACCCAAACATTCCAACAAAATCCATCAAAATCCACCATTAAAAAAAAAACAAAAAAAAGACTATGAACTCCTCCATCACAAGGCACCTCGCCTTGCAAACTTGTCAGCATCCATGGTGGCTGAGGTGATGATGAGCTTGAAATCATGCCGTCTTCCAACGACCGAACGCAAAACCTAACGGCAATGATAACTGCTTGACTCATCCTCTATGGAAACTGATCGTGGCCAAATGCAGTATTCTGTGAGACGTAGTGCTCTTTTGTGTCAAGATTTGACAAACATCAAAATCCATAGTGCCTTACGTCCAACCATTTAATCTATACATTATATCATATAATTACTATACTCTCATTGTTGAAAGGAAAAAATGGTGCTCAAAGATGCTTAAAGTATATAATATAATTTATCTAATGTTTTGTTAGATATAATTAAATTGCCAATCGCCGCCAAAGCACTCCAAACAGCACATCGGTGTTGAGGGATCGTTCGTGCGCTTCGTCCATGATGACAGCCTTGTAGTGACCCGCACAGGCAATCCTTTGCTTCCCTTGTGAGCGAAAACACCGGAATCCAACAATCAAATATGGAGTCATATGGAGTCATATGGAGTCATATGGAGTCAACATGAGTCAACCAACCTTGAATGTCTCGAGACCCACCAGCCCCAGAAGTCATGGCTTTGCTCACTATTCTTGTAGAGCCACGTCTGTGTCTTCGAATGCAAAATGGGTTTCATTGGGAACATGAAATCTCTGGGCTTCCAGGCGCAATAGCGGTCCAAGTCAGGCTCAAACAGTGTCTCACGCAACAGCACACCATCTGTCATATACCTGAGCTGTTTCGATGGTGGAGCCATGTGGAGCCAATTGTGGGATGTCTTTCGGCATGCAATTGAGAATGCATGCATAAAATCATCTGGAAAGAAAGCGCACATAATTACTGATGACTCAATGCACGGCATAGTTTCGAGAAGTGGTCCCGGATGGTCCCGGTATGTCCCGGTGTCTGCTCACGATGGCATGATGTGGCATGTCGATGTCGCATGTCAAGTGTCATGTCATGTCAGTATCATTAGCTGGGCTGCTTGATGATGGTGGACTCGCTAGTGCAGTCCTGACTCAGTGTCATGGATGACGTTGTTTCTGATATGTTCTGATATATGTTCTGATAGAATCGGAACACAAGACTTTTCAAACTTCGTGCGGCCGCCCTTCAAATCATTTGTCTCTGCATTGCCCCATGCCAGGCGCTAGATTATTTGACTCTGCACTGCGGCCCATGTCCTCGAAGCGGATGGAGTAGCCGACCTGTCAATGGTAAAGTGGATGGGACTTGACTTAGCTGGGAATGGACGGACTTAGTAGTTGCTCGGCTTTGTTTAAGAGAGGATGGCATGATATGGCATGGATACGCCTCTCTCCATATTCCATACATGCCCTTTATCTCTGAAGGCAGGGGGAAGTTCAAGAAACTCATTGAATTACATCTATAATATGATTAGAATATATCAAAATTATAAAATGTTGTTATTTAATTAAGTTTATATATAATCATAAATTATACATCTATGATTTTTTTCTGTAGTTCTGTACTTGGATTATCGCAAAAACGGGGCAGCACCTTAGTGCCCAGTTCGCATCCAAATTCGTCCGCCACTCGCTTTGCCACCGACCTCAGCTTCCATGAACAGCAGGCACAGTGCACATCACACAGAAAAATGCAACGAAATATCCAACAGTATCCAACTATCCAGCAACGAATAGCAACGGAGTAAGGGTCAGCCCATGTCAGCCCCTGTGAAATGCCCTTGTCATGCCCTGCTCTGACACTTTCCGTTCACCCGGAACTTGGCCTCCAACACAGCTGCGACACGCCTGGGCTGAGTACATCCGATCTGGCCATTCACAGTGTAGCCCGCCTCGTGCAAGTACCTCACCATCGAACACGGAAGTGAAATGACTGGCAACATGACCTTGCCTCTAATAGTCTAAACTTTGGATGAGCAAAGTCAACCAAGGAACTGTCCCTGCTTCAGAGCATTCAATAATTACAAATGACATGCGACGAACGGAATTCATTTGGCTCACTGTGTAAGTTGGGTGGTCTTGCCGGACCCTGTCTCGCCCACACAGACCAAGATCTGGCATTCAAAGGGGGATCACAGGATCACTGGATCATACCATGGATGCCATGGATGACGTCCGCATTTGATGCTGGCCCCCTGGGCTTTTATTTGGGGGGTTTTGCCCGCACTCAAAATCTATCCGGCTTTGGTACAATTATACAACTCAAACCACTTTTGTCAGGCGTGAGCAATGTACATACACACACATATACAAAGCAAAGTAAAATCTCTTGCTGTAGCTTGAAAGGAAGCCAGCCACAACGGCAAATTAATGGCAGCCAGGAGCTTCTTTGTTGTCCGACTTGCGCCCTTTGTCTCATGCTTCAACTCCAGTCCACAGATGTCCACAGTCCACCCTCACTTCTTGGTCTTCTTCTTGCCGCCATCCTTCTCCTAGACCACTTCCAAGCCAAACAAGCTCCAGTAGGACACAGGATCAATCAACAATATCAAGAATTTAGTGCAATACATAAGAGAGACATGGGTAGACGATAGACTATAACGAATGCAGCAAGCCTGGCAGTACACAAACAACGGCAAGTGAGCATAAATTATTTCGAGTCATGTCCCTCTAGGATCTCTTAAGCACTTACCGTAGAGTATTCTATATACCTAAAACATCTTAACTTAAAAATATCATTTAAATTCATTTAATATCATCATTTAGTTTAAATATAGCATATTATGATATCTTATATATATATATACATTATGGATCTACATCATCAAGAGACCTCTGGACGTGAGGAACTTCTCAGAGGTCAGCGTCCTTCGCCTGGGAGAGCTTCTCAGCCAGCACCTGCTTCACGCATTTTTGCTCCTGCAATGCTCTTGGGCCAGCTGCCTGATATATCCTGATCTAATTCTACTGAACACATCTGAAGACTTTGGTACCGTATTCTCTGAAGGTTTCAGAAACCTGAACAACTATATATAGTAACTAGACTAAGAGTCTTGATCGTTTAACCGTTTTGTCATTTAGTCCTATATTCAAAGCATTTAAAAACCAACTTCATGATTCCCCATGGCTACACAAAAAGCCCCTCTGGCACTCTCCTCAATTAAGAAGGCACGCACGATGCGTTGGCGCACGCAATGGGCGCAACGAGAGCCACCATAGGCACGGTTCACTCGCTTCTCGCGCTGCTTCAGCCTCATGCAAGTTGATGCTGATGCTTGCAGAGTTGGCCATATGTAATCCTGACCGCTCATGCTCACTGTTCACTGAATGTTTCACGACACACATGCACAGGAGAAGAACCTATATATATCTTGAATGAGCCGCTTCCCGATTTAATCAATCTGAGAGAATCTGACGGATTAGAGAGGAATGTTTGAGGGGTAGCATCAGCGGTATGTCCCATATGTTCCTCTACAGTACAGTACCATGTACTTTCCGGGTGTACCTGGAAACTTATATATATATAATATATATATAATATATGTATATAATATATATATATATAACCAAATGAGACAAAGCAAGGCTGGGCATTCGTCGCACCTCATGTATTCAATGGGCCGCAACCTGGGAAGGCCAATCAACGCTTTGCCGCAATCGCCGCAGTGGGGGCCCTTTGCCTTCTTCTTCAGCACCTGCTCTTCTCAGGGATGAAGATAATCAGTGACAAACTTCATGAAAATTCAAAGTGACGCCTCTGCATCCCATATCATCCTATATCATCCTATATCCATCTACAATAATCTACATATATTCTATAAAATTCTATAATACTACCATTGTTTATGTTTCCTGTAATTAGATGTGCTTTTTAATCAAGTCTGGACCCCTGACTACTGCTGTTTCCCTAAGTGGACTTTTAGATTCCCTGCCCCAAAAAACATAAAAAACATGACGTGAACTCAAAGAGACGACACCAGCACCAAAAGATCCAAAACCGAACGGAGAAAAAAAAGGCAGCGGTGTCCGCTCAAAGTTTGCATCGTCATTCTCTAAAGAACCAGTAAGAGTGCAGTGAGGTGGTCCAGGTCCAGGTATTGACGCAACATGAAAAAAACATCAGGCAACTTTGGACTATCAAACATGGCACCAAAAATCTCGAACCCCAACCTTAACTATCTTAACTGTTCGGCACATCTAAAATCTGAATTCCACGAGTGCGCACAGGTCAGAAGGACCTGAAACACGGCCCGGCCACCAGGTGTCTTCACTACCCGCTGCTTGTTGGACTTGGTATTGTAGCGGCACTGGCGACGATAGGTCAGGCGGAACGCCATGGCTTTCTGGGTTCCGTAATTGGCACAAATTTGGACCCGAGCCAAGCACTTGCAAGGGAAACCCAAACGACAATGCGGCGACAAATCTCAAAATCAAACTTTGGCGATTCGTTCAAAGGACCAAAACTAAGCTTTGACACCAAACCTTTACCTCGTGCAAGCTGATGGTTCGATTGCAAGCAGGTCCAACAGGTCCAACTGAGTAAAAACAATCTAAAGACTGGATCGAAGTTAGTCGTTCTTCGTGCCGGCAGTGCGTTGTGCTCACGCAGGAGGTCGATCAAATCTTGGCGGACCTGGTAGACCTGAAGGTTCGGCCAAAATGCGCAAGGCAGTAGTGCGGGTTTGGTAGAATAGCAGCGCTAGGATGCACTAGGTAATCCTCTCTCCCTATCACTAGAACCCCAAATGGTAAACACGGTGCCCCTAATATTTCACTGAAAACCCTAAAAATAAAAATAAAACAACTCGATGGCCAAATTTGATTGAATCCTTTATCAAAATCTATATAAAATATTTCCAAAAATTGGATTTCGAAGCCTTCCCCCAAAATTCCAATCAAAACCATGACAATAAAAATGAAAAACACGTTTTTCGAATTGAATGAATCCCTTTTTAAAATCTATACCGGTAATGCCGCACAAGGTTGTGCGGGAAGTTTCAAAGATAGGACACTATAGGAGAGGTGAGTTGTTGTGATGCATGGATGGCAGAGAGAACCCACTGATGGACCGAAAAGGTGGTTGGAGTTGTGTTTTTTGGACTGGCTGCAACGGTTGCAGTGGTCACCTCACCCACAACAGCTGGATGTAGCGTGGTGCAGCGCAGCTGGTAGTTGTAGTTGTAGCGTACTGAAGTGTAGTTGTAGTGTAGTGTAAAGTCGTGTAGTTGTAGTGTGGTGCAATGCGTGTAGTGCAATGTAATGCAATGTTGTGTAGTGTGCTGTAGTGTTGTGTGCTGTAGTGTGGCCTAGTGTAGAGTAGTGTAGTCTAGTGTGTGTAAAGTAGTGCAGTTGTAGTTGTATCTGTAGTTGCAGTTCATGCAGTGCAGTGCAGTGCAGTGTAGCGTGGTGTAGCGTAGCGTAGTGTAGTGCAGTGTAGTGTAAAGGTAGTGTAGTGTAGTTTAGTGTAAAGGGAGTGTAGCTGTAGCTGTAGTTGTAATGAAAAGTAAAAGTAGTTGCAGCTGTAGTTGTAGCTGTAGTTGTCGTTGTCCTGGTAGTTGTAGTTGTAGCTGCAATAGTAATAGTACTTGTAGTTCTAGGTGTCGTTAAAGTGTAATTAGTGTACTGTAGCGAGGTAAACTGGCATGTGTAGTTGTAGAGGTAGTGGTAGTGTAGTGTAGTTGCAGTTGCGGTTGTAGCTGTCTATCTATCTATCTTTCTATCTTTCTACCTATCCACCTATCCATCTATCCATCTTTCCATCTATCCATCCATCCATCACTCCATCCATTCACCTATCTATCAATCTATCCATTTGTTTGTTCTATTCTTTTCTATTCCGTTCTATTCTATTCTATTCTATTCTATTCTATCTACTCTATCTAACCGATCTAACCTATCTAAACAATCAAACCTGCCTAACCTATTTAAGCTATCTAACCTATCTAATCTATCTGATCTATCTAATCTATCTAATCGATCAAATCTATCTAATCTATCAAATCTATCTAATCCATCTGATCTATCTAATCGATCTAATCTATCTGTCTAACCTAACAACCCTGTCCAATCTACCTGAATAATTCTATCTATCTAATCTATCTATCCAATTAATCTAATCTATCTATCCAATTAATCTAATCTATCTATCTAATTAACCTAATCTATCTATCTAATGTATCTATCTATCTTTCTTTCTTTCGAATCTATCTAATCTATCTAATCTATCTTTCTTTCTTTCTTTCGAATCTATCTAATCTATCTATCTATCTATCTGTCTGTCTGTCTGTATGTCTGTATGTCTGTCTGTCTGTCTGTCTGTCTGTCTGTCTGTCTCTCTCTCTCTCTATCTCTCTATCTATCTATCTCTCTCTCTATCTCTCTATCTCTCTATCTATCTATCTATCTGATTATCTATTTATCTATCTATCTATCTATCTATCAAACTGATGATCTGTCTCCCTGTATCTATCTATCTATCTAATCTAATCTAGTCTAATCTAATCTAATCTAGCTACCTACCTACCTACCTACCTATCTATCTATCTATATCTATCTATCTATCTATCTATCTATCTATCTTATCTATCTATATTTTTAATCTAATCTATCTGAGTATCTATCTACCTGTATCTATCTATCTGTATCTACATCTATCTATCCATCTATCTATCTATCAATCTGTCTATCTATGTTTCTTTCTGTCTATCCCTCTCCCTCTCATCTACCTCATCTATCTAATCTATCTAATCTATCTGAATTACTTTTTGCCAGGGCCTCCAGAGGTTTTGCCCTTATCTGAAATATTGAATCTATCTAATCTATCTAATTTCTCTAATCTCTCTAATCTATCTAACCTATCTATTCTATCTAATCTTTCTAACCTATCTATTCTATCTAATCTATCTTATCTCTAATCTATCTACTCTATCTACTCTATCTGATCTATCTATCTATCTATCTATCTATCTATCTATCTATCTATCTATCTATCCACCTATCTACCTGTCTTCCCCTCTATCTACTGATCTATCTACCTACCTATCTATCTATCAAACAATCTAATCTAATTAATCGAATCTAACCTAACCTATTCTTATCTATCTATCTTTCTATCTACCTATCTATCTATCTGTCTATCTATCTATCTATCCATCTATCCATCTATCCATCTATCCATCTATCCATCTATCCATCTATCTATCCATCTATCTATCTATCTATCTATCTATCTCTCTATCTGTCTATCTATCTATCTATCTAATTATCTATCTAATTATCTATCTATCTATCTATCTATCTATCTATCTATCTATCTATCTATCTATCTATCTATCTAATCTGTGTACCTGCAAGCTTGAAAACGAAGCTTTTCTGCGAGACATCCTCAATGTTTTTAACCCGGCAACATCAAAAACGCAGCAATTCTGCGAGACTTCCTTAATTTTGACCTTGACAACGTCAAAAACGAAGGAAGTCTGCGAGACTTCCTCAATTTTCGAAATCGACCAAAGAAAAACAAAGCAATTCTGCGAGACGTCCTTCAAAAACGGACAGTTGAGTGCAGAGCTGGCGGCCCTGTACCATTGCGTTTTGCGATTTGTCCACTCCATCTGTCTAAAGTACTGCGCCTGCCACGACAAAGTGATGCCAGGTCATACGAAGTGCTGCACCTGTCACGCAAAACCACCTTAGCAAACCTGAAGATCTGATGCTCCGAAATGCAACCCCTCTCAGGAAATCAGCGCCCTGACCTCCTAACATCTCTGATGAACATGACTCTTGTACTGCGCCTGCCACGCGAAATTCATTCATCTTTCCAGATCCTCTTCAAATGTCCCAAGCCTGCCAACGCTTTTGATACTGCTACAAAGCCCTCACGTTTTGCTCACTTTTGACAAGGTACACAATCCCCTGCGCCTGCCTTGCAAAACGACATCTGAACGTCCAAACGTGGTCCGAACAGGTGGTGTTTTCAACATTTTGCCTTGGAAACGTGCTTCGCGCCAAAAAAGCGTGCAGTTTTTCGACATGTCAACTTGCAAAAGTGGTCCGGGAATGGTGTGCTTCGTACATTTTGAATCATTTTGACTTGGAAATGTGCTTCGCGTCACAACGACGTGCGCTTTTTCGACATCTCAACTTCCAAAAGTGCTCCGGCCCTGGTGCGTTTTGTACATTTTGACTTGGGAAATGTCCTTCGCGCCACAACAGCGTGCAATTTTTCATCTCTCATATGACCACATGGCTCCGCACCCGCCGCTTTATCGAGCCTACTTTTCGACCCTCCGGAGCCACAAATCATTGGAAACACACAGTGTTTCGCGACGTTCCTACCTTTTTGCGCGCCTGCACCTTCTTTCTTCTCACTCTTTCTCTTCTCTGATCTTCTCTCTTCTGCTCTTCTCCTCTCTGACTCTTCCCACCTCTGCTTTTCCATCTGTCCATATTGTCGGAAGTTTGACTTCTAAACTTCCGTCGATAAAATATGGCCAAAAACTGAATTTCGAAGCTTTTCCCTAATATTCCAATGAAAACCTTAAGAATAAAAATAAAAAACTCGATTTCAAACTTGATTAAATTCCTTATTAAAATCTATTTTGCCAAAAACTTGACTTCGAAGCTTTCCCCTAATATTCTAATGAAAACCTTAAATAAGAAAAAATACAATAGTTAAAAATAAAACTTGTGAGATGGGAGCCTAATGAAAAACCCTCCAGGCGGCAATCTATTTTTATTAAAAGGGGGTTGAACCCATTGTTTCACTATCCTGTTCTCCTATTAATTCTCAATTGCCACAATTCAGAATCGAATTGTGCCCGCCAAAAAAGCCCGATTTGGGGGAGTTTTAGTAATAGGAAGAAGGGATTACTTGTGAATAGTACCTGGGATCTTCGAAATAATTGTCCGTTAAGATTTCTGCTCTAGGGCGGCTTTCTTGTGAAGGACATGGACGCGGTCATTTTTTGAATACTATTTTGTAGTTGGCACCTTTTGGGCTGATCTTCCCCTACTTTGCATAAAAATGTGTCGATTTTTATGGGCGGAAAATCCCGGGAAAAGGGCGGAAATACCCCGGCAGACTCAACATGACTGAAAAATGAAAACATGAAGTGGTCAGTTTTTCTTGAAATTAAACATTTTTCTGAAATTTACAAATCTAAAAAATTGACAGAAATCAAAACAACATCTGCCCTGAACAGAGATTTGCATCCAATGAATATCCTTATATATAACATTAAATAACCGAAGGAAGGAAGTTTAGAATTTAGAAGACAAAATTCCATAAACTTCCGACAATCTGGGCAAAAGGAAAAGCAGAGGGGCCCAGGAGAGTCCAAAAGTAGGCTCGCCAAAGCGGCGGGTGCGGAGCCATCTGGTCGTATGAGACATCAAAAAATGCACATCGCTGTGGCCCAAAGCACATTTTGAAGCCAAAATGTTGGAAACACCTCATGTTCGGAAGTGGAGATGTCGAAAAAGTGGGCACGGTTGTGGCGCGAAGCACATTGGCAAGTCAAAATTGTTAAAAACTGACCGTCTCGGACCACTATTGGACGTTGAAATGTCGAGAAAGTGCACGCCGTTGTGGGGCGCGAAGCACATTCGCAAGTCAAAAGTGTTAAAAGCTGACCATCTCGGACCACTTTTTTGAACGTTCAGATGTACAAAAAGTTAACACTAACACTAGCACCAACAACAACTGCAACTGCAACTGCGGCTACAACAACAAAACACTATACCATACCATATAAATCCATATAACAACAACTAGAACCACACTACAACTACAGCTACAGCTACAAGTAAAACTACACTACAGTATACCACACGAATCTACACTACACTTGTTACACTACACTAATAATTAATAAACTCAGAATCATCTAAAGAAGGACAGCTGCCTGACTGACTGACGGACGGGCGGAGTGGCTGATTGACTGGGTTTTCAGAGTTGAACCAACGGTCACATCTGGACAAAGAAGCCCAAAAAGTGCTTCAGTAGTAGCAAGCATGACCACTTGTACACGTGCCCAAGCCTGCCATCCCAGCAATCCCAAGGCTGAGAGCCCCAAACTGGTAAGCTTTCTCTTTGCTGTTTGATGGTTCTTGTTTTGGCAAATTCGGACTGGGCCTGTAAGGTGGTGGACAGGTTGGCGCAAGGTGCTGCAAATCTGGACAGGATTGGCAGCTTGGACATGCTTGGACAGTCTCCGAGCCAAGGCTAATGCTACAACTCTGGCTGCCAGAATGAATCTTACCTGCCTTATGGTTATGCTGGCGTATCTTTGTTTTCACACTAAGCCATGGGTCATTTAGACAAGAATATCAAGAAGTCATTGGAATTCCACATAGGGGCCAAGGAAATCCAAGGACCATTTGGTGCCTCTGTCTTCTGCTTTTTCAAAGCTTGGCCGTACTGGTTGCTCGCCTCATCCCATCATGACGCTGAACCCATGCTCGATGCCAAATGCAAACAGAATTTGCGAGCAGTAGAAGGTCCTTGTGGTCAAACTCGTCGTCAGACACATCATCCTCCTTGTTCTCATTGTCTGTCTTCCTGGAAATCAAACACAAACTACGAGCCACTGTCAGTGCCCATGCCTACAAGCACATGCGCAAAGTCTATCAGTCCATCAATGCAGCCAGAATGCTTGTTGACGCCCATGATGTTTCCCATCTTGGAACCTGCAAGGCAAAACGCTTCCCATGTGTAACCTGAATGATTCAATATACCTTGCGAATCCTTGCGAAGCTGTCAAGGCCGCACCACCGCCACCATCACCACCAGAGTGGACACACAATGATAGATTCCCATAGATTACCGACTCAAGTGCTCATCAGATCAGAACCAGTTCCTATTCCAAAAGCAAACCTGGGAGCTGATCTCCTTTAGATGGAGTGGCTTGGTCAACAACCCGACTCCCCATCGCCATCATCGCCTGACAGCTCCCAGAATCGCTGCCGGAACCTCAAGCTGGGATTGATAGAAAGGCCACTGCCAAATCCCAGCAAGAGACAGAAAGAACAAGTATCAGAACACTCCCAAAGCATCCAAAAGCAGCATGACCAGGGACAGGTACCTCACAATTAGGCATGGGGGAATAGAATGGAATAGGCATGGGCCCAAACATTGCCATTTGAAAGCCACTACGGCAGCTCTTGGTAAAGCAATGGTGCAAATATACTATATACTAAATTAGTGTGTACGAGATAAGTATTGAATTTAATGCCGCATCCAAACCAAACTAAATGGCCAGAACATGTCTAAGTCATCCAAAACCCAGCGGTGCTCTGGACATCGATGTAGCTTCTAGGCTGGCCCCACTTCCCCTGGTCTTGCTCCTCCCGGACTTGGCGCACCTCAGCCGTTCTGAACGTTTCGAAAGTCTTAGAGATATGGCAAATCTTGGACTCTTAGGGGTTTCCAAGGGAGGCCGCTCAAATCCGCACTCAGACCTGACTCAGAACCAGCTCACCAGCGCACTCAAAACAAGGATCACCTGCGCATTCAAGGGCTACATTATGTTGCATCCTTCATCATTCATCATACACCAACATCTTGGGGGGTGGGGTGGGGGATCATCATACACCAACATCTTGGGAGTATGCATGCATGTATATGTATGTGTATGTATGTGTATGTATGTGTATGTATGTGTATGTATGTGTATGTATGTGTATGTATATGTATGTGTATGTATGTGTATGTATGTGTATGTATGTGTATGTATGTGTATGTGTATGTATGTGTATGTATGTGTATGTATGTGTATGTATGTGTATGTATGTGTATGTGGATGTATGTGGATGTATGTGGATGTATGTGGATGTATGTGGATGTATGTGGATGTATGTGGATGTATGTGGACGTATGTGGAGGTATGTGGAGGTATGTGGAGGTATGTGTATGTATGTGCATGTTGTGGATGTATGTGGATGTATGTGGATGTATGTGGATGTAGGTGTATGTATGTGTATGTATGTGTATGTATGTGGATGTATGTGGATGTATGTGGATGTATGCAAATGTATGCAGATGATGCATGTAATGCATGTAATGCATGGTATGCATGGTATGCATGGTATGCATGGTATGCATGTATGCATGGTATGCATGGTATGCATGGTATGCATGTATGCATGTATGCATGCATGCATGTATGTATGTATGTATGTGCGTATGTGCGTATGTGTGTATGTGTGTATGTGTGTCTGTGTATGTGTGTATGTGTATGTATGTGTATATATGTGTATGTATGTGTATGTATGTGTATGTATGTGTATGTATGTGTATGTATGCGTATGTGTATGTAGGTGTATGTATGTGTATGTGTATGTATGTGTATGTATGACTTATGTATGTGCATGTATGTGTATGTGTATGTATGTGTATGTATGTGTATGTATGTGCATGTATGTGTATGTATGTGTATGTATGTGTATGTATGTGTATGTATGTGTATATGCATGTATGTGCATGTATGTGTATGTAGGTGTATGTATGTGTATGTATATGTATGTGTATGTATGTGTATGTATGTGTATGTATGTGTATGTAGATGTATGTAGATGTATGTATGTGTATGTGTATGTATGTGTATGTATGACTTATGTATGTGCATGTATGTGTATGTGTATGTATGTGTATGTATATGTATGTGTATATCAGTATGTGTATGTATGTGTATGTATGTGTATGTGTATGTAGGTGTATGTATGTGTATGTATGTGTATGTGTATGTATGTGTATGTATGACTTATGTATGTGCATGTATGTGTATGTGTATGTATGTTTATGTATGTGTATGTATGTGTATGTGTATGTAGGTGTATGTATGTGTATGTGTATGTATGTGTATGTATGACTTATGTATGTGCATGTATGTGTATGTGTATGTATGTGTATGTATGTGTATGTTGTGTATGTATGTGTATGTATGTGTATGTATGCGTATGTAGGTGTATGTATGTGTATGTATGTGTATGTATGTGTATGTATGTGTATGTATATGTATGTGTATGTATGTGTATGTATGTGTATGTATGTGTATGTGTATGTAGGTGTATGTATGTGTATGTATGTGTATGTATGTGTATGTATGTGTATGTGTGTGTGTATGTATGTGCATGTATGAATGAAGGAATGAATGAATGAATGGATGTATGTATCTGCAAATGTATGCATGCATGCGTGTTGGTCTGCAACGTGTTGCCAAGTGTAGAGGCGATCCCCATCAAACGGGTACTAGCGATCCTCCCTCAACATGTAGATTCGATCAAGCAGAACTTTAAGCAATATCGCTCGTGAAATGACCGGCTGATGCTGCTTCTTGCATGTCTTGCAGTTTCAGCTATTGTTGCTCAATGTTGCTCAAGATCTTCAAAGTCTCATGGCCTCAGCGATCTCTGCCTTGGTGCAGAATGCCTTCGAGACTTGGCATCCCCACCACTTTGGAGCCCTGCTTACAAAACACCGCCATATCTGAAGTGGGATCTTTTACAGCGCTCCTTAGTGAGAGGGTGGCATAGGGCGTCAATCTGGAGGCCTCTAAATTATATGTCGCCAAGTGGGTCAAGTGGTTTTACTGAGGAACCGGCACAGCTTCGGTTTGGGTGGTGAAGACTTTTCGCCCATCTAAGAATGGAGGGGTGGTCTCGCGAACCTGGTCAAGCGTCAGAATGACAAGTTTCTCAAGTTTCAAATCATGCTGAAAGCTATTAGCTCTGGCTAGTTAGATCTGGTTGGCATCCCCATTCACTGCTTGGCTGGACAGGTTGCTTATTCAGAAGCACTGCTGAATTTCTACGATCAGCTGAGTACCACACCACCACAGCAACTCCTTAGATTGCCGCTGGCTCAATTCACACTATGGTGACCATGGTGAGGACTCCAGGGAGTTTCTGATGATTGTGAGGTCTGGTTTTGAGATACAGTTTGTTCAATGTTTGTTCAGCATTTCCCAGAAGGTTGCAGCTGAATATATATATATATATCTTTCTCCAATGAAGCACTTGGGCCGCAGGGCGTTTCTCGTCATCTTCCTTGGAGAAATCCAAGTTCACTTCCTTTCTCTCAGCCAAACCCATAGCGCCGAGCCTCTCATTGTCGGATATATGGCCAAACAAGTGACAGTGGAATCTTGCAAACTGATCGATATGGACACCTGTTCAGCTCCCACATCTCATTGGCTTCGTTCTTCATCTGCTGGCGGATGTTCACCCGAGCCACCTGAATGCAACGCAAACAAAAGATTCTGGACTTGACCTTGTCAAACTACTTGTTGGGTTGAATCATGGGAAGTACGATACTGATATATGTATATATATACATATATATACTGTGATATACTGTGGGCCTGCGCTAGCTGACGCTTCTTCTTCTCCTCCCTCTCTGCCTGCTCGCTTCAGGGATTTCTGGTGCTATTCGGAGCGCTTTGCGATGCGTTGACATTTAAAAGTGCAGGTTTAAAAATTAAGCAAAGGGCTAGAACACTTCATAATTAGTTGACATGTCGATTCCACTTGTACTGGACGGAATGTCCAGATCGGATGCCTCTCGAGCAGGATCTACGTCGTCCATTCCTTGTGCAGCTCCACCTTCTTCGGCCTTGGGCTATGGCAATGGCCATGGCCAGCTGAAGATTGAACAAGTAACGGATTGAGAAATTGATTGATCGATCGGTCGGTTGAGTAGTGAACTGCTTGATGAATTTGATTGTTGATGGTTTGATTGGTTTGGCAGGATTCCGTTTCACTCACACATATGCTGTAACTCTGGGTTGTCATTCAGCCGCTGGCCATATACCAATCTCTTTCCAGCTTGCCTGCGGTCAGAACACTGAAAAAAATCATTGTACTCATGGGAGTTGCGCAGGCGCTGTTGTCTCATGTTGTCTCCTCTATTCCTCCGGCCTTCTTCGTATGCATCAATTTCCGCCTCTGCTTTGATCTTCTCCTCAATCCTTGCCAAAAAAAATATAGTGTATGGACTGGAGTACAGTACCATCTATTTTGGCCATCACGAGGATGGATACCAACAAGATCCAACAAGCACATCAGAGAACCTACTTGGTACCCAGAACACCCAGGGACCCCTGGCCACTCCAATGACAACTGATAAATGATAAAAGCTGGCAGGGAGTTGGCTTAAAGCTGAGGGTGCCACTCATTCTTCGTCATGACTTTGTCTGTGATGTTGTGGTACCTACATGAGGAATAAGTGAATAAGTGCACTCTCAAGTGTTGCAATCGGACCACCAGGTTAACAAAGCTCAGAGTCATGGCTGCTGTTTGCCACTGGGAAGTTTGAGATGATCACCATTCGATGTGCCATTACATTTGGCTCAGCCTGGAAATCAATTGATGGCGGGATCGGCTTGTACCGCCCATGTCTTCCAAGGTCACTGCAAGTCCTTGTTATCGCGGGTCTTGATCTTGGACGCTTCCTGCACAAGGAGCTAGCTGCCCTTCTATTCATTCAGTGCAGAGGGCAGACATGAACGTGCAAGCAGTGTTGAAACCGGTCATCTGCCAACAAAGTGGCTGATTAATTTGCCAAAGCAAGTGATTATGCTGACTACAAAAACATCACGACACAACGTGACGACATGAGAAACTGTGGCAGCAAGGCAAAAATGACTGTCTCGTTGCCTCTCTACAGTACTTCCATGCTGTTGGACCCTGAGTCCTCTCCAGGCTCTTGCTTTACATCTTCTTCCTTGATGTTTGCTCGATTGCCCTTGAAGAACAAGGGCCTGACCAACCAAGGTTTTATCTATAAATGCAAAATGCTAAACAGTCCTGAAAGGTAGCAGTCAGATTGAAGTACAAGGGCTACCTGTCTGAGTCCACACACCTTCTCCTTTTCAACCCTGCTCATTGGGTTCCCAACTGACCAGCTAACGGCTTCTGAGTCTTGGGTTCATCACCTCAAGAAGAATTGGACTGAGGTTGGCCCCCAAGTTAGCCCCCAAGCATCCAAAGATCCATGCTGTGCACAGTCCGTGCTCGTTTCAAACCTATCTCAACGGACACCCTGTAGCAATCAGTTTTGTCCTGTTGGGAGCTCTGTTTTCGTCTCCGCATTTGGCTGCGCTCACTGCAACAGTGTGCTGAATAAGCTTCCCATTATGTTTTTTTCCATGTTAACATGTCTAGACACAAACACAAACACATTCACACCACACATTGGAGTTCCCTTCTTGTGAACACAGGGATCCGGATCTCCAACCACAACCTCTCCTTTATCTTCATAGAATTAGGAATTGAATTAGGAATATATTCAAAATCTGAACGAGGAAATGAGTGGAATGCAAAAGTTGTGTGTGTGTGTTTGTATGTTTTTGTATGTTTTTTTTGGCCAGCTACCATAGGCATCTATATCATGTAGATAGTGGGTAGCAAGGTATTGCGTTTGCCTGAGAACAACAAGGTAGTGAATGCTCTAGCCTAGTCTTAAGAGTACACAGCAAGGATCGAATTCGTCAAAATGAAAATCCGGATTGCATTTCATGCACTTAGCTTGCACCATTACACTAGATGCAGCATAATATAGCAAGCCACTAGCATGCAAAGCACGTTGCAGGAGCACTGACACGGGGCGACCATATAATTATGTTCCCAACCCAAGGACCTCAAAGTCAGCATAATTATCATTGAGTCAAATTGTGAACCATGTTTAAAACTTGTTCGGAAGTGGAAGAATGTACAGCAACATGAAACAACATCAAGCAATGTACATTTCAAGATCCATCAAGCATTTCAAGTGATTCAAGTGCATTTCATGGCATTTTTGTCAGAGACTTCCAGCCAAGTCCTTGAGCTGCTGCATATATGCTCTGCCCGGATGCCCGCGTTGGGCGTGAAACGCACAAAGTGCAGCCGCCAAAACAACAGCTGGTCGCTGAGGAGCGATGTCACGAGTGTTGCAGCCGGAAAACATCTAGCTCCACCTAGTTCATCATAGTTCCACTATAATCCACTGATTACATAGTCTGTCACTGTCTGTCACTGTCTGTCACTGTCTGTCACTGTCTGTCCACTACGAAACACTCGGAATCCACCGCATTCTCATCGTTCTCACGTTCGATCCTGGCCTCTAGTCCGAACCAGAGTTGAAAAGTTTGGTCTTCATTCCGAAAAGGCTGCAACACTGGACGCTACTTCTGGGAGACTGCCGCCCGGGGTGAAAACAAGGAAGCGTCTTCCAAGTCCACATGAGCCCCGTGGCCCGCCAAATTCTAAAAGTGGAGGATAATTGCTGTATAGGCTTCCATTAGGTCATTCAAGCCATGAAACGAAACTTCCAGGGTACTGTTTTTCAATCTATACAGCTCTCTTGTGCTGCCTTTCAGTCTGCAGCGTGTTGCAATCCATTAGTTTCTTGGAGGCACGGGTGCTTAGGTGTGCACGGTCTATCTAACCATGTCATTTTCAGCCTTCTAAATTCATGCCACAACAAGAGCCAAACATGATATAACACCATGCATAGCATACATTGATTCCTTGCTACGTCTCATGGTCACTATGTCATGCTTGGGCTCGCGGGGTTATTTCAGATTCTTTCATCACCTCATGTGTTGACCTGGCTGGCCCAAATCCGATCAAATTGTCCTGGCCCTATCTGGCCCAGTCCTGACACTTCAGCACGATGGAATTGGCTCTTCCTGAGATGCGCTATCCGCTACTTTGCTGCTATAGCTGTAGCTTGGCTCCACCGGGACTCAAGCAGGTTTCTGCAACTTTCACTGCACGATAAAGACATCTGGGTCCCGCGTTCATTCAAACCTCTAAATCTACAGTAAACAAATATTCCAAAGTCGTCTGCTCCTTTTGCAAAAAAGGCAGTTGCTATTGGGGGCGGCTACTGGTACCTGTGCAATATCATGACTTCGTCGCCAACTTCGTCCTGCTGCCAAGTGACAGTACAGTATCGTATTGCACTTCGACCATCTTGGATCACCACCTCTACATGCCTCAATTACTGGAAACGAATGGCAGTGGCAGCTTTGGTTGCATTCACAGCATTGGAATTTAACACAAAGCCAACAATTAGACTCAAACGGATGCTGCTTGGAAAAGTAAACGCACATGAGAACTCAACACCGTAAACACAGGTAAACAATTGGCTTGGACATACTAGTAGTTGGAAAACGATCATATCGAAGGAAATCCTAAGAGCACACACTGACAGTGACATGGAACTGCACTACTGCACTACTCTTTGCAGTATATGGTGTATATGTATGTATATATATATAGCCATCTGATATCATCCGATGGTGGTTTGGCATTCGGTGTGACTAAATCTTTGCTGCAGCTTTGATGCTATAAAATCGCCATTCCATCGTTAAAAGTTAAAAGAATCTCGGTCTCAATCAACTATATAATTATAATTATATAATTATATAATTATATTATATAATCTATATATAGATAAGTCCAAGGTCCAAGTCATTCAATTTAAGTCATTTTGGAGACTAGATGCGCAGATTTGGTTGCCATTTCCCCCGAAGCTCTTCGGGTCCTGGAGGACTTGTCCTGGGTCGTCATGAACAAACAGCACCGGCTGGCCATCTGCCCTCAAACTCCATCCTCATTCTCCTCCATGATCATATATTTAAATCGTACTAGAAATATATAGAACTATCATACCAGTATTAAATGATTATCATCATGTGTAGGAGATTGTAGGAGGGGGGTCAAATTCCACCCCAAGACTCACATCATCATACATCATCCATATCATCCTCAAATCTGACCTCAATCTCATCATTTCAGAGCAGAGAACATGGGTACATCTACGAATTGGGTATACCCCCAAATGACTACATGAATAGAGACAATGATGATAACATATGAGAACTACCCATCAAGATTTTTGGGTAATTTTTTTTTGTGTTAGTATAGGATCCGCCATCCCCAATTTTACAACTATCCCATGCCAACCATCAATCCACAGGGTTAGTTTATGATTGCTTTATCAACATGTCATCCATTCAGAAAATCCATAGATAACCAATTCAAACCCACCCATGAGAAAAAAAAAACAGTGATAGCCAATAATCATCCATTGAAATTTATGACCCATTATGACCCATTGATTTAACCAGTGATGACCAGTGGTTCTCACTGGTTAACCCCCATGATTTCACCATTTCACCAGGATTTCACCAACCCACTGGGACCCAACTTCGGCAGGACCAGCACTTCACGCCGCAGGTGCAGCAGCAACGGTGCCCCGAGGACCTGCACGGCGTAGCGGCGCTGTGCCTTAGGGTGACAGCTGAAACGCGAAACACATCGAAACAAACAATGGATTCACATCTAGATTCACATCTATATACTTAGATCTTCAGACGAGCAAACATTTCTGTACTTATGTACCTTTGGGCAAATCGAGCGGTTAATCTCAATTCGACCACATTGTGGATCCTCGAGCGTTCTTTGCAAACACCTGGTCCCAACGTCATTTGGTTCAAAATGGCTGCTATGCTTCGACCGAGTTTTGGAAAACAAGCGGGCATATTTCAGATTTGGGGGCCACTTGTTGGAAATTCATTCAAATTCTTAGGAAAATCAAGGCGCAACTTCGGGCGCAAATAAGCGCAGCCGGGCGCAACATAAAAACATGCTCTTTTTTTGATCATCACTTCAGGGGTTTCCTCGAGCACATTTTGAATGTGAGCTTCATTTGGAAACCTGATTTGAAAAATGGCTACTGGGATGTGTGTGTGTATGCATGGAATGGAAGGGAGCACATGTTTTAACCTCGAGCATCTGACCCCTTAGTTCGTACAGAATTTTCTAAAACGAACGTTTCATACCTCGAGCCGAAAATGATGTGTTCATGGAAGAACCAGGTATATATAGTAGTAATAGTACTAGTAGTAGTAGTAGTAGTAGCAGCAGTAGTAGCAGTAGCAGTAGCAGTAGCAGTAGCAGTAGCAGCAGCAGCAGTAGCAGCAGCAGCAGCAGTAGTAGTAGTACAATAATGTACAATATATTATCATATGACATTACTAGTATTATATATTGAATATATATGTATACATATATGTATGCATATCTATCTATCTATTTATCTATCTATCTGTCTGTCTATCTATCTATCTATATCTATCTATCTATCTATCTATATCTATCTATATCTATCTATCCATCTATCTATCGGCAAATAATGTTGCTAAGCCAAGTAAATGTCGTTCACATCTTGATTCTGAAGATCTCTGAAGTACAATCCTGGAGAATGTCTCGCTTGAATCATTTTTCACCAAGGTTCCGGATCATAATCGGTAACGTGACCCCAATGCCCATTGAGGTGCCTCGGTGGGATATGGCATTGAGGGCATACTCAAAAAACATCCAGCAACATGTCTGGCAGCTCAAGCTCTCTCTCTCTCTCTCCATCGCCATCACAGGAGATCAGCAGTCAAGCTGAAGGCGAGCTGATTTTAAGTTTTTTTTGGGGGGAGGGGGCACGGTTAGAGACAACTGTATTAATCTGTCATACAAGTAACATATATGGGCGTGCAGGGAGACATATGGAGACATTTACAACAACGTGCAGAACTCACGAAAGAAGCTTCATGACCTTCACTGGCTTTCAGGATCTTTCAGGCTTTCGTGCCTCCTAAAACACTGCTCCAAGCAGCATGTCAAATGCAACCTGCTGCTGCTAAGCTGCGGTGCTTGCACCAGGCCATTGATCAAGACTTTTTCTCCTGAGCTGGACAACCCTTGCAGCAGGGTCGAACAGGGGTTTGCAGAGGTTTGAAATGCCAGTGGGTTCTTTCCAAGAAGTGTTACTTGTTGTTCTTGTTCTTCTTATCATTAAAGATTAATTATGGTTTTTGTTCTTCTTCTTCTTCTTCTTCTTCTTGTTTCTATCGTCTGTCTCGCGGGTGCTGTCGGTGCCACATGTCTTGCCCGCACCCAGCTCTGCCAAGCGACCAATGATATCACGTTCACAGCTCTCCTGACTCAAGCTGGCAAATGGTATGCCGAGGGAATACCATGTATGCAAATGACTGTTTCATTTGTTTCGTAATGTTCGGCATGTCTACCTAGTGCGATGCACTAGCTACGCTATAATATAAATATTCAATGCAATCAATACAATGCTAGGGCAATGAGGATCTTTAAATTGTACAACATCCTCCTCATGACCTCCAGTGCAAAGCCGGCCCTTCCAGTTGGTCCTGTGGGGGTGGTTCTGCCATGGAGGAAGCGCCACGAGAGCGCCCGCCAACGCTTGGCCTTGAGGACCAGGCGGAAAAAATGATGTCCATGATGGTACATTCCAACCATGTCCAACCTCTGCCAGGTCAAAACGAACCAGTGTCCACTTTTGAGCCTGCAAAATCCTTTAAATTCCAAGAGCACCCCTCATGGTCTGCGCCCTCGAGAGCCTTGTTGCATGGGATGCTTTGGAAGAGGCGCCTCCGCCAAGGCCGACGTTCCAAAGACTCGTCTTGACTAGCGAAATTCTTACTGGTCACCAGAATATCAAATAACAACGAAGCATCAACGAAATCAAATGACACCAGCTTGATCCAAGTTGGATTTTGCAAAGCTATCTATCAGTCCATCAGCATCTATCACTAAGGGTCACAGAAAGTTTGCTGCAGTTAGTCAGCCAAATCAACACGAAATGAATGCTAGTACGACTACTGAACTAACTACAGGCCTATGGCTACCGGGTTGGCAAGCCTGTTGACAAATATATACGGCTATAGCCTATATCTATATTATATTATACTAAGGCACTAGCAGATAGAATATTATCCAGTGTTCAGAGATCGAAAAATTTGCGGGTGAAACCTGGTTTCCCGGTGAGAATATTCTATCTGTTTAAGATGAGTAGCAAAAAGTTGATTTCGCGTATATATATATATATATATACGAAATCGTTGATATTGTGAACTTATAAATTATGGAAATATATCTCTGAACTATTCTATCTGTTGGATCCGTGTATATATATATATACATGGTTTTCTGCATTTTCAATGGTATATTTTATTCGATGAAGAATGAATATCAACAAAATCAACAACTTCATATCAATATATTCATCAAAGAAGGAATCATCACTGGTATCATGGGTCTGTTGGAATATTCTATCTGTTGGTTTCATGTATATATATATAGGTTTTCTGCACCCTCCATGGATTACTGACTACTGTATCCAACAAAGAATGAACTTTTAACGTTTCAATTAATGAATTTGGGTGATCTCGTTGAACTTCATATTTTATCTATGAAACCACATAAGAATTGTTTCATCAAAAAGTGAATATCACTGGAATATTCTATCTGTTGGTTCATGTATGTATATATATATAGGTTTTCTGCATCCTCCATGGATTACTCATTATTGTACCCAACAAAGAATGATTTTTTAACGTTTCAATTAGTGAATTTGGGTGATCTCGTTGAACTTCATATTTTATCTATGAAACCACATAAGAATTGTTTCATCAAAAAGTGAATATCACTGGTATCATTGGTCTGTTGGAATATTCTATCTGTTGGTTTAATGTATATATATGTGTGTTTTGAACCTATGGGATAATGTTGTGTTTTATGCATGTCATTGTGGATCACAGCATGCACGGTGAGCGCAGTTCCAGCAACTTTGCAAATTTCAACGGTATAAATAGAAACATTCAGTTGCGTTTCTGCATTGAACACCAAACCAAAGTTACATATATATAGGAATACTAGATTCGATTGGTGCTGTTTCTGTGGGAGATGTTGAAGGTATGGTTTTGGAAGAATTCCAAAATATAATGTTATCTGTATATATATTTGTAGATTTTTTCTTTTTAAACGGTCTTCAAAAATCAACAGATAGAATATTCAGACTGGAATGCCAGCTTTGCTGGCTGCCAGTGGTCACATTCTATAAATATCATATATTAGGAAAACATTGGCACAAGCCTTAGCAAGAATACAGTTTTCATGTGTTTGGATGTGCAATTAGTAGAAACCACATGCAATGTTTTCCTAATCATCCCATAGCTATTCAATCATCTGAGGGATACACTATTGTGGAAAACATTGACATCAAATGCAACATTTTCCCGGCAATCCCATAGATAGTCAATGATTTCAAAAATATAACATCATGGAAAACGCTGAAACCAAATGCATCATTTTTTCTCAGCAATCCCATAGAGAATCAATGATTTAAGGTATGGAAAACATTGAAACACAAATGCAATATTATCTCATTAATCCCATAGAGAATCAATTATTTTAGGGATACATCATTTTTGCAGGTGAGAATATTCTATCTCTTGATTTGCTTGCAAAAATCATCAAAATCATATAGTTTCTTTAATGTTTTGCTTATCATGAATATTCTATCTGTTGGATTTGCTGATAGCGTTTTGGACTATTCTATCTGTTGTCCAGTGTTTTTTGAATATTCTATCTGCTGGTGACTTAGTATATATCATAGCATATTATAGCTACATTATATATGATATGTCACAGCGTGTCAATTGTCAAACAAATGCTCCTCCCGGCTCCAATTTTTCGAGATGTGCAGCGCCTCCGTCTCTGGAAGCCTCAGTCTGAGCTGCGGCGTGATCGAACGGCGCCTTGGTCGCACGTCACAGCACCAAAGCAGACCCTTACCCACGTCAAAAGCGTTACACTTGGCATAGAGGTGGCCCGATCAGAATGCATGTTTTGAATTTATGCCCATTACGCGTGATTGGAGAGAAACAAAATTGTCTCGAGCTACATCTCGAAGACCAGGAGGAAGAGGCTCTGCCGCTTGTCCCTGTTCTGCTGCCTGCAAGAAACGTCATTAATTAATATTAATTACTGGTTATACTGCTCAAATTGCAAATGCGATGTGGATGGATTGTGCTTAGCCTCACCAACGCAATTTTTCGGCCTCTGAAAAAGTCAATTTGATGTGTCTGTATGTTCGCCACTTTCGACACATAGAGGAGCATACAGTAGATGAACCAAGCATATCCAACCGTTTCAACTTTCTTTCTGTGATGTATCAGTACATATGGAAAAGCAAGAAGCAAACAATAGAGGCAGTGATTTCCATAAAATTTCACCCATCACCGGTTGAAACCTAAAAGTCCGCTGAACATATCTAAACATATCTAAACCTGGCATAACCATCATAAATCCATCACAACTTGGCTGCCTGGGTTCCCAAAAATCCCCAAGTTTCGCCTCACGGCGCTTCAAGGCATGCTCCCTGCGGCGCCGGACCCGTACACCCGCGCGGCGTCGCGGCTTGGTCCGGGTAGATCCTGGAGCTAAACGTGATACGATCGTGATACGTGTTGGAAGATGTTGGAAACGGATACGGAGACAGAACATGACATAACAAGCATTAAAAAAAAAAATGATGTAACCGAGATTCTCTCCCGAGGTCCTCTGAAATAGCCAAACAAATAATGTGTCAATGAGATTTCATGTTTTTTGTTCGAAAGATTGCATGAAAAAATAAGGAGACACATAAACCATCATCAACCCTTTTTAGATCTCAGCAATGAGTGTTGATGATTTCTGATGACTTTTTCTTTGATAGCTCAAATATCGTTCAATCATCAAGATGAATGACAGCGTATGGCCCTGCCCGCAAATCTGGCGAATCTGTACTAAGGAACCAAACATCGTCCATGTCAGTTTCCTCAATCTGCATGTCACCCTTTGTCGCCCTTTGTCACCCGGGGTTGTGATGACTGGTCCTTCTACTGCCTCGGCACCATCGCTGGCCTCGCTGTTTGCAGCTAGTGGTGCTGCCTTGCGAGTAGTGCTGTCGCGTGCTGTTGAAGGAGGGTGGGGTGGTGGTTTTGCAACACATTTCTGGCATGTATAGAGATACATTGTAGAGATGCATACTTACCAAAACTTATCAAAATATACCAAAATATGGCTACGGGTCAAAGACCCTTGTGCCCATTTGCTGACACAAAAACAGCTGGCATCCATTATGGGGATTTATGGGGTTCATTACTCCTATGGTCAATCAATGTAAATCATGTTACGATGCCAACTGATTCCAAAATTCCGAATGATGCAAAATTCGAATGTCTGCAGACTGCGCCTGTTCGGCTGCCCGCTGTGCAGCCCGCAAACGCCGTGCTGTTAGTCTGTGTCCTGCGCGATATGTCTTCTTACCTCAGCCCCGCCACGGAGGTTGCGGCAGTTCCTTCATATGGTCTCACCTCTCGAACTGAAACTTATTCATCAAATCAGCAATGGACGTCTTGAGGTGCAAAATGATAATTATATACTGTAATTGCATGATATTGATTGCCATGCTTTCGCTCATCATTCCACAACACTCTCACGTTCAAAATTCAAAGCACATCCAACTTCAACTTGGAGAAAGCACCAAACCTTTGACATTGCAAGGTGCAAAGCGGCCTGCTAGGAACCAAAAGCAAGGCTCCATAAGGCTCCTATAGTCTACTTACCTTGTGTCTGTATCCTTGTTTCCATTTTACTGTTGATTTCTGGGGACCTCTTCCATCAGCGGCATTTCTGGGGACCTCAATCGACCGCTCTTTTGTTCACAAAACAGGCGGGGCGAATCCTGTCCATCAATCCATCGCGCCCATGCAATCCTCTCTGAGGATAAAATCCTGGCCCTGCAAATCCACCACTTCAGGTGCATCTTCTCCAAGCAAAGCCAGGTCCTCCGTTGAGAGGCCGAACTTCTCTTCAACGAGCTCACGAAGCTTGCTACATCGCTTCTGAAGCTTTGGTGCATCCGTGTTGCAAATCTCTAGGAGAGAGAGGGCGCAACTGCCCAAGAAGTTCTCTTTGGTTAAGTCATCCCCAAACAAATCAGATGGAGCTTGACTAAGCTGGGTGAAAAATGTTCGCAGGAGCTCGGCAAAGAGTTCCTCAGTTGGCTTGAATCAAGAAAATACGTGAACCGGAGAGGGCCCACCGCCAAGGAAGTAGACCAAAAAGGCTTACAACACCCTTGCACCGTTGCTAAGCAACGAACCCTGACCATCCCTGACCGACCGATAGAGCAATCAATATCTCACTATATCTCACTACACTGCTTGACTTCTAGATTCTAAGATTCACTAATATTCTATAGTTGTCCAACTTGGAATCCTCAATGATGGATGTTGCATGATGTTGCTTGTTCACCTGATGAGGTAGCCGTCTTTCATAGCCTATATACGGCGTTTATATGATGTCATGCCCCAAATGGCATCACGTCATTTCCTGAATTGAACGGGCATCATACCCGACCGTTTGGACAGATTCCAGACAGTGACTCATCATGACGCATCTGCATAGGCAAGACTCTGTTCTTCTCAATGCTGCATCCTCACAACTACAAAGCAGCAGGAGGAGGGCACGCCATTGCTCGAAGCCGTCGAAGTTCTGCCCCAGCAGGAAGGATATGTAGGACAGCCTTCATTTACAGCTTGGCAATGCTTGGCATCAACTGTTGATCAACCAAGCAATCAGTCAGCAAGTTGAACTTGAGAGTGCAAGCTGCAAGAGCATTTAATTACCATTTCTTCTTCAGTTCCCTCCCTGTGAATAGAGGGCAAAAACTCAGAAAGCTTACAAAGAACTTATACTTTAATAACTAAAAAAATGATGGAGTTTCAGAAGATGTAGGTGCATCTGATGTATCATTCTCAAACAGCCATGCAATGGTTTGTCTTGCAACAGCTCCTGGGTAAATCTGGGTGAAATACCAGAAACACCTGTAGCAACCAGTTGATTAACCAGTTGGCCTAGACATTCCTCCATGTTCCTCCATTCGAGATTCAACTGGAGAGCACTGAGAGCAGCCGAGCATTTTTCATCTCCACAAATCCAACAAGATCCAACACGTAATTACAGAGATTTACAGAGTAAAAAACTAAAATCCAAACTGTGCAAAATTATCATAATTATCAAAATTGGTAAAATTCAGAGTGGTTGCAGTGGTTGCTTGTCAATGTGCAAAGATCATCAGAGTCCATGTGCAGCAAAGGGACTGCAACTCACCAAGGATGGCGAGTTCATTGCCTGAGTACTGTTTTGCAATCATCTCTTCCAGCTGTGGTGTCCGGTCCATGTAGAGGTGCGTCATTTCAGCTGCACTGATGCCCTTTTTGCGCCGAATCCGAGGAAAATTGGAAAAGAACAAAGAGCCGGTATTGGACTCTATCTCAGTTGGCTTCTCCAAATCCATGTCCTCCAACTTGACCGCATCTCTCTCTAACATGCTATTATCGGTTCATGTGCAAATCCATCCTTGTACCTAGAATACCGATAAATACAGGATAAGTACAGAATATGACATATATATAATCTATAATCAGAATATCAATCAAAGTGATGCATCTGAAAACACAGGGTCATCAAATGTGCTGAGGGATCCCAAGCAGTCCTCTGCGGCTTTGGGATTTGTAGCAGCATCATACTCCGCGCGTTTAGAGCGCACACGACCAGAAATCGGTTCGATCTTCTGAACCAACTCTGCCGTGGTATGCCTTGTGAGTTCTGCCCACTGCTCTCGCAGTTCCAACGGATATGGACCCAAATTCCGATCAAAGTCGAAGCTTCGGACACCATCGGCATATCTGACAGACTCCTCGTTTTCAGGTCTAATGAGCTCTTCATTTTCAGGATCCCAGCGGAAGACAGCCACATCCTTGGGCTTCATATGCAGAAAGAACCCTGACCTACAAATACCAATGTCTTCAGCGGCACTGGCGCTGCAGTAGACATAATGCAGGCCTGGAGGTATCAGTTTCACCTTGGGCACAGGAGGCAACTAAAGCAGCTGAGGGATGTTGCTGACCTCGAAATGCCCTACGACTGTTGTGGAATCTCTGTGTGTGTGTGTGTCACTGGTGTCCCTCCCCAGTCAACCACTGCACAAAGCAACAAAGCTCAAAGGCCTGAAACCATAGATGATCAATAGAGGGTTCCCCCTTAAAACCCAATAGAGTAAATGGTAAAATATACCAAATCGGCCCTTTTATTTCTCCAAAAGGAAGAAAACTTGCCTGAAACCACTAGAACGGATTGAGTTGTCAGTACCAAGCAGCTCCCATAAATTGCGGTCCCACCGACCACGCAGAGTAATCGATACCGAAGAGCATGCCTTCTGAGCAGCCCAAGCATAGTACGGAGCAGCCATGCTCTGCAAAGCGCTGTACCTCTTCCGTCCTCTCCATGACGCCGCGCGGAAAATTGTGACTCGCTCCCTTCTTTGGTCCATGAAAATGCAGTGACAAGTCCAAGCAACACACCAAAACCATGCAAAACCAGATTTCTCTGCAACTCATTAATCAATGCCAACTTGACAATCTTTCCGATGTGATTCATGTCGTGAATCCAAGCCAATCCCAAGCGACAGTCGCACACCAAAGAGAATCTCCCATGTTTCCGGAGCCAAGCCAGGCTCACAGTGACTTTGGTGCCAGTTCCGGAGCGGCTGGCTCGTTCAGATACATCGTATAATAACAAACAATAATATATTGTACATACAATTAAGTAATTGTGGCTATATGTGGCTGTGGCTATCATTGTTACTTGATGTTACTTGACTTATATGAATTTTCATGTGTGCCAAGTCGCTGCGTGGTGGGCTTGCAGTCCTGTTTCATGCAAGGAGCAGGTCTGTGTGACAGGCCACAGTAGAGGTAGCAAAGGTTTGCAAAACAGGCTTCCTCTTCCGCTGTCTATGGCAGTCATGCAAATCTTTTGACATATTTGAGATGTGTAAGTCTTGTCGAGACGTGCTGAGACTTGGAACAAAGCCCTGGCTGATTTGGTGGTTTGAGTTGGACGGCCATACGGCCATACAGGCTATGCGGCTATACATGTCAAAGTGAGGTAAGGTCCTCTGTAGTTGACCATCCTGGTGACACAACCGATCAAGGTGAAGCACCATGAATGTCAACTAGGACATCCTAGCTGACAGAAGAGCATGCCTTCATCAGCACCCCCATCTGGAAACATCTTACAGAATCTTACATGTGGGAGTCTGCATCTCATGATGCCTGACACACCAAAAACAAGAAAAACGACTGCAATAGCCTCTCACAACAGCCCTGGCTACCTGAGGAGCTGCCATCATTTCGACTGGCTGTGGTGGTGCCTGCACAGCCAGTAATCACGCAATGCTTGTGACATGTTTCAAGTCACAGCCCCCTCTGCGAAGAGTTGTCCCCCAAAAGGGTCACCGCCTGCCAGTAGTTCCAGCCAACCATACCACCACTTCCACTCCTTGCAGCTGGCACTGCTGAAAGTTGAGTCAGCTGGTGGTTTATTCGGGCTGAATAAACTGCTTGGATGTCTGCCTACAAGTACTAGAAACAACGGCCGTCTCCAGAAGGATTTCCCATGGTTTCCCTTCTGGGGTACACCTTGCTACAACTTGTTAAGACTACAGTATATAATATAATTATATTAATTATATATTTATATAAGACTAAAAACCAAGTGACCTTCACACATCATGGCCACATGACATATCAGGTCTCTGAGGCCCGAGCGCAGGTGGATACATGCCTGAAAAGATCTTGCAAAGCTCAAGAAAAAGTTAACTCCATGGAGCATTTTAACCACCAGCTTCCTCTCATAGCCTGCAAACATGACAATATACCACAATGGTTCGGACAGCCGCCATTTCAAACTCATTGAAAGGACCGTTGAATACGAAGGCATTGAGTTGACACCTTTAAAATAGCGAACAAATCGCTCACTTGGCCTTGAAACCCAGGCATGGGCACTTGCATGCCTCCTGTGATTGGGTTCGATGATTTGTATGGGAATTCTCCTTGTGCCAACCGTCTCATGTCCATATCTTGGGATTGTGAGTATCATTCAGGATGGGCCTAGACCTTCAATTAGTCTCAAACTCGATGGCATGCGTCTTTTTCAGTTGCAGCAAAAGGTCCTCCTGCTGCCAGGGAGGACGCCTGAACAGGACGGGGCAACTGCACACTAAATTGAAACAAAAAGTCACACACTCGCTTTTCCGCAACCCGCCACTGAGAGATCTCAGAGGCTAGGGTGCACCTCAACCTCATGTATCTTTGGAGGGATGTGTTGGGCACGATACGATATGGCACGATATGGCACGATAAGTACCTTTTCAAATCAATTCAAATCATTTCTAACCAACGCAAGGACATGTCGGCAAGGAAGGATTTTTCCAGAATGCCTCCTGCATTGCCCCAGGCATCTCTCCAAAGTGCTGCAAAGGTATGCTTCCAGCTGGCCTGGACAGCACGGCACAGAATGCCTTTCCTTCCTGTGCATTCCCTTGGTCCAATTTGCAAATTCATAGATCTTGGGTGCTGGCTGCTCACAGCTAGGTTTAAACTGGCACCACTATCCCGTTCGCTGCATCCAAGTGACAAAAGCCCATTGCAGGGCACGACTCCTCCAGGCGTCTGCAAAGCATAAGCCTGGCTGCCAGCCACTAAAACGACCTAGGCGAAAAGGATGCCAATGGATGGCGGGTACGCATGGTGCTGCGGTATAGCCCTCGGAATGCATCGAAACATGTATGAAACATCGCGAAACAGTTGAAGAGGTCATTAGACATCAGAATCAGCTTGGGCATAGTTTTCTTTACAGTTTCTTCTGCCAACGTTGCTCTTTTTGTTGCAATTCTGTTGGCGATCAGAAAAGGAGATCAAAGAATGCGAACAGTCTGCCCTTAGTTTCTTTGTCAGCAACTTCCTTATAAGCATGGTTCAAGTTCAAGACAAGTATCAAATATCTGCTTCAACATCCCTTCAAGGTTTGTTTGTGCCGGAACTATGACGAGTACACAGCGAAGATTGAATGCCCTGAAAGGCCCTGAGGGAAAGCACGCTGCCATTGGCGGCTGCAGTTCGCGCTTGCCTCGGAGGTTTGTTGTGCTGTCCTCCTGCTACACCTGACATCGTTCTAAGGCGCGAGCCCATCTCGATTGTCCATCATGTATTCCCAATCCTCGGTGCACAAAATTAAGTTGACAGTTGACAACCACAGGGGAAATACGTCAACTACAAAGCTTGATTAGCACTCACACTTGCCCATGCGTCTTGACATAGAAACCACAACTTGTAGCTGTCGCGCGTGGGAACGTTGATGCACATATCTAACACATTTTTGCGACATGGCTTCTTCAGATTAAGATTGACATGTCCAAGGGCACCACACTTGCCGTGTTCCTCATTGCTCCCACTTGCCAAGCATCTGTTGAAGGACACTGAGCATCACTGTGTTCATCTTCACTGAAGATGCGGCTGTCCTCCAAATCATGGGTCTTACTACAATGACATACAATGAGATAGTCCATACACGAGCAATAAAACGCCGCGCCGCATGGTTAATTGTTCTATGAGGAAAGGCACATTGCAATCTTGTGCAACTGTTTACCGCGGTCGGCTGCAGTCGGCTCCATTCAAGCCAAGAAGCTATTTCAGGCGTAGCTTCTGTTCCTTGGTTCAGTGTATGATCCCATGCACCTTGATGCACCTTGATGCACCTTGATGCACCTTGATGCACCTTGGCAGTTCCATATCTCCAAGTGACTCCAACAACTATTTCTTGCTCCAGATGTGCTCCTGAGGACGGGAACCCCAGTAACACGCATGGCCGCATGGCTTAGTGATCCGAGTGACTGGGTGTAGTCCCACATTGTGTCTGTTCATGTTGATGACTGATCACACCATGGAACATGTCACGAAATGCACTAAACATATAACAAAAAAAAGCACCTGCACAACGTCAAGCATAGGCATACCCTGATTGTACTTGGTTCTACCCAAATCTTACATACTGTATACGCCTGACATCAAAAATTGTCCTGACCGGTTGCCCTAAGGGGGCGCCAACTATAGGCTTTCCTTGACTGGAAAATGCATCTGATAATTTATATACACATAATATATAATAGATATATAATTACATATAATTTAATTATGTATCTATCTTGAACCTCTAAACGGGCCAGCTGACCACAAGCGGCTCCTTGCACAGCTCTCCTTACGCGTTGCTTGCTTCTCGCGTGGACCTCCAAGGTTCTTAAGTCCGGGAGTCATGGTGGCTCTCCAAACTGCGACAGCATTGCTGTTCTATGCTGTTCTTGCCCGTTTCCAATACAGATATGTTTCTTTATTACTATTCTATATTGATATATTAATATATTAATATGTATATATATATATATTATGATCTATCTGGGTGAGACTGAAATGAAGGAAAAACATGGAAACACCTTATCAATATGGATTAACCTTATTTAAACATGGAAAAACATGGAAAAACCTGCTTGGACTTGGGTGTTTCTTCACGTCTTTCCAACCCCCCCAGGCTGCCTCGATGGGGTGAGATGCCATCGTTGCGTGGCACGGATGGCGCTGAGGGTGTCACCCGAAGCTCATCGGATTCATCCACGGCTTGGTGGATTGTGTGCTTCGGTGGATCCGAGCGAGCTCGCAAATGAGGTGGACCTGAGATCTGTGACATGTATAATTTATATAATATATAATATATATATATAATTATATATATATATATATTCTGACATCTTCTGGCTGTTCAACAAATGTCAGGATATCGAGGATATTGTATCAACTCTGGTCATCTGGACATGTTCGTTAGACCACATAGAGTCGCAATCTGAGAACACTGAGCTAGATTAAGTCGGAATTGATTGTGCCATTGTGCTTGAAAATCCTAAGCTATCAACTTGGAGTCACAGGTACGGTGCTGTGCGCCTGAGCAGGTGTGGCCGTGCCAACTGTGGTTCCCGGCAGAATCTTAGCACTAGCACATAGACATATCAGTGCTAGCACTAAAGCGATGACCTATGATCCCACAATGTCACAAAAAACGAGGAATGAAATCCGTTTGTTCCACAGGTTTGAAGCTGGAAGTTAGTGAACTACTACAGGACTGTAAGGTCTGTAAGGAAGGAAAATACAGAGTTTCTTAAGGTGTTTCAGTGGTGTAGATGTAGATTCCGATGCTTGCAACTGGAAAAGAGGCGAGGCCATACGAGGCCTACCTGGTGTGCTGGATGTAGAAACCTATATACAAGGAATGAACATTGATAATCCACGACTTAACAATCCACTAGTATCCATGGTATCTCTGGGAGCCCTTGCTACATCGGCAGTGAGTGCGAATGCACGTGGGGGGCGCCTCAACTGATCGAGCAAATCCAGATCTGAGCAATGGAAACCCAAGGTCAAAACATGTCACAACAGCTAGCTAGGTATGGGACTGGTAGCTCCAAAAGTTCAGCTGCAAGCCGCTGTACCTGGAAGTCTGTTTTTTGGCCCTCCTGCCACAGTATAAGTTCACATGTGATACCTTTCTTCTCATTCCCCACCGCACCAATTCAACCACTATGCTGTGGAAAAATGTCCTCTTCCTTCTTCCCAGGAATGACATCATAGGCCCAGTCGGCCCAGGTCCCCAGAAACCCTTATCTATTGCAGTTGAAGGGCTGCTCAGCACTGTCTTCGATGTCCTTACCAAGACTCAAGATCTCAAGAAATCTCAAGAATACTTTCCGAAGCAATACCAATTGCATAGCAGGACTTTCCAAAGCAATGAGGGTTGAAGGGGAAGCGAGGCAATAGTGGTTCTACAAGCAACACTGTGAAAGTTCTACAAGCAGCGTGTTTGAGATTTCCAATCAAACGTTCAGCCCTCGTGCATCCAGGCCACGTCTTCAATTTCATCGGGTTCCTCTAGCGTTGGCCTCGTTGGTGGCACAAACACATGTCAGTTCTGGCATGAGGGTCAAAACAATCCATCCGCACAATGTTTTGCAAACAAGTTTGATTTATCTTGACTTTACACTTTACTCCGTCAATCCATACATGATACTGCGCTAATTGGATCGGTTGACACTCCAAGCACATGCAGGATTCTCTGATTCTTCACACGCCATTTTCACCCAAACATCAGAAAATAGAATTCATAAGCAGAAACTTCCAGACCGTTACCATCTTCTACATTCTCAAAGGATGTACATCCAAGCTACGGAGGACAGGCTTCTTTCATGACTTCCTTGTAGGCCTTGCAGTGACAAGGCGACAGCAACGGGTTAAATCATCCGCTGGCCATGCCATTGAGAAACATGAACACCAATAAGATCCAATAAATCTTTCATTCAATAAGTTGAGTTGATGGATGTTGTGACACGCCCACACAAAACACATAATATACAGTCATATATGTCATGTATATATATATATATGTATGCACTAAAATCTATAGTCTATAATCTATGAATCATATATGGTATAGTCGTGTATATAATATATATATATATATATATTATATACAATATTCTATAGTCATATAATTAGTCACTATAGTTTCGTTCCAGCCAAGACTCTTCAGGAAAGTCTGCACCTGCAACCAACACAGGCGAGTAGTAGTGGCGTTTCTGTGTTTCCGACACGGTCCAGTTTCCGCGTGCTAATCATGTGATGCGTGCCATAATCAAAACATTGTACGCAGGGTATGTCATCCATTGTGGGATGGGAATCCTTATGACTTATAATGTGCATATAGATCCCTCTCTACTAAACATGGATTGATGGCCATCCCCAGCATGGGAAAATGGGCAATGTCTGTAGACTACCTTCCCTTGCCATATCCTGCCACTAGTCTGCCTGCAATCACCCAGTCCGAGCGAAGGAATTTCAGCCGCAGTCGATTGGACACCTATGTAGCCACAACGTCCAACGCATTCCAACGCACTGAATGTGTGGTGCTTCAGTATGGAGTCACTGTATATAGAAAGACCCTCTTGGCACATAGGTTCATGTCATCTCCAGATATCGATGAACCTACTTCCACACTTGTGCTAATATTAAATGGACTCTCTCCATGTTATTTTTGAGGAGGTACCTAATGGCACCTACCATCTGGTGTTCACATGTGCTCACCATGTTGCTGCATTTGCTGCCGTGTCACGACCAAGGCCATCTTCATACTGCTATGCTGCGACAGGTCATTGACGCAAATGAGCCTGATTCCCATTGATTCCCAAGATTCGAACCCCGAAGGACCGAAGGACTTCAATGGCATCTTTCACAACGAGATGCGTCTGCTTTAGCTTAAATATAGCTTAAATGGAGGGATTCAAAGTCATCCATGCCGTGTCTCCAAAGAACATATCTGACTCTTGAAGGGCTGTGACTTGCAATGCCACTGAAAAATCTGAAAACTGCTGATGATGCTGCAGGAATCTAGGATCCACAAGGCCGAATACAGACACCATCAGACACCCTCATCATCCTCATAAAATCTCACAAGCATTCTTTCCACTTGCAGACTGGTGACTCATCTCCTCGCTCCAAAAGTGGAAGCCCTGCAAATGACAAACACAACATTACAGGCCTATACAGGCCTTCATTTGATTCACCAGGACTCCCAGAACTGCATCTGAAACAGCAGAAATGCCAGAGCGAGTGGAGGGAGCACACCAAACTAAAACATCCTTAAACGAAAAAGCAAAACTCACTGTGGTTGTGATTGAAAAAAGGCCTCCAGAAACTGACTCACCGTAACATGAACTGCATCCCCCCATCCATCTTTCCTCTCCGCGCTTAAGATGTTTGGCTTGACAAGTGGGTCTTCGTTTCATGTGAGTGTTCAAGTGGCACCTGCAGCTAACTGTAAGCACATGCAGGCACTTAAATCACTTAATATTTCAGGGTGCCTTGCTCTTTTCGCTCTTGCTGTTGTTGCCCTGCAGGGGTGTTGGGATCCACTCCAGCAAAGATGAGCCTGTGCACGTTGTTCACGGGCTTCCGCTCAGCAAAGGCCCTTCTTTTCGCCCACAATTTGACAAAAAGTGTTAGAAAAAATAAGGACATTGCAGAAATATGTGGCAAAATGACCACCAGCTCCTGGGTATCATGAGCACCGTTTGGATTGTCTGGGACCCTGGGGACAACTCTCCTTCCGCCCATGTTGTCAATTTCCGTGCTCACGCACTTTGTCCGTGTTTCATGAAAGTATCTGGCAGAAACTCCATGTGGACCGTGTGGATAACTTTGAAAATACCTCAGCATCGCAAACCTTCTGCGTGTGCATCATCTCATCATCTCATATCTAGGACGTGCAAAACCTGCCTCTCTTCATCAAAAGCAGTTCGCTGCCAGCACAATCCCCAGGCTTCGCCGGGGAATCGCTCTAGGATCACCTCAGGGGCATTGGGTTGTGAATTCAGCTCGGCTGAGCACCATTGCGACTGCATGTTTCTTGAAAAACGGTGAGCCGTATCTAAAGTGACACAGTCAGAACAAGAATGAACAAGAGACTTATTATATAATCAATTATTAGAGGAGACGCATTCGATAAAACATTGTTGCATGTGTATATATATATATATATTTGCTCATCATTCCCGCCCTCAAATCAAGCACTCTCACGTTGTGCATAGCGCCTCTAAGAATTTCTTCGCTTCTTCGTCGCAACCTTCTGGCTCAGGCTCCGGTAGGTCTTCCCGTGCCTCATTCAATGCTCAGACTGACCAACCGAAATCTCAGCGGAACGGCTTTGTCTCGACAGTACATATATGCAAATTGATGTCTTCCTGATCATTCCCAACTCTTGCTTTTTCATGCTTTTTCATATATCGTTTTGTGAGGTGTTATTATGGACATTTAAGGAATTGTATGGAATTGTTTAGTATGTTGTGTCACCATCTGGCACCGTGGCATGGCACCTTCGCCTTCTGCTCCGGTTCTACCACCTTTGGGGATTTTGGCTCTTTCAGCTCCATGAGCTCCAGCTCTGTGTGCGACGCGGGCGACGGTGTGCCCGGTGTGTCGTGGATTTCATGGCACATGTGGCCATGGCTGTTCGACTTGGAACTGAACTCCTGTCACGCTGCGGGCTGAGGACCCCTGTTCTACAGCTGCAACTTGTCACTCCTCTCATTGTGTTCACTTTCTGTAGCTTCGATTCGGCATAGCCATATGCAGCATACAAGATATACAAATGTTTCATACCACTACGGCTTGAGTTCTTGAGTTGGCCATACTGGGCAGTGCCCGTTGGTTTGCAATCCATGTCCAACTTATACCCAAACCAAGTCCTCATAGAGGAAAGTCACGATGCCAGCAAGAAATGTTAGCACTGATAGCTCCAGCAGGGCAATGTCTAGTGATACCTGAGTGGCGGGGCAGCCACATCAGACCTAGGTGACCCCACAAAAAAGTCATCGGCAAGTTGTTCTGATGTTAAAACCAAGATCCAGTCTAATTAATCGCTTTGTCATATACCCCTTCGATCGCCCAGGGAGGTTCACTCCTTGGAAACAAATGCGTAGTACTAGTTACTAGTACAAACGGGTATTTTATCATGGTGTCTACATAATTTACATAATATATTCAAGTATATTCAAGCATGAAGTCTTGCTTCTTCGCAAGGGTGGATCACCAGCGACATGCTCTGCATGTGGCTACCTCATTTCTGCCAAGGGGCATTAGTAGGCCAAATCTGTTCAAGCATTCCGCGATGCCAGGGCTCCTCTGCGCAAAAGTCCGCGAAAATTCAAGAACCCAGGCACCAAGACTGAAGGTTCTGACCGACCTGAATTAGACAGCGCAATAAATGTCAGTCAAAGTACCAAAATGATCCAAAATGTACTAAATATCCAGATAAAAATGTGGCATGCTCTACTTCTCGGGTAGAAACTTAGCAGCCCAGCAAAGCACTGGTCCCACTCACCATTTATATTTTGCACTAAGTCACCAGTAACTCGCAGCGAGTACAGTGTTGGTAGTGTTGATGCTACAGTAGCCCTGAACTCACTCATCTACCTGAGCCCATCATTAATTAAATATACGGCAAGGCCGCCAAGGCCAGTTCCAACAGGTCAGCTTCTACCCCAGCGCACCTCAAAACTTGAAAAGGCAATATCCAAACAATGAGGGGAAGGAGCACAGCGCCCAACTACTGTTACCCCCTCCGACTCGAGTACTGTACCTTGAGCCAAACAAACAGCATTGCACCTTGCTGCACAGGGCAATGGCATCTCATGCATTGGAATCAATCAGAAGGGAGGATATCACTGTGCGAAGCATGGTCAACCACTGATCCTTGGAGTGAAGCTGCATCTCTTCTGGCGATCACAGTCTTGTGGAAAATTGACAAAAAGGCCACAAGTTTGGTTTCGCACCATGCGGCATGACATATCATGAACAGCAGGCTTTGTGTGAAATTGCAATGGTACTAGGCACACCCGGGCAAATGGTGCAACACTTTAGCAAAACAACCCTCCAAAAGCAGCACTGCACCCGGCTTGGCCCTGAAACCCATCTGACTGATCTTCGCCCGAATGTCTTTTGCTGCCTGCAGAAACTCTGAAACCCAGAGTCCTTCTCCAAACCCACTGCAAAAGAATCAAAAACCAAGTTGATAATTAATTAATGGTAAAGGACCTGCACTCTATCCATTTTTGGAGGCTTCAGTGGTGTCTGCGAGTTCACTCTCCTGGGGAAGGACTTCTTCAAGCACTGGCAGGCACTGAGTTTGCAGCTTCCCAAAGATCAGCCGAGCTTGTCCGGCTATCTGCACAAGTGCGCTCAGCTGTCCAGCACCCCGTGCAAATAAAAGGCACATGCTCCGTTTCAATTTGTCATTGAGGCTTGATGTTTTCAGATACAGCCGTAATACAGACTTATTGCATCTTATTGCATTGATTGTAGATTGTAGATAAGTATAGATAAGTGATCCCCTAGTCGCCTTTAGCATTCTGATTTGATTTATCAAAATCCGAAAACAAAATTTGCGACTTGGGGCTATAGAGCTGAGGTTAACAACTCACTTCCAACACCGAAAATCAACTCACTCCCAACACCGACTCACTCCCAACACCAAGAACTCACTCCCAACACCAAAAATCAACTCACTTCCAACACAAAAAGCACTTTTCGGCGTCGAGGGCGAGTCGATTTTCCATTTCCCCATTGGTACTGAGGCGTCACTTCTGGAACCCCATCATAAACAAACATTACACGGCAAATGATCAACACTGATAAACCCTTCAAGGGTGGGGTGGGGGTGGGTGGGGGGGGTGGGGTGGGGGGGTGGGGTGGGGTGGGGTGGGATGATAACGTTCATGTTCCTATGCACACACAGGCACAGCAACCTCATCATCTTTCTTGCTGTTGAGCAGAGACAGGCACAGCTCTTTCATGATCAGTTACCGGTGGGGTGGGGTGAGTTAATAAGGTTCATGTTCCTATGCCTGCACACGCACAGCAACCTCATCATCTTTCTTGCTGTAGAGCACTTACACGCACTGCTCTTTCATGATCAGTTACCCGTGGGGTGGGGGGGGTGGGGTGGGGTGGGGGGGTGGGGTGGGGTGGGGTGGGGTGGGATGATAACGTTCATGTTCCTATGCACACACAGGCACAGCAACCTCATCATCTTTCTTTCTGTTCAGCAGAGACAGGCACAGCTCTTTCATGATCAGTTACCGGTGGGGTGGGGTGAGTTAATAAGGTTCATGTTCCTATGCCTGCACACGCACAGCAACCTCATCATCTTTCTTGCTGTAGAGCACTTACACGCACTGCTCTTTCATGATCGGTTACCCGTGGGGTGGGGTGAGTTAATAAGGCTCATGTTCCTATGCATACACACGCACAGCAACCTCATCATCTTTCTTCCCGTAGAGCAGAGACAGGCACAGCTCTTTCATGATCAGTTACCGGTGGGGTGGGGTGAGTTAATAAGGCTCATGTTCCTATGCATACAGACGCACAGCAACCTCATCATCTTTCCCGAGAATATATATATATACATATGTATTTCTTAACTATATGTATGTAGATTAAAAATATATATATATATATAAATAATTATATATATATAATTATATATAAATAAACATTGATACTAAGGTAATTAGTCTGGTACATGGTTGTAGTAGTAGTGGTGGTTGTTGTTGTAATAGAAGTAGTCTTAGTAGAAAGTAGTAGAAGTAGAAGTAGAAGTAGAAGTAGAAGTAGTAGTAGTAGTAGTAGTAGTGGTAGTAGTAGTAGTAGTAGTACTAGAAGCAGTAGTAGTAGTAGTAGTCGTCGTCGTCGTCGTCCTCGTCCTCTTCGTCGTCGTCGTCGTCGCTGCTGCTGCTGGTGTTGTTGTTGTTGTTGTTGATGTTCCTGTTGGCATTGATGTTGATGTGAATGTTGATGATGTTGTTGTGGTTGTTAATGTTTTCGTTTTGTCGATTTGGAGACTGCTGTTGATTTTGTTCTTGTTGTTGATGTTATCATGTTGTCGATGTCACAGTAAAGAGGCGTCGAGAGCGAGTCGATTTTCGGCGCTCAAAGCGAGTTGATTTTCGGCGTCGGGAGCGAGGTGCCGACCAGCAAATGAGCTCAACGAAAACCAAGACATCTGAAGAAACAAACTTCAAATGATTCGCAGAGACTTCGGTGCCTCGCTTCTGGGGACTGCGACTTCGGCTTCGGGGACCTGGCCAGCATCAACGGTGACCAGCGACGGCTTCATGTGTGAAGCATGAAGAATCATCAAAATGCCATGCCGCGGCAGGGAATTGAGATAAGTTTCCTCAGTTCTGCAAAGCGCAGGACATCATCCAAAATGAGATAATTGCAATAAAATGAGGCGATGAGGTCATGAGGCCATGAGGTCATGAGGCGCAAATTTTTGATTCACATATTATTGCCGCAATATACAGTATCATGACATGTCCAATGCAACCAGCCATGCACCTCGGCCATTCTTGTCCTTTGCCTTGGGCTGAGGAACCGTCTCAGTCTCTTCCTGCCCAACAAGTTGCTGCGCAGAATTACTACCAGTGTTGGGACGTGGTGGGACAATGAAATATCCGCAGAGATTGTTGGAGTCACTGACAGTCCCGGGCCACCAGTCACACAATACCGGCACACCTCAAGTATCTCAAGCACATTGACATAGCCTATATTATTACATGTTATATTATAATATAATATAATATATATATATATCATACATAGATACTAACGATGATTGCAAAATCTTACCAAACCATAATATGAAACCACCAGAAATGGTACAACCCCCCACCTCGCCAGAAGCTTCAGAACCAGACTCTGCAGTGATGCGTTTGCGCTGCTTGCCCTGGCAAGGTAGCTTGAAGGATGAAGCAGTGCAGCTCAGGTGCCCATGGCGGGAGCAAATCCGAACGGAGCAAATCCCAACTATTCCGAAAGACTCCCAAGATGATGCAACCAGCCTGTTCAATCTGCTGCACAGTTGGCTTCGGTGCATCAGCCAAAGGATCGGCATCTAATGACAATGCAGCCACCGGACCTGGAAGCGAAGGCCACATCAACTGACATGCAACATGGACAGGCCCAAGCCCCCAAGCCCAGGGGTAAAACACGGTAAAACTATGCGGAAACATTGGATTCGAGATGATTCAAATAATGGCCAAGTTGGTCAGCACATGTCAGCAGTTACAAATCTGGCATGGTCAATTAAAACAGGGGGTGGAGATGTCAAACTTGACTGACTTGACTAATTATATAATATTATATAATTGATTTCGTCGTGTTTTTGAATTGTCTAGCAAGGTTTTGCATGGTCTTGCAAATCTGCCAGGTGGTTTCCATAATTTTCAAGTGCTTTTCACATCTTTTCACATCTTTTCACGGTGTCCGGGCCTTTGGTGATCTCCTTTTCCAAGCGCTTCTGCTTGGCGATCCGATCCAACCCCAGCTTGGACGCCTGTGTCACGGCATGACGGCCGAGCGGTTTGGTCCAGTCCCTGGCTGATCAAACTCAGGGTGTATTCGCATGCTGAGTCTAGAAAACGATCACTCTTTCTTCCTATACCATCCTCTACCATCCTATACCCGTAAAAACATGTAAAAACTACAATCATCTACAATATTCTACAATAGTTTATTCAAAATTCTTTGGCAGTTCCGTGAGAAAGAAATCAGCATCCAGGGCCCCAGCGCGGGAACGCGTATTGAAGGCAATACGTGCAGCCTTGAAGCTCCATGTCAATAGCCCATCACAGCAGAAACTGAACATCAGAAGAGTTCGAAAAGCCTGAGCCATGTTGAGCCTGTGAGACTTGTATTGACTTATGCTACACTCACTAGTTGTGCAGCGGGTAATTCTTGATATAGAAGCACGAGTATCTCGTAAACAAAAAAATATTTAAAAAAAATATCTAAGAGCCATCAGCAGCAAAGCAGCACGCCAGTTGCTGTTTGACACTAAGCCACTAAACATGTCCCATTGAAAATGCGTTCACCACCTGCTCATTTTGAGCACCTGATGTGCAAATCCAGTCCAGGAGGGTCCGATTCATTGAGCTGGCAGCATCTGGCAGCTATATATTTTTTGGTTAGTGAACTAAACCCAGATCCCCGTACCCAAACATAGCCAATCTTGAGTCAGCTTACGTAGATTTAAGGTGAGTGAGAGGCATGTAGTGCCATGATATGCTGCCGTGAGATGTAATCCTTCAAAACTCAGGACTTGAAAACTTCAACTTTGTACAAGACTGGGATGTGCGCAGCGCAGCGCAGCGCCATTATGCGCCATTCCTGCCTGGATATTTGATACCAGGACACTGGCACACAGTGGCACCATAGCTGCGCTGTCGCTGGCGATCAGGTCGCAGGATGTCGCTGCTTCCCCGATTGCTAGTGATTGTTAGTGTCTTGCAGCTCCCCAGGTGATGATATTTCCATCTCCTTGGATTTGAGGGAGAGAAATTGCTGGAAGACTATGCCTGCAATGTGATGCATGGGCCCAGCAACAAATTTATAACAGAATTGTAAAACAAGGCTTGGGCTGACCCATGCTGACCTTCACCAAGTGCAGCAAAGGTCAGCAGTGCGGGTCCGTATGATTTTGGCATATGTCGGTCCTATGTGACTCCATCCCTACCCTCAAAGTCATCAAAGTCGTACAGTCATGGGCAGTACAATGACACTTTGCCAGCTGCTTCCACGCCTACGCACTATTACGCACTTACAAAATGAAACACAATTTGGCCGAGCATCTTTTGACAGCGGCGAAAGCATGACGAGTGGCAAAAAGCCGAATCACCTGTTTCAATCAAAGCACCGAGATCTTCATGGACAACACTGCGCCGGTCTTTGAAAGCCTTTCCAGAGTGAAAATGACCTGGAAAGTTAATTTCCGTTTCTATGTTTGTTTGCATTATGCATTGGAACGATGCTAAGAGGTAGCACTCGCTCATACCCGATAGCCCTATCGCGGTACCTTTGAACTGGACCATTAATAAACAGAGCAGCGACAAATAGGCCTTTGGGAGGCAACACCTTCATACATGGTGTACAATGCCCGTCATCCATCAAAATCCGGATAAATCATGATAAATCCATCTATAAATCCAACTTATACAAAGAAAAATGCGTCGGTTTCAGTTTCCTCTCTTTGTCTCTCCAAGCACCTTGCCAGCAGCCAACTGTGCCTTGCAAGCTCCTGGATTGCCACCATAGGCCTCCCATGCATCACCAGTCAAAATGACTGAGTGAATTCGTTCCATAGCTTGATGTTTGGCTAGTGAGAAAAAAGTGCATCAATAGAGAATTTGTTACTTTTACACTTATACTTGAAGTTTGTAATTACAGTACTTGTCTTGTGACCCTTATCTTGCAGTGAAGCAGGCCTGAAGCTGGAATGTGCATATTCTGTCTCTCCATGGTGGCTTGCTGCCAAGCTACTGGGTGTCCCCAGGTCAGAACAGTGCCATCATGCTTGAGGGCAGCGAACGCATAGGCAGTGCCACATATTTCGTAGATGCCCACCAGCCTCAATTTGGAGGGCCACGTCCCAATGAGGAAAATAGTCCATGATCTCAACGGATGTCTGGTACGAACCGTAAGTTCTGCGGTGTCTAACACATCTCAAGACATCTCAAGACTAATCACAGAACTGCAATTAGAAAGTGCTTTTTACTGCATCAAAAACGATCAAAATCATTAAAAGAAGACGAATCTAACGCTTCTTGCTGCCAATGAGCTCCGCAAAAATATGATCAGTTTCTCCTCCATAATCCTGGTGCAAGCAATCAATGTCGATTTCGAGAATGTCTTTGATGATCTTTGATAAGGGTTCTTTCATGTTCTTTCATGTTGTTTCACTAACTTTCCAAAAAATCTCAAGGTTTGCTGTGTTCATGCAATCTTTTCGCTGGAAACACTTTGCATTTCTCTTCGTCCTTGTGCCCCCAACAGCACACGCGGCCCTCACGTCCTTGGTGGGAAATGCCGCGGGATAGATTTTGAAGGAAACCAAGTCACAGTCCAAAGCAACACCGTGCGAGGTGCGTAGGGATGCTTGCAAATAAACCGAATGTATGAATGCTGGTCATTTATGGTCATTCTCCGGTGGAAAGTCAATAGTGAGGAAACACAGCAGATTCAACATCCTTTATTACCTTTATTTAACATCTACTCCTATCAAGCCGGAGGAAACACATCCAGGCATGCAAGCGAGAGAGAGGTACATGATCACAAAACGTGAACAGCATTTGAGTTTGCATAGTATTTACATGTATTTACGATACGCATATTATCCTGTCCCAGAATCTATCTAAAGCAGCAAAGGCGTGCTCTGTGCAGAAAATCTTCGCCACCTCACTGCAAACACTGTGAAACATTCAGACCTCAAGGCGACAAAATGCCATGAATCCAACACAAATTGGAGCGCCTCCACGACCTATCGTTGGTCAACCACATGCAGAACCATGAAGAAGAACCATCAAGTGTCACCCCAATCGGCCACTGCGCCTCACCACGATCCTCAGGTCGTGCCAAAATGTCTCCTGTAGAGCAAGGAATCAGTGTGGCTCTGAGTGGACTGGAACTTTAGAGAAACATAAGCATGGACATGGAATTTTGAGGGTCCCAGCGTCCCACGAATCTTGTGCTAAATAATGCTATATAAATAGATATTAGTGTCATGAAGGTGTGTATGGTGTGTCATCCTCCGGAGCTGGACACGCTTTTGGAATAATATCTCCATCCCTACCTGCACAATCAAAACTAAGCCTTCAACATCCGCAGCTTTGGGAAGGTCGATTGCTTCGCCCCAACACCATGAAATATATGAAATCCAAGACTGTCACTAATAAATTATTAATAAATGTGTACAGTACCCAGTAGTGGGGGGGTGCCAATCCCTGTCATCCACTAGATCTTTAAATTTCTTCACATGTCCAACTGAACCAGCATGAACCAGCTGAACATGGTGCAATACACTGCCATAATATGCCATAATTACAATATCTCAACAAACTCGCACTGCTGCCCTTGAGGGCCTCCATCGGATTCATTGCCCCAGGAGATGACATTTCCACTTTCTTTCAAAGCGGAGAAGGCCTGCCAGGTGATGAATATTTGGGATATTTGGGGGCTCTGCTCCTGATCATATTTTCTCTCAGGCATGTACAGCAAGCCCCCCTCCCAACCCCCCCCCAAAAAAAAAGGTGCGTAGCAAAGCTCACTGGATCCCGGACATGTCGCATCATTATCATTGTTTTGCATCAGGGCCAAAAAATGTAAAGGATTGTAAAGGACTGTTTCACAGTTCCATGTCTCTGGATGATGTGCCTGGTCTGTTGAATGCAAAGCAACAACCTTCGATCGCAGTTGGGCCTAGCACAGCTTTGTGTGACACAGATGACACAGGGTTTCGCGCTGCAGCAAACTCCGTACTCAACGCAGGCAACGAAAGCACACATTCATCAAAATCATCAAAGCTCGTGCTCAATTTAGCCGATTAGCCTCTCAATCAGGGACCTATCAGACTGACAGTCCCGCCCAAGTCCCAGAGATGGCCTTGACTTCCCTTGTGGAGCCACCACCCTAAGACCAAGAGAGAGGCCAAATAAACCAAAACAGCCACTTGATGCAGATTTCTCTGCTGAACTGTGTGATGAACTTTCATGATGTATCTTTGTTGGGAGAGTGGATTGATGCTCAAAACTGCTCAAGTATTTTTAGTTCTCAATGAAGCAGCACAAAGCTCTGGAAGCTCGCCTCCCGCTTGACCAAATCTAGCTTGGGATTCCCTTCTGAGGTGATGGTATGGTCAGGTCGTCATGGTTCACGTAGAAAACACTGAAGCAGCTCGTGTCAGAGACACCCATGAATCTGATGAATTTGATTGGACTGATACGGGCTAATCATGATCAGTGCTTTTTTGATCTTTGGAGATGTCAACAGCCCATTCTCGATGTGCTTCTGGTATTCGCAAGTACTGCTTCATTGCAAAAAAATATCAACAAATGTTGTCAAGAGGCCGATGCCAATCCCCAAGCCACGACCTTGGGATATATTGCAACAGGACAAGCAGATCAAGCAGGGTGTTGCACCGTGTTGCATCTTTTGGAACATCTTGGCCAGAGATCTTCCTACCGTTTTCCAAAGTATGGGTCAAGGCTCAGAGTTGTCTTCCATCAGCGCGGCAAAGGCAACAGTGTTGGGACAAATCCTCGGAGCCACCCTTTGGTGGGAAATATGCAAACAAAATGAGCCCATGCATGACATGGAAATAACATGAAACAAGCTGATATAAGCTGGACTTTTTTTTGGGGGGGGTATATATACGTATATATATTGTAAGCCATCCCAGCCATCTTGTTTGGAATGCTGGCTTGTAGGGCAATCTGGAGCCACAATGTTAAAGCCACCTTTGTTCCAATATTGAACTCTCAGGAACCCCATAGATCACAGTATATCACAGTTTTCCGAGATTGATGACTGAGGCTGCCGCATTTTGATGCCTGGACGGGTTAAGCAGCACAATGACAAATACAACTGCACAATGATGAAATGTGGGATGGAATGTGGTGTCTGCATGTGTTTGCATTTTTTTTAAAGTTCATTCAATATTTTTACAAAATCACAGGTAGTGCTTTTATGGTATTGCGCCACAGGAGGGCCCATTCGGCGTACACATTTTTCACATCGCCTTGAATTGGAAACACAAGAGCCCAGGACGCGCCTTGCTTCAGCTTTGAAAAAACTGGAGTGACGTCGCCCCCTCTGACTGGATCTCCCCAGGCAACTACTGTGCCATCACGACGCACCTGCAATTCATGGCACAACCGCGACACAATTGCTGTCGCTGACACCTGACCGGGGGTATGAAACCATATTATGTCGGCACTATTGCCATAGGCTACATGCTCCACTCCACTGCACTATACCATACTAAACTGCACTAGACTTGGCTGCTACTTGCCTTTCTTTGTGCATTTGTTTTTCCGAGTCGGATGCAAAATCGATCAGGCATGTTTTGACATATGCAAGCAAGTATCAGCCACGAAGGCATGTTGATTCGATGTCACATAGCGCACGTCGCCTTTGATGAAGCAACTTGTGTTCACCGGCCGCCTGCCCTGTGCTGCCCTACACTCTCTGTGAAAGTAAGCACGCAATTGGACCCACAAAACCATGCATGTTCCAACTGTTCAACGCATGTCTTCTCAGTGTCTGTGCATGTGAAGGCCAATAAATGTAATAAATATTATATAATCATCTTATGTATATAGTGTATTTTTCAATTATGCAACTTCTGTGGGAGTTGCATATGAATCAGAATATTGTACTGCAATATTCCGATTCAAATGCAATTCTCTTGACATGGACATCACATGACATCACAACCGCGCGGCGCTGAAGCTGGTCGTAGACATACCGCGTCTCACCTGGCAACGGGGACTGGTTGCTGCCGAGCGATTCACTGGGTCACAACCAAACCACTCATAGAATTTCATGGAATTGCAGGTTGTATGATGTTGTATAATGTTGTATGGTATTGTGTGTAATTTGATGAATATTTTGAAATTTGAAGATCCTGGCAATTTTTGATGTAATTTGCAAGCAAATGCTGACTCCAAAAAAGCCACATTGGCATCTGCACATCGAATCACCGCCTCCAGCTGCAGGGTTGCCCCAGGCCACCACTCGACCGTCCTTTTTGAGAGCTGCAAACGCGCTCCCTGTTGCGCAAAGACGTTGAACTCCCTTGGCGAGCAAGAAAAAATAAGAAAAAGAGGTCTACGATGGTCTACGTCTAGAAAGGATTAGAAAGGTGTTTGCGCAACACGCTCATATCTTCTCAAAACTTCTTAAACATCAATCTTCGCAGACATGAACACAGGGACCGAAAATCTTTGGATTCTGATCCCAAAGGCCGGACAGCCTTGGCCCACCTCTTCCAACTGTTCCTGCATTATTCTTCAATCCCACTCCGCAACTCCGCGTTGCTATGTTGCTATGCATCACTATGAGTTGCTATGAGTTGCTATTATTATGAGTCACTCTTGCTTCCCAAATGGTTGCCACCTTACCTAAGAGGTCCTCTATACTCTGAGTGCAACCCTCAAATACAAATACAACAAATATCAACAAATACAGATATTTAGATTCAGAGCTTAGCCACGTTTTGGAGCAACGGCCGTGCAGCACCCAGATCGCCACCAAATGCCGGATTGCCCCAGGCAACTACGCCTCTATGAAACCAAACAGGAGTGCTGAAAGCTGGTAGATGCTGGTACAATCTGATATACATTGTTGCAAAATGCTTTTTGGCCATCAAGCATCATGAAGCAAACAGTACAGAGCTGAACAAAAAAACGCCTGAGTTTACCATTCTGTGCCAGCCTCCATCATTCTTCAGTGCAACAAAGGCCTCTTGGTTGCCAAGAATGAATGTCACGTCCTGGAGCCTCGAAAATGGAAAACGTGCATTCCACGACTGAGTTCACGGGGTTCATACTTTTCATGCTGATCATCTTGGCTCAAAGCTACTGTCTCAGAACAAATCGGTAGGCAGCACTTCAGCATTCCAAATCCATCTCCCACTAAGGGGTGATGTTGTGGAACGGCCCTCAATGCCCCTTGCAACCTTCCGCACGCTTGATTGAATTCAAAGGTCTAGTAGATCTAGTAGGGAGGAAGGGGCCCAGTATGGCCCAGTCGCACACTTCGTATATCTTCGTATCATGGACGTTCTAAAACTCTTTTCACTGAGTCATCACACAGCTGCAACCTGATAGTTCCATGATGTTCCATGACCTTGCGTGACCCATTGTGACCCTCTCTGGCAGGCGGCTGCGATTCCACAGAGGAGCAGTCGCCGCCGGCCAAAGGATTCCCCCAGGTAATGATGCCTTGGGGGGATCCACAGTGCACTGTCGCAGAAGCAGCTAGATGTAACTAGAGTAACTAGAGTAATTAAGTAGAGCATGAATTTGCTGTGTCAACTAGTTCCCTTCAGAATTGACTCCAAACACTGGCTTGACATGGCTCTAGATACACTGGAGTGAGGACATGTATCACTCTGACGCAAAGGGTTGAGGATGCAATTACAAAAAGGTTATGCAAGGACGCATTGTCCTGTACAATCACAACTTGTCAAAAAACAACAAGGGGGAATAGTCTGCAAGGCCTACCCGGCCTACCCATTGGTCTGCCGTTTTCTTCAGTGTGAATGGAATTGCCATGACAACCCTCGACCGTGCCGCATCTCACAAATCAACCTTTCATAACCTTTCGTACCTAGGCACGCCCGTCGTCCTTCAGCGCTGCAAACGCTGTGTGTGTGGAGAAAATGTCGACAATACTGCCTGTGCAAAATTGTGCAAACAGCCGGAAGAAACGGAAGCCATGACCATGCAGAGCGTTATGCACTTCCTGGAGGCAAGCTGATTGATGTGGAGTCAGCTTACTGTGGAGCCAAGATGCCTTCCAGGCACATCTGCACAAAGCGTGAGTCACCACCACTCTCTGGGTCACCCCAGGTCAGCACTGAGCCATCCTGGGACTTGAATTCGGTCTGATCAAAATGGCTCATGGTTGAGGGATTTGTAAATTATAAATTAATAACGTGGTACTACATACTAAACAAGGAAGGGTCCATGAACTGGTTTCAGAAAAATAATGGCAACCTCGAACTCGACTTGTTGCTACTGAACCTCCAAATGATTTGCGGAATTTGCGCACGCCGTATGCTGTTGCTTCTAAGCGGCTGCCTTCAGTTGTGCGAAGGCTCCTTTCACGGCAGGGACTCATCGGAATGCAAACTGTCATGACCAGGGTAAAAAACATGAAAGAAAACTAAATCGGATCAAACTGGTTCAAAATGAATCAAGGATCCTGTTCTAGATATGACTTCTGTCTCAAACATGCCGGTAATTTAAGCAAACATGACGATAACAAATCTGAAGGATGCCTGCTTTTTGGGGTTATTTTTGATATTGGGCAAAAACGTCCTAAAAAGTCAACAACCTTTGCAGCACCAACAATAATATATGGAAGGGACGCTCTGTGAATGGATCTGGCAAGCCAAGCTGTTTTTGCTTTGAGATTGATTACTTATTGATTCTCCCTTTTAGGATCTTTTAGGATTCTCAGATGACCAGCACCTCAGCACCCTTACTTTTGCGCCAGTTCTGCAGCTGCGGCTCCACTGTTGGTGAAAATGCGAACGCTGTCCGCCACATGAGCAGCCAAGATGTCCTGCAACGCGGCGAGATCTACTTTTGAGGGTTTGGAGGCTGAAGCGCAGCCGATAATTCTGAGATTGATTGCTGATAATTCTGTTGATAGTTGATACTAAGTAACGAACTGGTTACTTCAGCTGATAATTGCCGCTGTTTGATTTTGATTCTGATCCAGTTCAAATCGGTCACTTGTGCAATCCATGACGCAAAAAAACATCCTAAACTTCAGCCATTGCCTCCAAAACACGCCTGTTTAAGGTCCTGGTCCCCGATGCCGGCTTCCTTCAGCGTAAGATGCTCCAGCAAGTTCTCACCATTGTCCTTGATGAGATTCAATATTACTAGACCTTGGTCTTGATCAAAATTGCCATTGCAGTGAGATCAGTGGTCGGTTGCTTTATCTTGCCCTTGGATTCTGGATGCTATGGGCCTGTTTGAAGCTTCAAGCATTGGACCGAACCTACAGAATTTAGCCGCTGTTTTCTGCCATGGCACCAAGGGCATCGATTGCTTTCGCTTTGAGCTCTGACCTCAAACAGGCTCCAAGGTAGCATAAGGCAGTCTATCTGCAACATACTTATATACTTAAATCTCCAAAACATGAGGAAAAACATCACACATAGATACGCATACCATACATCATGACCATCCTGCAGTTGAATACAGCAACAACAAACATCAACAAACCTGCTCATCATCTAACGAGACATGCCAAGCCACACTCGTAAGTCTGACTTCACAACCAGAGACGTCTGCTGATCTGTGAGTCTTACACGCGTGGATGTCACTGGCCTGTGGGTCTCCGTCAACACCGCCTTGGCTCCACATTTGCTGCCCAGTCTCACCCTTCAAAACATGCGGCTGTAGAATGCTGTCAGTAGGCATTCCAACGACTTCAACATGGCTTTAACATGTCTACTATAAAGTAAAACTCACCCTGCCAAGTGACGATTGTGATCTGCAGATGTGTGACGCCATCGGGCTTCCGCGGCATCAAGACCGCGACGCCACCACATGCGGCTGGGGAAAAAATGCCAAAAAGCAATGTTGGAAGGTGTTGGAAGATGGAAGGCTCGGGAAACAGCTGGGAAATGAGGAACCACCTTGAAGAATTCAATCTGGACAGTTTGGGACTGCTAGGTGGGACAAGCCCTGAAAAGCAAATCGAAGGGAGTAACATTCTCAGTCTGATGCAAGATGAGGTGGGACACAGCTCAATGTCAAGCATGTTGAGTATGGTAATTTCATTTTCAGGTATTGAGCTTGCCCAGCGGAGAAAGCATGTTTGTCCGGACGGCAAATATGTCAAATCATATCATAACACTACGCGTCGATTCTTTGCAGGCTGCGAAAATAATGACGCATTCCTACGCGGGAGTGCATAGTGTGCATGTCCCTATCTTTCGTCGGAATTCAGAGCTGGGGAGCCGAGTTGGCCACAGCAACATGTCCCTCAAAGGCACCCTGGTCGAAGTCAATCTTCTTCTTACATTTCTTTTCTTGGGGTCTGTCCAATTCGTCCAAATCTTCAATTTACAAGCTTCAAACCATGCCTTCAAGCGAGCCTTTACTACGTCAGTGACATTGAAGCATGGTTGAACATGTTGAAATGGTTCATTTACGGTTTCATGTTTATAGTCGGGAAAAAGCCCTGTCACATCCCTTATTTATAGTATTTTATAATGTATGTATAATGATTTAAAGGTGATGCCACCATCCCGCTGAGTCTTGGACATTATCCTGGCGCAGGAGCCCACCTTCTGCGATGTCAGGACCTTCGAGCTGCTCTGTTTGAGCCTCGGTATGGTACCAGGAGTGAACCATGGGATGGTACGATTGATATCATATGACATGGTGATGTATGTTGATAATGGTTGCTATTACAATTATGATATATACATGTACCTGGAGGCTCTACTACCCCTCATGTTTTGGGTACGTGTGATACTTTCTGGGGCCGTTTCATCCAAAAAATATACGTTTGTATAACTCAGCGTGCTTTCTGTATATCATATTTTTTTTTGCTGATTTTGTACTTGTAACATGCTACTTACTATATATTATTATTATTATTTTTTATTGTTATTATTATTGTCATCATTATTAATTATTATATTATAGTGAATTCATATTTAAGGTAATTTTAGGTACCGGTATATAGTTTTATTTTTTGGGGGATGCAACACTCTCAAAACGCGGGTGATCATGCCAGAAGTAGGTGATACAAAGGCATGGTTGTGAGACTGCAAAATATGGAATGGTTTACAGTATGGCACCCTTGACCAATTGTTGTAAGAAGCCAGTGCCGGGTGCATCCAATGAAAGAGTTGGAAGGATGCCGGGTGAAGAAACATTGACTTTTGACGATATATATATATATATACATACATATATATATATATATAAATAAATAAATAAATATACATATATATATATATAGTATACATATATATATATATATCATAAACTTACAGGGGCAAGAATCAGCACATTCAGGTGATTTCCGGTGTATCAATGTATACCATGATTCTGTTTCAGAACATGTCCTGTCCGAAAATGACCTCGGCGCAGCCTGCTGAAGTGTTGTACATGCCGCAATCATCCGCAATCGATATAATCCATCTATTATATTCTATTATGCAACCAAAAAATCAAGTTGACCTTTTGCCAGTGACTTTTTCACATGCTGCACTGTAAACGATGCAGGAGAAGCGAAGGCTTTGCCATGGCAATGCGGACGCATTTGAAATCAGTATCCACCGCTGTTCGGCTTTCCTTCAGTAGTCTCGAGGATGCCCCTGAAGCGTTTGACATTGCTCACTGCCTGGGTTCCAAGTGCAAATGGTTTGTCCCACCATGACCGGTCAAAGGCGTCAAAGCCAGCATTCTTGGACAATCCCTTCCTACTGATGCACATGATCCACCTGCCTTCCGATGGCTTTGAGACAGAAAAAAACACCTATATAGGGCCTATATGGGCCTATTGCCAATGCCATCGAACATATCGCATTCTGATGCATTCTGTGGATTTAAACTGTGCGTATTTGGATCATTTGGCATCTGAAACAAAATGCTCAATTAAAATTATCTAGCCCCAAGTCCCAGACACAATTACAGCAATGTCTGGGCCAAAATAGACATGTTTCTACTTTGGCAGCCTGGTGCCTCAGCTAGCAAAATGATTTTTTTCACTGTGAGGGTGGCATGGAGAAGTTTGTCAGGTTCGTTGGGTTTTGATAGGATTTCTCAAATCAGCCAAGGATCAATAGGCTGAATGACCTCAAAGAGTGACTGACCTCAATGTTCTCTGGCGGAAAGTCCGCAAGATCAAAGATCTCAAAACCATGGATGATTGAGCTCGCATCAGTCACCTTTTGCAACTCAACCCCCTTTCTCCCCACACAGTAACTAGTGTGATTAAGAGAGAGAGAGAGAGAGATAGATATAGATAGATATTATATATATATAGATAGATAGATAGATAGGTAGATAGATATAGGTAGATATAGATAGATATAGATAGATATAGATAGATATAGATAGATATAGATAGATATAGATAGATATATATATAGATATAGATAGATATAGATAGATATAGATAGATATAGATAGATACAGATAGATACAGATAGATATAGATAGATATAGATAGATATAGATATATATAGATAGATATAGATAGATAGAGAAAGATATTGAACGATATAGAAAGATATAGATAGATATAGATAGATATAGATAGATATAGATATAGATATAGATATAGATAGAAGATAGATATAGATAGATATATAGATAGATATAGATAGATAGAGAAAGATATTGAACGATATAGAAAGATATAGATAGATATAGATAAATATAGATAGATATAGATAGATATAGATAGATATATATAGATATAGATAGATATAGATAGATATAGACTATAGATATAGACTATAGATATAGATGTAGATAGATATAGATAGATATAGATAGATATAGATAGATATAGATAGATATAGATAGATATGAATAGATATGGATAGATATGGATAGACATGGATAGATATAGATAGATATGGATAGATGTAGATAGATATAGAAAGATATAGATAGATATAGATATATATAGATAGATATAGATAGATAAAGAAAGATATTGAACGATATAGAAAGATATAGAAAGATATGGATAGATATAGATAGATATAGATAAATATAGACTATAGATATAGACTATAGATATAGATGTAGATAGATATAGATAGATACAGATAGATATAGATAGATATAGATAGATATAGATAGATATAGATAGATATAGATATATATAGATAGATATAGATAGATAATATAGATAGATATAGATAGATATAGACTATAGATATCGACTATAGGTATAGACTATAGATATAGATGTAGATAGATATAGATAGATATAGATAGATATAGATAGATATAGATAGATATAGATAGATATAGATAGATATAGATAGATAAAGATAGATATAGATAAATATAGATAGATATAGATAGATATAGAAAGATATAGATAGATATAGATATATATAGATAGATATAGATAGATAAAGAAAGATATTGAACGATATAGAAAGATATAGAAAGATATGGATAGATATAGATAGATATAGATAGATATAGACTATAGATATAGACTATAGATATAGATGTAGATAGATATAGATAGATATAGATAGATATAGATAGATATAGATAGATATAGATAGATATAGATATATATAGATAGATATAGATAGATAAAGAAAGATATTGAACGATATAGAAAGATATAGATAGATATAGAAAGATATAGAAAGATATGGATAGATATAGGTAGATATAGACTATAGATATAGATAGATATAGATAGATATAGATAGATATGAATAGATATGGATAGATATGGATAGACATGGATAGATATAGATAGATATGGATAGATGTAGATAGATATAGATAGGTATAGATAAGATTAGATAAGATTAGATAATATTAGAGAAGATTAGATACATTAGATAAGATTAGATAAGACTAGATAAAATTAGATAAGACTTAGATATAGATAGATATAGAAAAATAAAGATAGATTAGATAAATAAGATAGAAAAGATAGATAAGATAGATAAGATTGATAAGAAAAATAAGATAGATAAGATAGATAAGATAGATAATATAGATAATATAGATAAGATAGACAAGATAGATAAGATAGATAAGATAGATAAGATAGATAAGATAGATAAGATAGAAAAGATCGACAAGATCGATAAGATAGATAATAAAGATAATAAAGATAAGATAGATAGGATAGATAAGATAGATAAGATAGATAAGATAGATAAGATAGATAGATAGATAGATAGATAGATAGATAGATAGATAGATAGATAGATAGATAGATAGATAAATAGATAGATAGATAGATAGATAGATAGATGGATGGATAGATAGGATGGATAGATAGATAGATAGAAAGATAGAAAGATAGAAAGATAAGATAAGATAATATTAGATAAGATAAGATAAGATTAGATAAGATCAGATAAGATAGATAGATTAGATTAGATTAGAATAGATTAGATTAGACTAGATTAGATTAGATTAGACTAGATTAGATTAGATAGATAGATCGATAGATAGATAGATAACTAGACAGATAGATAGATGGATGGATAGACAGATAGACAGATACACAGATAGACAGAGAGGTAGATAGGTAGATAGGTAGATAGATAGAGAGATAGATAGATAGATAGATTAGATTAGATTAGATTAGATTAGGTTAGATTAGATTAGATTAGATTTAGACTAGATTAGATTAGATAGATGAGATAGATGAGATAGATGAGATACATAGATTATAAGATAGGTAAGATAGATAAGATAGGTAAGATAAGATAGATAAGATAGATAAAAAAAGATAAAATCGATAAGATAAGATAGATAGGATATAGGATATAGGATACCGGATATAGGATATAGGATATAGGACAGGATAGATAGATAGATATTTTAATATCCTATTTTATTCTGTTATTTTCTATTATTACATATTATATTGCATTGTATTTGTAGCATTCCAAAGCTAGATCCAGCCCTCTGCACCAGTTGGCGTCAATGAGTGAACTCCCCAACAATCAGGGAACGTACATATGAACACAAACATGCGGAAAAACTGGATGTTGAGACTGTTGAGACGGAGAGCACAGCTTATACGTGTGTATGTGTGTGTGCACGTCAACAGCGGCACAGGAAAGCACCTCTCGAGATTGCAGTGGCTGTATTTGAGCCCCAGGCTGAACTGACCCAGGAAAGTGACTTGGCTGCAGGTGCCATTGGTGTCAGGTGCTGGGGCCACAATGAAACCTTGAGGCAGCTGAATCTGAAATCGGCGTGGACGATCATGGACGGACAAGCACCATCCGTATGTCATTGTGTGATATTGTGTGGCTATATGTTACATGTTACAAATTGTTACAGTGTTACGGTATGTTACAGTCCATTTCATGATCATCATGATCATTGAGTTAGCAGATTGAAATAGATTGAATCAATATAAGTTGCATTAAATTGCTGCTAGTAGTCTCAAGATGTCTCAAGTGATCTGAAAAAAACCCGTCTGAATTGGAAACGGGATCGTTAGTGCCCAACTTTTACCACGGCAGCGCGGTATGACTCAAGGGCCCTAAAGCCAAATGTCAACGGGGGCATGTGATCACTTGGCTATACAAAATATACATTAGACAGGTCAAACTCACACTCAACCTGTTCTTCAAGGATCACATGATGCTAGTGAAAAAGTTGGCTCTAAGGCTTCTTCTGTACACGATAGATGCACTCCTTCAAGACGCGGATAATGAGGTCCGGGCGCATGCTCTTGGTCAGAGCATCCGAGACCATAGTTCCTGTAGCAATCCAGGTAACAATGTCTCCTCCGCCATGATGAATATCCCAGGTCCTCCGGCCGTCTTGCCAAAGTGACTCGTGAATCGACTGCAACTCAATGCCGAGTCGTTTGTCTGCGACCCTGCCAAGTACCTCATTCGCAAGATGCTCTGTTAAAGACCTGCAGTCTGAAAGCATCAGTTGTGGAATACAGCTGCGGCTGTCATCCAACCATGTTTTCATCGAGTCAAGTTGGCCCATCAGCTCGGCCAATGCTCCACGTAGCTTGTCACCGCTCTCTTGTCCAGCCTGCAGTGAATAAGCTTCGCATTGAAGAGTGCTGCGGCATACTCGCCGAATTGTATTTGATGCAAATCCCAATGGCATCACCCGATAGGATGTAGTCTTGGGGTCTTTGATCTCATTGATGTCTCCAAGAAAATGGAAACGTCCTTGTTGTGATTTGTAGTTCTTCTCGTTTGAAGATCTGTTACTGTAATGATGCCAACCTCTCCCCAGGTTAGATGTCCACCTGGAAAAATGAGCTTGTTCTCAATGCCTTGTTGTGCCAGTTGTACTACGGCATTTGCGTCGTGCAAAATGGCAACTGTTGCTCCAGAAATACTGGACTGTAGGCGGCTCACACGATAACCCAAATCGGGTCTAGTCTGCCTTGCCACCCATGCCAATGATCCCGTTACAGACCGTAATCGGGTCACATCATCCTTACCCAACGGCTCGGACGCTGATCTTCCCGGCGCGATCTTGATCGGCTTGATGCGACGGGTGTTGTCACAAGTGTCTTGGGTGATTGTTCCATCTGCAGTACGCTCAAATTGCTTGCCACAATAGCGAAACGAATTTGATTCACTAGATCCCAAGTTGAACTTCTCCAAGAAGCTGTCGATCACTGACTTTCCCTCAGGAATGTATGCGTACAAGATGTCATCCACATGAGTCGCCATAAGTGCAACGCAATCTTTGTCGGTTCCTGGAAGAAAATATAATCCTGGGTAAAACTTGGATTGTTTCAAGCCACTGGATCGGGCATCTCCGTCCAGTCTCAACCAAAAACCTCGACCGCTGTCAGTTAATCCATACACAGGCACTCTCACAAGGAAAAACACCTCTGGATCAACTCCCGGGAGACCTCCTCGGGGTTGTCTCATAATGAGAACTCTGTCAAGAGGACGACCTTGAAAATATGCGGATGCGACGTCCGCACTGTGCAAGTGTGCACCCTGGATCGCCGCCCAACAGCAAAGTATGTTGTGTGCTTCCGTGTCTGCTGTAGGACTGTCTGATCTCAAACCTTCACTGACTTCGAAATTGCCGCATGACACCAACCGGCTTTTGAACTTTGGCGCATATTCTTGGTCTGTTCTTCCCTTCATAAATTGGTTCTTATCAACATCAACCCACTTGCTAGGAATACATTGATGCCCTTCAGCAATCAACCTCTCAGCATCTTCTTTTGAAATTTCAACAACAGCAGCGAACTCAAGGAACTTGTTCCACTCCTTGGTTCTGGCATCCATGATGTTCTTCTGTACATCAGGTGGCGCTGATTCATAGTGGATTGATTTCAACACTTTCTTGCCTAACTCCTCGTCCTCAGGAACTCCATCAACTTCCTGGGACAAAAATGATGCAAACAATGCTCGTGCTTCTTGTCGTTCTTCAGGACTTCGTTCTGAGTCTCTCTCACGAGCTCTTTCAAGATGTGTTAGCAACTGATCCGGCAAGTCATTCAAAAGTTCTCTTCGTAATGGCCAAGATGACGATGAAGACGGAGCTTGTAATGCTCCTGGGACGAAGCCACTAAAAGGTGGCGCCCCCGAAACGGAGCCACTAGGAGTAAGATCAGGCACAAAGGAGTCTCTTCGAGATGGCACAAATGATGAGCCTCTCTCCGACTCAGGTTGTAGGTGAGACTCTACTCGAGGTCTCACATTGCGTTCATGATCTCCATCTCCTGGGCGTGGTCTTTCGACTCTTCTCTCTGGAGTTCTACTTTGTGAAAAGATATCTTCTTCCATAGGACCAGTGTCTTCCTCCTCCTCATCTTCTTCAAAGAAACCAGGTCGTATGTCCCATTCATCTTCAGGTACTTCTGGTATAGGAGGAAGTGCTGAATCCACATTGTCCTCAGGGACAACTTCGACATCGTCTGCTTGTCCTGGACCTTCACGAACAACTTCAACCTCATCTGCTTGCCTTGCATCAAGAAACGCTTGTTGACCTGTATCATTGATGATCTTGTATGGGATCACAGGTTCACCATTCAACACTGACTGAGCAAGAGCTTCAGAAGGAGAAGCAATGCGTATGTTGTGAGAAGCTACAAGTACTGGAACGTTACCACATAGTAACCATATGTTCTTCTGGTTCTCGTGTCCGATCACACGGCATGTTGGTGACCAGGAAGTTCCTCCTCGTTGATTGTCTCGTCTGAAAGTGACGAGATCACCAATGTTGAACTCACGATCAAACACACTGGCGTTGCGTGTCAACGCTCTCTGAACTCTTCTTGAACAATCAAGGTGAACAAAAGCCTTTTGTGCCTCAATCCTGGCCAAGTGTTGTAATGCAAAAATTGATGAAGGATCATGTCGGGCCTGAATGGCTCCGAGCTGCGCATGATCTTCCTCTGACATGAGTGAAGCTGCACCCCGAGGAGCTCTACCAAGCACCCACTGGGATGGAGAAAAACCTCCAACACGCGCAGAGTCGTTCTTCACACTGGGCACCTGTGTGATGCACGACTCAACCTGTTCTTTGGTACAAGCCCCAACTTCTGTACACACTCGCCTGAAAAGAGCTTTCAACAAACCACCATGTCTCTCCACACGGCCCAATGATTCCGGGCTCTCAAGGGGCACATGGTGCACTTGAATGTTGTGTTCATCCATATATTGTTGCAAGACACCACGATTGTGCAATCCACGGTCACACATGATAGCAACAGGATGTCCTGCCCAACTGAACCAACGTTTAATAAGTGCGTCCAAACAGGATCGCGAAGAAGCTTGACCTGCTCCAACCTTCACAATTTCAGCCTGTTGAAAACAAGTGCCAATACAAACCATGTTGAGAACTTGATACTTCTGCCCAGTTACATCTGTCAATTCCAGTAGATCAATCCCCAAAGTGTGGTTAAATGTATAATCACTTGGAAGCGTGACCTTGTGAGTGGGTTTCTTTGCTGATGTTTTCTCACATGTTTCACATCTATGCAATTTCACTGCATCAACAAACTCCTTGCTCACCTTTGCAGCACGCACCAAATTGACCATCACCGACTTGGGGACGTGTCCAAAAGCCCTGTGCAACCTACGCACAGCAATCCTGACACGCTGGGGAAGTTTACGCCAAGACCTACGCCTTTCTGTTTCATCCTCTGGCAATCCAGGGATATCAACATCATCCAAAAGGGTCTCTTCTTGGGTCAGGTCCTCAACAGGATCCTGCAATGCAACATCTTCTGGGCCATCGACTGCATCCCAGTTTCCACCATGTTCCTGGGCCTCTTCAATGATCTCTGCTGGGAAAGCAACGCTCATCTGGTCCTCCAATTCACGCTCGAGTGACCAATCACGAATCCATTGACAAAACTCCCAATTCAAAACGTCATCCAATTGTCGATACATAGACCAATTCTGAAAACCCTGAATGAGTTCATCATCGTTCGACACAAAAGCAAGACCAACTTCGTTGATATATGGAATCTGTGGTGAATGATTCCCATCGTTCAGTGTGTGCGACATCAACAATGAGAAACCTACACCCTGTGGCATCACAATACTGTTCCAACTCAAATACAAGATCCCCATGACACAGTGGATAATGTTCTGACTTGTACTCAATTGCAACAATGATCAATGTGCAACCCTCGAACATGTCACTCCAACCACGTGGCTCAGCATCGCCGTCCAAATACGCGGCATTCACGCCGACGTCATAGGTGTGCTCAAAAAGATCCTGGAAAAGAGCCGGGTGTGACGTGATAACTGCAACCCCTGAAGTTCCATTGGAAACTTGAGGCTGCATCCCAAGACTGGATTGCATCACACGATCATGGTTGTTGAGATTGTTGATACCTTCCAATACCATCTTTCTGTGTTTCTTGCTCATAGTCCTCTTCTCATCAGGATGGACTGTCAAATCAACGTTGGAATCAAAACGCACGGCCATGAAACCAGTGGGAGAATACTCATAGTCATATTCATAAGAATCGGAATCATCTTGTTCCAACTTGGGCGTCAAGACCTTTGGCTGGGGCTTCGACTTCACTGCATACATTCTTTTGGGTTCTGAGGATTTCATCTCAACTTTTGGATTCAAAGACTTTTCAAAATCATCCCTTATATCCCGAAGTTTCTTGTTGGGGGTCAACTTGACACGAACGCCCATGTATGCTCCCCTCCCGGAGTCATCAAACACCCCTGGTGGGTGGTGAAACACAATCACATCGATCCACGAGTTGTCCAAACGTACCATTGCTTTGCTGTCAACGTTGTCTTCAATGAGCTCCCAATTGCCTCCATTGCGAGGTCTGCACCACGTAGATCGCTTCCAGTGCTTGATGCCGTTCGAAACCTTGATAATCCGATTGGGTCGGATGTGGTCTCGAATCAGGACATTCATTCTGACACCTTCTGTCAGTGGATCATCGCCATCTTTGCAAATCCAAAAGAGCCGATCCCTGTTACCCTCACGGATGCAAAAAGATACAACTTCGCTAAGAAGCTCACCGTCCAATGTTGTCACTGACACGTTCTTGTTGTCAAACGGTCCATCTGATGCCAAATTGTTGCGGATCAGTCGCTCAAGCTCATCGCGATCATTGGGAGGTTCTCGAGATCGTTGTGGCAACGTTGAAGCTCGGGGTCCATCCATGGCCCCTGAAGATCGGGATCCGTCGTCGGTCCCAGGCACGTCCGAAATGTGTGGTGGAGGATGATCTGGAGGCCTCGGCATCAAAGATGGTCTCAAAGGATCCAATCTCGGGCTCCTTCCCCTTGGGGGACTCCTGCCACGTCCAGCCATTCTCCAAGGAGGCATCTTGCGACTGTAGCTTGGGCTTCTCCTGCGTCTTGGTGGTGATGGTGGTGTTGGCAATCGTCGTCGACGTAGAGGGCTCCTTGATCTTCGACCTGTCTCAGCCATCCTTTTGATCTCAACCTGTTCTGTCCGAAGATGTCCAACGTCAGTTGCAAGTCCCTGTACCAGTCGTCGAATCTCATCAAGTTGGTCTGTTGTAGGATGACCTGCAGTGGGATGATCTGCTGTGGGATGAGAAGAATGTTCACCTGAAACATCATTGGCCGGAGCATCACGCACGTCACGGCTTGAAGTCACACTGCCTCGTGATCGTGCCAACCTTGACATGTTCGGGATCAAATGTCGAATTTGTCCCAAGCTCGCAGCCATGTCTTTACAACCATGACAAACACCACCACAACGCATCTCGCCCCACTTCCAGGATGATGCATGAATGAGAACAACGTCATAACCAAGGACTTTGAGACACCTGAAGGCAGCAAATCCTTGTCCCACTGACCTGTGGCGGCCTGACTTGCACTCTAGGTCCACCAACACTTTGCTGCCAGCCTCCTGCTGAGTGACGAACTCCAGGATGTTGTTGAGATGTTGGATGAACCTGTCCACCTTGCTCAGCGTCTCAAGGATTCCATGATGCCAACCCACATGAGATCTAAGGTTTACGTCCTGATCAGGATCGTAAATGTCTTCACAGTTGATGCTCAAAGTGTTCCTGCTAGATCTGATTGCATGTTGTTGAAATCTACGTCCACGAGTCATGATGATCACCTTCCTGTCACTGCGCAGTTCTTCATTCAACTTCGTCTGCAAGATGTCAAAGTCCCTCGTATGAAAGCCACACATATCATGATCGGCCATGGCAACGTCTGATGTGGATGCTGTGTACGCAATGTTGTACTTTCTGTGACACTTTGGGATTTGGGGAAGTTCATTCGGCGGTGTGTTGATGATGTTGGTCAACCCTTCAGTCAAGTTCATCACAAGTAAACCTGATTTTGAACACCTCTTGATATTCAATGGTTGATCTCGGATAGAAACCACTCCTTTTGCTAGGTCCTTCACTAGGCCTAATTTGGTTTGCGCATGCAATGAAAGAAGCAATGGACCGTTGCCTGTTGACAATTGATATGAATCCAACTCCCCATTCATGTTCCCGTCTGGAAGCAGCAGCGAAAAAGGAATAGATCTCACACTTTCGGTCTTGGTATTGCCACTTCCCAGACCAGCGAAACTCTTACAACTGTCATCCTTCAATGTCATGCTGTAACCCAAACGGGCCAGTCGTGCTTCTGCATCGACTGCCCAGGCTTTGCTATGACAAGTGCTGTTGCAACCTTCATCCAACACTGCAAAGACATGAGATGACCTGGCAATGTCAACAGTTTCAAAATTCATGTAAACCAAATTTTGGGGGTATTGAATGTCACTTCCATGCAAACAAATGCCAACGTACCCAGCTAACTCCCTGCCCGAGGGGTCACCGTGCCCATCTTCATTGACAAGAGAAAAACTGTCCTCTTCCTCTGTCACGTCATTGATGGCTTGATGGAGTAGTTCATGTAGACGTGCACGGGTCATGACCTCAGATTGACAGGTTTCTGTAACAAGAGTGGCAAACAGGGGCAACAACTCTTCCAACTGGACTGGATTCAATCCATCCGATTCTTCAACCAATGATTCAACAATGGGGACTGCTCGAACTGATGCTGTTTCAACCTTCTTGGCAATTGCAACACGCTCCTTACGAATCTGCATAGGAGCTTCATCAATGAACGTGCAACACTTCTTGCAAAAATTACGGTGTGTTGATTTGCTGGATCCCCGAAAATCTGTGTCATCATGAGGGCAATTTTCAGGGGTCATCAACGGTACCATATCACGTCTTGTTGTTTCGGAATGACCGCGCACAAGACAGGTCTTCCTGATGGTGTACCCCGTAGAACCTTGTTTTGTAAACTCACGACATTCCTGACACTTGTTCGGCAAAGGTGGATTTGGGGGTTTTCTCCTGCCAGTCTCCCGAGTCACCAACAAATCTCGGTGCTCGACATGCTCAACAGGGACTTCGCGCAAATGAATCCCATCAGCACCAACCACAAAGTACTTGTCAACCCAATTCAACCATGTAGCATAATATGGACTCTTGGGGGTATGTTTCTTGGCATGGTGATAATACCCTGTCTGTTCAAACAACACATTCCAAAAAGACAAACCCTTGAACTGTCCAACAGGAAAGATGCACCCATGGTCCTCGGGTCTCATTGTAACATCGAGATCCCGGGAAATCAAGCCAACGTTGCTGCTGGATGCTGCTGCACGCGAAGGTCTGCTGCTAGGCTTCGCTTGTCGAACTGCCATCATAGCAACTGCATCTCTGTCACGGTCAGGTGAAGCCGTCAAAGTCACACCATCATCATCTGAAGAATCACTCATATCGGCAAAGTGAGCTGCGGGCTTTGGGGCTGGCTTTCCAGGGGCTCCGGATTTGGACCCCGGGAATTTACATTCCGGGTCACCGGCCCAGTGCCCTATGACTCCGCATCTCAAACACTTGCTCTTCGACTTCAACTCTGTGAGCTTCTGTCTCCTCTGGTCGATCGTGAGGTTGGATTTCACGATCTTTCCTTTCCCCTTTCCTTTGGGCTTCCCGAAGGATTTGCCCTTGCCACCTGCTTTCCCCATTGCGGTGAAAGCAGCAAGTTGTAGCTGGATGGGCGTCTCCTGCTTGTCGATCGTCTTCTGCACCTTCAAGTTCAAGCAAGCTGTTCAATGCAACTGCTTCGTACTCATCGACATCGTCAAAGAAATCAAATTCGTTGTCACCTTCTAGGTTTCCTGGCTCCTCTTCTGCAATGTCACCAAGCATGCCAACATATGAATCATCCTCCCAGGATTGATTCGCAACTTCATCCCAAGATTCTGCATGATCCTCCCCATCATCGGGGTAGGCTGCATAAGCTGCTTGGGAATACGATCCCTTCGAAGAAGGTTTGCCTTTGCCATAACCCTTGCCTGTTGATTTGCCAAACTGTTGAGGATTACCACGTCCTGTCCAGGATCGTGATCCCTCTCGCAAGTGAGTGCCACTGTAGTTCTCGATCAGCACCTTGCCGACACCTTCAAAATCCTTAGTGTCTGCACAAGCCTTCAACTCCAACATCAACTCTGTCCTCAAGCTGTCTGAAAATACCATTGTGTCATCCAACTCGCATAGCATGTGCCACCAACGTCGTCTCCTCTGAACATAGGAAAGCATGGGTTCGCCTGGTTGGCGAGACAAAGGACCACCTTGCTTCTGTCCTGCACGAAATAGTTCCTTTGCTTCCTCACGAGCTCTTGGAAACACATGGGATTTGATCTCACCCACAAGTTTCACTAGCCCTCCAGGTTCAGACAACACTTCAAGTCCAAGATCCCTAGCTATTGAGAAAGCATCTCCTCTCAGTCCTTCAATCACCTTGTTGACCAATGGTCCACGATCAACATCTGTCTTCTGCTTGCCGGACTTCGAGGATTTTCGGCTCGCTCCAGACTTCGGAGTCGAGACCGCTGATGTAGGCTGGGCTGCTTGAGTTGCACCCGACAAATCTGGAAAAGTAGCATACTCATCTGCGTCTTCTGCGGCAGGCTCTGTTGCTGTGGTCCCAACGGGATCCGCAGGCTTACTCATCTCCTCCAATTGTTGCTCATAAAGACGAATCCGAAGGAGAGTCCTGAACTGCCAATCATGAAAGTTCGCCGCATCACCTGCATAGATGTACGATCCACTCTTTGTCTCAAGTGGTGCCGACGAATGGCGCTCCTGGCTGAAACGAAGGCCATTGATCGACATGATGCTCGCTCCGTTCGGAGTCGAACAAGGAAAAACGTTAACAAGTGCCTGCCCTGGTCAGGGTCAGACAGATTCCCGAACCACGACACACTCGAAGTTCAGTTGATTCCCAAAGTTACCAGACTCAAATTCACAAAGGGGTCCCTGGGTCACTGACGTACCACCGGATGCGGGTCGTCACCCGCTCCGCTACCAATCTGAATTGGAAACGGGATCGTTAGTGCCCAACTTTTACCACGGCAGCGCGGTATGACTCAAGGGCCCTAAAGCCAAATGTCAACGGGGGCATGTGATCACTTGGCTATACAAAATATACATTAGACAGGTCAAACTCACACCCGTGTCTTCCCGTGTCTTCCCGTGTCTTCCCATGTCTTTGACAAGCCGCCGCTTGGCAGAACTTCACCTCGGTGCATTCCCTCACGTGGAGGTCGCGAGTCGCAGCGCACACTTCGTGAGCAGATGACGAAAACGTTGCAGGCTTCGTCTTCCTCGATATGCGACATCACAACAGTCCGGACCCTTCGTCGTAGGTGCTGAGTGTGCTATATATAATACAATTTGGGTCAATTTGGGGCAATATTGACATTTCAAACATGTTTCATGTCTTTTAAATCCGCGTTCTGCTTTTCTCTCCCCTGCGCGCGTCTTTTGGGAAGTCAGGCCACTGGGGTGACAGTGACAACATCAGGCTCGGCATTCCAAGGACCTCCAGAAATATCAAAACAGAATGCATAGAATTTTCAATGAAGAATTGCAAGTCATGATATACAGTACATCCATTGCAATCTAAAATCTTCGTCTAAAGTATTTATAGATATGAACACAATAGAATCTATACAAACAAAGTAAGGTCACCAGGTCACCAGCAATGTGCAGGATGAACACCTGTAAACCATTGTAAACCCAGTGTCTCAAAGGGACGCAGTTGCATCAGTTGCAACACACTGGTTCAAAGATTGTCCCGGCCCTGCACATGGTACCTCTCTGTGGCTACTTTAGCCCCCAGGTCGAGGTCAACAATATGTACAGTGCCGCCCAAAATGTCACACATTTTTTGCTCCAAATGTGGACCCAAACAAAAGGAATCTCAACGAAGCTTGTATTTCCGAAATTCTTTCCAATTTGGGAATCTGAACACATATATTTCTGGTGAATAATGAAACACCAAATGAACCAATCCAGCGCTAGCAATCAATGTTTTTGGAAAATGGTCGAGATGGCAATTTTTTCTCCAAAGCAGCGGTGACTAGCAAAGGTCCCTTCGGGCAAGACCTGCTTGCTTCATGGATACACGTTTCTCCTTTCGTGCAATTGCTTCTGTGCGCCGCAGCCGGCCAGCAACGATTGAAGTGAATCCCACATCTTCAAGCCATTCACCAAGCACCTTCGGACCGCATGTGAAATAATTGTTTCCCTTGCCCGTAATCCTGTCGTAATCGAGTTCTGCAAAAGGAATGGGAACCATAGTTTCGATAATGATTATGCCTCCAATTTTCAATCGGTTGTAAAGGATGCGCAACGCCATCACGGGGTCCGACAAGTGGTAAAGCACTCCTGGAAAATACACAATGTCGAAAACTTCTTGCATCTCTTTCACTTCAAGCTCGTAGAGGCTGCGCGAAATAACTCGCACCGGCAATTGATATGAATCTGAAACATATTGAGTGAACAAGGAGTACTTCACTGCTTCTTCAACAGACACAATGTGGCTGGCCCCAAGGGAAGCAAGCGCATAGGTAGTAGATCCCGTCCAAGAACCTATGTCAAGAATTGTTGCGCCTGAAAAAGTTTCTATCGGCAAACCGTATCCAACAATCCATGCAACTATATCTTCAAGCCACTTGTCACCCATGTGATCCCTCACTTCGAATTTGTCATCCCCTTCTCCAAACCAAATGTGATGCCCCCAAAACCACTGCACGGTATTTCCCTTCTGCCCCTTGGCACTCTCATATCCTTCAATTTCAAGGTTGCCATCGTACTTGTCTTTGAAACTGAAAAGTTCTCTTTTGAAATCAGCAAGAGACAAACCGCTTCTCAGCTTTTCTGGCAAGAACCTGTTTGTTCTCAAAGTCACAACTTTGTTTTTAACCTCCTGGTACAGGGGCGAAGATCTGTAAGCAGCATTGGGCTGTGAGTATGTGAAGGTTCGCTGTGTGGGAGGCATTTCCGATTTGCAACGCGTTCTGTCAGGGAATTTGGGACGGCCTGTCAAACCATCATGATTCTCCAAGAAAGCCCGCATCACATGAGGCTGGAATTGGTCGCAATTCCAACTGCCACAATTTTGAATGAAAAACAATAAAAATATCACATTCATGCACACGGACACAATGACCACGATCTGGACGAACATCAGAACAAATCGCCGAACAGTGTGTCAAAACAGAGCCCAAACAAACTGCAAGATTGGGCGTGTCAAACCATCACAACACGTGCAAAATTCACTGCAACCGTCCACGCCAATTGATTTTGTTTGGAATTTCAAGTAGTAATCTTCCACTGCCGCAAAGTTCGGGAAATCGTATGCATTTGTTTGCTGCATGTTTTTCCATGTGCATAGAGATCAAACTCTTTTAGCCCATGGTTTGAACCATGAAAATTGAGAACAACATGTGCATCTGAATAAATGTGCTTGTGAACATTTCCTCACGAATCAAAATCAGGAGGGTTGGCCTGAAGAGTGGGGCATCAAAAACATAATTATTTCAAGAATAGAGGTAATGAGAAACTGTAGAGGCAGCCGTTTTTCACAGAAACAAATGAAGGGGTTAAAATATGAAGGGTCTCCTATGGTAGGAACGGTGCTTGGAAAACTTGATAGAAGCAACGAACCCGAATGCATTTTTAAATGAACGCATGAATAGGTAGGAAAACGCTAAAAAATACTCAAAATATGCTGAAACCTATACTTGCTTTGCGCTCCTCACTCTGCACTTTGCAATTTGCACTCCACACATTACACCGGACAATTCCCATGGCGAAACCATCCAACCAAACACACGCTGTAGCAGAAAGACTCTCATACTCTTCGCTGCACACTTCATGCGCAACACGACACGCTCTACACTCTAGAATCCACTAGACTACAAACCAAGTCTCCTGATGCGCTCGCAAGATCAAGAGTTCTTCCTTTTTGCCGCCCGCAGCTGCATAGATAAAGGTCACCTAAGTCACACCCAAGAAACTGGATGAATTAGTTCCTCTTCAACATGTTGGAAAGAATCAACATCTGAATCCTCGCGTCAAAATGCAAACGTATCAAAATTTGATAAACCGGGAATCAAAAATAAGTTAAGGCTGCAAGTTCATGCATCTTTTAAATATGCCAGAACATAAACCCCATGGCTGTGATGCTTTACAGCCAAACTTTTCAAAGGACACCCCCTGGATCTTAATCTAAATGCAAGCATCTTCGTCAAGCCAAGAATCCAGATCCGCATTTTCCCCACACTGAGTGATCTCCGACTCAAGCACCTCCAAACAGCCCGCGTCGAACTCTGGCCTGCGGTAGCTGCCAAAATGATCACTGCAATATACTGGAATCATGTCCAGCGAGCGCTGCACAAGTGCACAAGAGAAGTCCATGTCCCAAGAAAGTCTTTGCGAAGTGTCACATCTTTGCCTGAAACATGGTTCTCTTGAAAGCCAACCGTCACAAAGACATGCGGCCTCCTTTTAGCATCTTTGAGAAGTTCGAAGCAGTCCTTGGCATATTTGGCATTGAGATGTGTTGAGGCCCTTCACACCTCAAAATCCAGCTCTTGCTGTGTGATCAGAGGATTCGTCAGGTCCAGAACGAGCTAATGCACACAATGCACACTGACATTCTGGGTTCCATATGTTCCATTGATATTCTCGATTCAAGTTTAGCCAGGAATTGCAAAACCGTCCAAAGCATGTTCCACATGTTGCTCCAAGCAAACAACAACCCATCAAATCTAAAGAAAAAGGATTGATTGACAAGAGCCAGAGTTTCACATATAAATAAGTATTAAGAACAAATAATATATAATGAGCTACGCCATCCCAATGATTCAAAGGTTAATCACAAGAAGTAGATAAATTAGATGATCAATTTGCGTTGTTTGTTCAAAGTTGACAGATTCGACCAAGTCTTCAAGGCACTTTTGGTGAAGCTTTCACCGTGGCCTGAACATTCGCAAAAGCAACTGCACTGACGTGCGAATTTGTGCAAGTCACAATGCTGGCACATCTGGCACAGAGCCTCAATCATTCAACAAAAGAAACAAATTGTGTAGCAGTGTAGCAGCATTTTATGTGCATTGCTGGTCATCTTGAATCTCGACATCCCGTATCTGCATGTATCTGCTACCTGCTTTCTCGCCCCATGATAACGAAGAATGCTCTTGCGTCCCATTGGACCTGAACAACTGGCTAAATATCCCCTAAATATCCCTAAATGCTAGTGCATTTAACACACCCCCAAGTCGCACCTGAATCTTTAACCGTGTCACTGATGCAGTGTTGCTTAATCCAAACTCCACCTCAGCTGGTCCAAGGTCCAAGAATCATGAGGTCCCAGGCCGCTTGCGGCCTGCCCGTGTTATTATTTTTTGGGCATGGAAGAAGCCAATACCTGGAATGACCAGAACATAGTACAACATAGTACAACATAATACAACTACTCCTCTCACTGCACTACTTCAAGTAAGCAAGCGACCCAGCACTGCACACCTGCAGGCAGGCTAGCCAAATATGATTTGATCAGTCAAATCAGCAGTTTCTACCTTCAAGAGTCCTTCAAGACTCATGAAGCATAACTAAGGCAAAATGCTTGGGCTATGGAATGATCACACCACTCAGCGAAACATTCTCTGTGGAACTGCCACCCACATTGACAAATTTGATGGACATTCCATGGACAAGCCTTCGTCGCTGGACAAGCGCTCCCATCTGAGAGTAGCATTGTCATTGAGGCACAGAATGCAGGAGATGCACTGGATTGCTACCTGCGCATCCAAGCATGGCAAACATGGAGCCAAAGAATGCATAGACACCCTGGACACGATGGATTATGATGGAATGTGTTTCTCATGGTTCTTTGATGTTCTTTGTATGTTTTTTTGCATGACACCGTGATGGACACAGCGTCTCAGCTCAAGGCACCTCCTGAACCTGACTGCCCTTCACATCCAAATCCACGCTGAAAAGCGAACAGCTTCCCGGGCACGGGGTTGGCCTGGCGCGTTGCTCTTGGTTTCACCAAATGTTTGCACCAAATTTGACTCAACTAAGATAACTAAGACGTACTAAGATCCAGCATTCGCAAATATCGACAAATCGTAGCATGGATCAGTGCGGCCCGTTGCTGTTGTCCTTTTTCATCCTGTGCCGACTGGCTAAGCTGTGGCTATAGCATGCTATAGCTGGCAACCAGACTTGCTCAAAGCTCTGCCAAGGATTCGTCTGCATTGGCATTTTTGGGTGTTTTCTTCTCCTGCATGTCCATGGCAGCAAAATGGTAGAGATGTTAGTTTGCTGTCACTGTGACATCTATCAACTTCAATCTTCAGCCTCCAAAATGCTCCCAAACAGAACGACTTTCAAACAACAGCGCATTGAACCTTCAATCTCACTCCGGTTCTTCATGCAATATTATTGAAAATGAAAAGATGGTAAGACACCTCTTAAGACATCTCCCGGAATCCACAACAACAAAAAAAAAAATAGCTCGAGCATGTTCGAGCGTTTGATTTGCCAGGCCACGGGATAACGGAAGGCCGTCTCATGGCGCCAATAATCCAACAGCATTCGAAGGAGCAGCGGGATGTCTGGCTGTGGAACCCATCCTCAGAACAGCATTGCATGGCAATCATGGCGTATCTCTATTTTTCCATCACTTTTCATCGTTAGATTATTGTAAATGGATCCATATGGATCCATTATGATCCAATACTGGACTCCAACATATTCCCACTGACGTCTTAGAACGAAGCTGGCTGCTTTTAGAAGTTGACATTGTGTATGGGCAATGTATGGGCCATGTGAGGCGCACTGTTCCAAAATGTGCTCCGTGGAGCTGCAAAGTCAGTTGAGACATTCTGCCAAGATCTGCCAAAATCTGCCAAGCATCCAGTTAGCTTCTGCACTTTGCTTATGTCAGCCATCACAATGCGTTCGTCATAGAACCGCAGCCGCGAGGAGTCTTGCTCTAAGCCTCAAGCTGCTCAAGCTCCACAAAAGGGGTCACATCCAACTTATATATTCAAAAAAGCAGCGAGCTGAGTAGTGGGATTCCTAAATGCCAAGGTACGCAGCCGCCTCTCCAAATTGGTAGCGTTGCCTTCCAGTTTGGCTTCAATATGCTTCGGCCAGAGCATGGCGCAACCATAACGACATAACATAATATAACTGCATACACCTGCCTTCTTCATCTCAAAATGACAGAAAATGACAGAAATGACAGAAGTAGTTTCATCACCGAACCCCCCCAACACCCCTGCCAGGACGGATTTGGCCTTCGCTCCAAGAAGGGCTGAGCCGGACCATTTCTTGCAGCAACTGTTGCATGCTATACCTTGCCACAGTTTTCTGCTGTGCAGTGTGCAGCATCAGCTGGGATCCAGCTGAGACTAGTAAGCAACGCAGCAGCGAGTGCCATATGTCTTGATTGCTTTTCACTTTTAGGACATTTTAGGACCATATTCCAAATGTTCTATCCCCCAATCGCCCTGCCCTGACATCTATTTGTAAGCGGCCTCATTGAAAACCAGGGTGCGACACATTGGATCCTAGATTCACCACAGTGCCCTTCGGTGCCACCTCTCCCAAACAAACGACCACAGGAGCAGAGTCTACGATGTCGGTAATGTCACGACGAGTAGACAAATCTCCATGCCTACCACGAAGCAGCCCATGCAGTGAGCAAAAATGTCCACTCAAGGAAAGGCAGACCAGGAGAATGCAAATGAGTTTGAAGAAGTGATCTTTTTCGTCTCCGAACTTGCATTTCAGACGATGACACAAGGCTGGCTACAGTGCGAAAGCTCCGCCAGAATGAGAGTGTATCAAAATGATGATGCCAACAACATGCCTAAACATGGTAAACATTCACCAATAAAATTCAGGGCATGTTCACATATTCCCATCATTGAACATCTTCTCAGGAAATTCCCCTTGTGATTTTGAGATATTTTGAGCCCGCCTCAGAACAGGTGGAGACAAAAGGCCCCGCTCTACCATGGTAATCTGACGAGCGAAGTCGTGCAGCGCCAGAGATTCTACGCCACGTGGTGCCAGGTGAATAAAAAAACGTGGCACAATGACGTGAAGGCCATGTGCACGTGCGTAAGACAAGGCTAACCTCCGGTATCAGTTCAACATCGTTCAATAGTTTTAAACAACTGGGAATGTTTGCAGCCAAACGATAGCCTAAGGGATTTGCATGCAACAAGAGCAGGGTGGGGCTCAAGTGAGAAATCGATCATATACGACTATGCATTGCGACCGAATTCAAGTAAATGCAGATGCAGGCACGACGGAACATGTGTCAGGTCACATGAAATTCAACGCCAGAATCATGAAATATCAAAATCTCGCGAATTGTGCAACTTAAATGGATATATATATATAT